TTGGGGAAAGAAATCGTCAAGGTTTATGCTGATCTCATTGCTAGGAGGCAAAGTTAATTCAAGCTGGCATCTGCGAAGAACAAAGTTTTACTGGAATACCATATACATAGGGACAGAACGTCCCAAGAGTGCATGAAACACTTATTCAACACATAACACCCAAAGCTTTAACAAATAGATTACCAAGCCTCCAAATGCCCAATGCCAGAAACCTTTTTAAAACCCAAAGAATCTACCACGTCAAGACATCAGCTTCCAACTAGCAAAACTGTTCCATGAATACGAGTTATTGATCTGTTGTAACTTGCTTTAACGCTACTTTCCTTTGTTTTTTTTTTTTTGTGGGTTATCATTACAAATGCTCTGATTTTAAAGTCGTGGGGCATGCAGTGGGGTTAATCAATTGTTATTCCTATGAAAATGCATGTTGTGTTTAACATTAAATGGTAAGGGGAATTACCCTTTTTCTCTACTTTCTTACTTGATTCTGAATGGGATCTTCTTGTCTTTTGTCTTTGTGATTATCTTACTGCCCCAAGATACCTTGGAACGTAGATGACAAAAACTTGCAGGAAGCAGAATAAGGAATGTCATAATAATATTTAATTAATTAATTATTTATTTATTTAAATACTGGATTGTCACGAGAATTACATGTTCAGAACCAGGATTCCACAGTAATCTTGGATTGACACTTACATATCAGCAAATCCTTGGAATTATCTGTTAATTAGTTTTAGTAATTATCAAATAGGTGACTCATGTTGTTTATATAACAATAAAACATTTTTAATTGGTTATTTGACTGTTAATTATATATTACAAGGTTATAGTTAAAAATTAAAATCCTTAATTACCGTCTTGATATATATATATATATATTGATTTTATTACTCTTATATTTATACATAGACATAAGATAGACGAGCAAGGCAAGGGCCTGAGGACTCTGAAGAATTCAGGGATGCACGTGCTTCAGCCCAAATAATTCAAAGCCGAAAAAAGACACAGAAATGGGGGGAAAATAGTTAAATGAATACTAGTTTAATGGAATTTAGGCTCACATCGAGTTGGCGAGATCACGTCAATTCAATTTCTAGGTGTGTTGTCGATGGAAATTTTTTGGTTTTTGCCTATTACTGTGGATGTTTCTTGTATTTTTCTGCATTGGAATTATCATCCCTTCGTTGTGATAAACATCAAGTCTTCTTCAAAGTACAAATGATTATATATTAAAATAAATTTTCAATTATTGAGTCACATGTTTTTCCACTGTCCACCCCATGCATTGCCTATGATTCTAATATTTTCCAGGCAAAAATTAAAAAAAAAAAAAAACAGAAGAAGGTGTATTTGATTAAGCACTTATCATGTATTGTACACTTAGGGTTTTTGCATGGTCTTTTTGGGTTATAATTTGCCAATGAAAATGCAAATGGTTGACAAATTTTAGTTTGATTATATATTTAGATATATAGATATATTATTCACGGTGTCTGCACATATAGATATATAGATATATAGGTATATTTTATATTAAAATTGGAATTTTTAATAATAGAAAAAATAAATTTATAATATAGAAAAAAATTAAAAAAAAAGACTTTATTTTGAGATATCTTAAGAAGGAAGGTGGACAAAGAATCTCAGACTGATGGAGTATATACCTTTGTCAAGGTATTTTTGAGATATTGATTTAAATGATTTAATTTTATGAATGTATAGTACTGTTAATTAGTGACAAATTTATGATCTTGTGGTACTTTCAATCACATAGAAATTATATTATTTTAAATTTGATTCTCACCTAATCCAATTGGATTTATTATAAATAAATTGACTTTAGTAATAATTATTAGTACATCTAATTACTATTGCGCAATCTTTCAAATTTGGAAATTGATTTTAATTACTATTTACAAATAAATTGAGTATAATATTATTTTAAACAGGCATATTGGGAGACATTGATTTGGTTAATATATTTGGGAGGAAAGCATGTATGCCATGCTTGTAATTTGGAACTGGAACTCGAAAATATCGAAAATTTTAAATTTTGTTTGTCGAGATGTTATTTATCAGATGATATTCATTGAGATTATCAACATTTGTGACGGTGTTACTCAAATTTAAAATAAAAAATTAGAAAAAGATCAAATTAAATAATATTTAATCTCATGTTGGGACTGTTTATAATTAATAGTGTTTAGTTGGCAAACTCTAAAATTAGACCCTAAACTGTATGTTAATTAGGGACATGGAGGGGGCAAGGAAATATGGATTTTGTTTGGTTGTAATCATTAATAAAAATGGGGTTTTCATGCATGTGAATTCATGGTTACATGGTTTTGTCCATGTTGGGTGCAGACAATAATCTCCAAGGATGCCACATGAGCTAGCAGTAAAATCACTCACCTAACCTTCAATAAATACTCAAATTAAGGTGTGTTTATGTATATGTTATCAACTCTTAATTTTGATGTGGTAATATTAAATAATAGGACATTGAGCAAATTAATTAGTTATTTGCTTATTCAAGTAGAAGATTTATCATATAAATCAATTGCTAGATTTCAAAAAGAAAAATACAAATTGCTATATTTTGTTTTTTTTTTTTTAATTTTGGGTTCTTTCGATAAATGTACAACAATGTTAAAAAGGACGAGAGGATTCGAATCTTAAAAAATCATGGATCAAAATTTTAGTTCTACTATATTTTTCTTGGATTTTACTTTTTTTCTTTGAACGACAAAAGAAAATTTTAAAGGAAATAAAATGTTTAATTTATCAAACTAAAATAAAAAAAATAAAATAGAAATAAAATATGCAACAAGTGGAAACTGTTACAACAGGAGATAGAAATCACTACTTTTGGGAATCCTTGTTTCTATCAATCCGTCTATAATGAAATATATCTCTCTAAAAATTGTAGTTGATAGATAAAACCGGAAATGCTTCCTTTATACAAATAGAAGGAAAAGTTTAACGTAGAGGGAAAATATTCACGTCGAAATCCATGTGTTGTGGTAGAGGGCTCGGGATGAAGGAGAGTTGGTCTACGAATATAATGGAGGTCAATTGAAATCTACATGTCATCGAGAATCAAAGCCGGAAACATAACTCAGCCGCACTTGCAATGTTACAACGTTAACATTTTGTCACTTGTGTTTTCTTGTCATGTAGTTTTGTTTCAAGAAATTGTTTAATTATGCAGACGAACAAGAAGAATCAGTCTCTCTTTTCCATTCTTCAACCCCATTGATCTCTCCCAGGTTTTTTCTTGTTGCTGCTTCAGTGGTTGTTGAGGAAACCTCTCATGGCTGCTTAAATTAAGCTGGATACGTGAATGACGGATTTGACCATCTGTTAGAAGTTAGGCCTGTAGAACCTGCACCTGTTCATCCTGGGGAAACTGGGCTGGGAAATGAAATCAAATTTGACAAAAATAGTCCCCCAAAAAGTTTCAGTGATCTCCAAATGCCAGAAATTAAGCATGGGGGCTGCTAGAGGCCAAACCACTAAGCATCCAAGTACATCAATAATGTGGAATCATCTGCTGGGTGGCAGGGGGCGGAGGTGTCTTATGATTACGATATACTTCGACTCCCTGCAGGCTTTTCAGTGTAGAGTGCATTCTCCTGGCTGTTAGGTAATGGATGTTTTAAAGGTGATCTGACAGCAACACCTTCTTTTGCAAGAACATACACAATTTAATGCAAATGTATGCAATGATACGGTCTCAACAGCACCCATCACTCATCATATATAGTTGGAAACCACGATCACTTTTAGTTTCTTTTTTGTTTTAAAAATGGATGATTGTCATGGTTTGGAGTTGGTATCACTATACTGCTTGTCCAGGTCCAGCTATATATAGGGCATCGAAAGTCATCTTTTCTATAGGATAATTTTCTGCATGACCTGAAAACACAAATTACGTACTAGCTTATTTTTGATTATGGGGAATTGAGATCATTTCCAAGTTGCCCTTTCTTTTAAACCAGAACCCAATGGTTCTGCAAACATAGGAAACCAAGGGTAGAGGAGAGAAGGGGATTAAGAGAGAGAGAGAGAGAGAGAAATTATCCTCCCCGTGAGGAAAGCTTGGAGGCATTCACAATACACAACTTGGAACATGCTTTGACGCTTCCTTTGCGACTTTCGATGGTGTCCCAATCACGAGCAGATTCCTTCCAGGCTTTCTCTCACGTTAACCCCACCACCACCACCCAACTCTTACTCTCTATATGTACTCTATATACTGATGATCCACGATGTAATTATACATGCCTTCCAATCTGATCCATGCAAAACATTGGTTTCCAATTCCCAACAGTTTCCACTTTCCACCATGTCCCCTTCTCTTACTATTATTCTCCTTTCAAAACCCCCCAATGTTATATCTCCATTTTGAAAGCGACTATTAAGTATTACAGATTTCAGTTGTTTGTAACTTTGATTGTCCTGAATATCATAATAAATTTCATTTAAAATATTCTTGTATATTAAAGCAAAAATTAATTTTTACATTAATATTAACTTTGTATTGTAAAAGTTAATGTGTCTGAGTGGCAAATCAACATGCATTTGATGAAAGTTGGAGGGAAACAGTTAATTGGTTGCACTTCGAGCAGCATAGCTAATGCAGATTCAACCTTGTAAAATATATCATCCTAATCACCTTTTTCTCTGAACTACTACTCCATTATAATTTCACAGTGAACTGATTAGCTAGGGCTAGGACACAATCTCAAATTTGGAAGGTGCAATTTGAAAACTTGGGTAACTTTGAACTTCTTCATTCTTCGTGCGAGGAGTGAAAAACTACACCAAGATGGAGGTTTTAACGTTTTGGTAAGGTACTGTGTAGGGAGGGTTTATTGGCTTAGTGCCTTTAGCCCACTTTCATTTAGTGATAATACAAGTGGCATCTTAATCTGAGGTCACAGTACAATAAAGCTGGGCTCTTCACTTTCATCTCTATATAAGCAGCCACTACATATCAAACTGGAAAGAAGAGAGAAAAGAAAGAGCTGAAGAGAGAGAGAGAGAGAGAGAGAGAGAGAGGATGAAGAACATGGTTTCTAGAGAGCGCAAGAGGGCTGCTAGCTATAAGAAGCTGCAAATGCTTCGTTCCATCACTAACTCCCATGCGGTAATTCCCTAAATGCCTGCAACTGCCTTGTCCTTTTTGCTTGCTTATCACCCTGTTTCCTCCTACGACATCGATTTAGATAAGTCTGCTTCATTACATGATACAGAAAATAATTGCCTGCGCAGAAAGAAGCCAGCTTCATCATAATCACCCCCATCTGTATCCTGAATCCAGTTTCTGTCTAGACATCCATTCCCTTATCATTTGGTTTTTGGTTGATATATACTTGATAGGGAGAATGGAAAGGATAGCTAGGAAGGGTGGAAAAGTTTTCAATCGAATGCTGACGCTTAATTAAATATAGGAAGCTTGGTTATGAAATCATTACATAGATTAAGAAAGTTGCCTTCCTTCTTCCTTTCCATCCTGGTTCCTATCAAGCAAAGCCTTACTTAGTCTCTCAAACGTAATTATTCCTACTTATTTTTGCAACTAGTTCTCTCTTATATAAAGGAAAATTTGCCAGACATGTAGACATTATTCTAATTTAGATTTTGGACTATTTAATCAAATCCCAAAATTCTTAAATGCATAACATGAAAAATACTGTATTTCCGACCTTGATTGAAGATATTCTATAGCATATACAAGTATGGATCAGCTTAATTTCCCCGAGAAAACACCTGTAGATATTGGTTCCATGGTTTCTCCCTTTTAAGTTTTCTCCTACTTTTGAAATCCTAATTTCCATAGGAACAGAAGGATCAAATTGAAAAAGAGTGCCTCGAGTTGTATATCAATCGTATAGCCTTGACTTTGTGTTTATCTCTGCAGCAAGGTAAAACCTCAATCATATTGGATGCAACGAAGTACATAGAAGAACTGAAGGAAAGGGTTGAAAGAATTAAGCAAGACATCGCTATGGCGGAAAACTCCACTGGCCAGAACAGCTTTCCTGTGGTAATCAAAGTTGTCTTCCTCCTGTTCATGTTCTGATTTCTTCTCAGGTACAAAATAAATAGTAGTAACATTCTCAATTTTCCATACGGATATGTATCAGCAACTATGGGTTGAAGCTCAGGACAAAGGTTTTCTAATCAAGGTGTTCAGCGAAAGAAGTTGTCGCGGTTTGCTTGTATTCATATTGGAAGCCTTCCAGGAGCTGGGTCTTGATGTCCTCCAAGCTAGGGTTTCTTGTTCAGAATGTTTTCTTTTAGAGGCAGTTGGAGTAAAAGTGAGATCACCATACATATATATAATCACACGTACACAAACGCATGCGTGCATCTCTTTCTTTATTGATCTTTTTCTGTCGCACAGCACGCATGCACTCAGTCATAAAATAAGTTTCTCAATCACGCAGAAATTCGAGTTTTCCCTGTATTTGGCCTTTTTGTTACAAAGTAATTTTGCAAACAATTAAGTTCGTGTTCGCAGGATGACGAAGGATCATCGGAGTGCTTATTAGATGCTCCAGAGGTTAAACGAGCAGTATCACACGCTATCCAAAACTGGAGTGCTGAAGTTAACGAGCAGCAATGATGAAGCAAAGCTCATTATCTTAAATTCATTTTGTTTTTGTCACTGGTTCTTTCCCTCTTTCCATCAATCCAGTCTCCCTTTTCTTTGTCTCATCAGTGGCTGGTTAGATAAGTTCCAAGTTCTTGCCTGGAATTAGCCATCGGTGTTCTGCAATATGTCGTCTAGGGTACATCATGTGATCTAGATGATAGCCAGTTTGGCAGAGAAATCGAAAGACTAGACGTGCAACATATGGACTATGTAAAACATGTGATTTGAGTCTGTTTTTATGCGGCAGGAGAAAATAATGGCGTCAATAGAAAATTCTGTAATTTGTTTTATCCAAGTGATCGTGATCACCTTGTTTCCCTTTGAACTAGGTAACTTCTAAACGCACCATTGCTCACATGCACAGTTTCAGGAACCAGAGAAGTGTATTAGTACTTTAACGTAGGCAGAATGTTGCCTTCCTTATATGATTATGAATTATGATGATGATGATGATGATATATCTTCACCATTCAAGAAGTGCAAAAGTTGGCTGTAAGACGAGAGCTGTAAGAAGTAGCCAAAATAAAAGTTGACTAGCGCATAACTTGGCTTTAATTTTCACATTGAGTAGGTTGAGACAATCACATTATTGAGGTAAAAATCTGCTGCCCCGCCTTTCTATGGGTAATAGTACAAAAGAATAAACTATTCTAAGCATAGCAAGTTAAAATAAACAAAAGCATATGCATTCTCCTACCCTAGCAAAATGTAGATGAACCTCGAGATTCTTTTGCCTCAACTTCTGTGACGTTCTCTTCATGCATCAATTTGTTAAAAAATGTTTTCTGACTAACCTATTTAACTGCTAGAATTCTAACTTCAATACCCCAAGCTTTCCGGATTCTGAATTCATCTGATCTGGCAGAGAATCAAATTATGAAGGGCCATTCTCATCATCATGAATACAAGCAAGTGCAAAACAAAATTCAGTAGGCTCCTTTTCTGGTTGTTTCTTGCATAAATGACAGACATGCTTCCAGGTTGTGAGATGTGGTCAGCTTAGAAATGAGGACCTTCTGGGAAACAACTTCACGATCAATCAAGATGAGCATTTGACACTATTTTATTCGCCCACTGCTGATGCAGAAGCTGTTCCATGCAGCAACTTTTCCTTCCACAGCTTCCAAGCAGTCCTGACTTCATCCAACTCTGCATCAGGCACGCTTGTGTTTGCATCTAAATTTTCAACCCATTCTTTCCAGGGAGATTTAGAAGGGTCCAAGAATTTTGAAACTTGTGGCAACAGTACGGATCTGTAGAACTTGTCAACTTCCTTCAGGATTTCTTCTGATTCGACCATTGTCAGCATCTCAGGTCTTGTTATATTACCGGGCATCTTTCTCAATATGAATGTGTTCCCCCTCAAAATTAGAACTTCAGATGGAGCAAGTGGTAGGACAATCCGTGAGAACTTGGTTAGTGATAGTGTTAAAATGTCTCTTGGGAATAAATTGCGCTTCACAGCAACAGCAGTACCAACCATTTTGCGGATCTGGTGCAATATACAGTGTTAAAAGTTATAAACTTTGTCAAATAGCTCCCAAAAAGATGCATGCCACCCTAAGCTTTTCTTTAAATTTCCTCTCCAACAAAGAAGCAACCAAATGATGGCATTAACTGCTTTAAAAATGTGAGTAAAATAAGAGTAACTCACTTTAAAAAACATAACAAGAAAGGGAAAAAGAACATATGGATACCTTTTACTTTAATGATTCAAAAGGTTTACCTGATGTAACATGAAAGACTCCCCCCATATGGAAATTTCAATATTATCAAATCCCATTGAGTTCTCCAGCCTTCCACAAGAACAGAGAAAAATTTTTCTAAAGTGGGAAGCTGTTATTCTATCTGTCTCGTCAGGTTCATATAGCCATCTTGCTCGAACAACTACATTAGAACTTTGATTCTTCAAACTGTTTCCCTGACCGTCACAACAGTCAACCAGAGGTTCATCAAAACCGGTGGACTTTTCCTCACTATTTAGTGTAGTTGTTTCCTCAATTCTGGGATCTTCTTCTACATCACTTTCCTCTAACTCAGAAGTTGATGACTCATCATGTGCTTTAGCTCCTTTTGGCACACGACCATTTCTAGCTGTTTGTCTAGGAGGAATTTGTCTTCTGTACTTTGCCCTTTGAGTATAGTTATGGAAAGGGTGTTCACCCTGAAAAGTATACAAATGCCAATGAGCAAGCAATTTCAAGCATTATTTAAATAGATGGCATCTGCCACCTGAAAGAGTATAAACTATGCCCCAAATATTATATGTTAAAACACACCACAACATGGAATCATAAGAGAATACCGAACCAAAAATAAACATCCCTTTATCTGTTATATGATGCAGAAGTAAGTGATCCAAAAACTTAACTGAGATGTTGGTTTTTCAAGTGAAGTCCATTTAGAATGCTCTCCTTAAAGAAAGCAACTAATAATATACCAGGTTATATTAACTTCAATAAAGTGAGCACATGGGACAGCCAGAAGCAAAAAGATAAAAGAAAGATACTGATACCTCAAAACAATTTAATATACTGTTGAAGTCTGATATGTGATGGTTAATTTCAGCTTCACTGAAGTGACGTTTTATTCCAATAATTTCAGCTGGTAGGAGGTAAGAATATTTCCGGAGATTACATTCCCTTCTAGGATCAAAACTCCTAAAAAACAGGCAGAAATACAGAAAACAAGGGACGGCAAGAAATGAGTATTTACGTAAAAAACTGAAGGAAAACTCCAAATAAAATCATCAGAAAATTAGTAAACTTTATTCCAATAGAAATAGCAACTTGATGATAAAAGAAGTAGAGAACAGTCTCAAGCTCTCACCTTTGTGAAGGCAATATACTGAAAACTTTGATACTGTCAGGAAGATAAGAGTTAACGCATTTAGCCAGAGCAATGCCATTAGGGTCTGCCTTCCAGGCATCTTCAGGTATCTCCATTTTTAATGTTATCATTGTTGCCAAAGAGTGAACCTAAAATATTCAAACAGAAGATAGTTTTGGCACCAGCAATCTCACACCCAGCACCAAAACAGGTGTATATATGCACATATAATTGATCAAAGAAATTGTAACAAAAAACTTACTCCTTTATCAGTTCGGCTGCTTCTGGCCCAGGCAATTTTGTGCAGATCACCGTAGTTACTATCACGGATTCCTCCAGCCTTGAAAATGGCAGTTTCTAGCTCATTTTCAATAGCTACATTACAGCATTGCAAATTGCAATGCTTCAATTAGTATGTTCACTCCCCATGCTAGGTATAAAGTAATAAAGGCAAAACTTGAATGCATGGCCTAGTCAACACCTCTACCGGGATTCACAGCAACTAAAATAACAGTGTAAATTTGTAAAGAAATTATCAAAAGAACCTCCATGAAAGTTAGCAATTTAAGTTCCAAATTGAAAAAAAGAATTATCTTTATCTTAAATGCTGCTCTGCTCTAATAACGAATTTGCAGAAACACCAAAGCATAATTGTTTAAAAAAACAAAGGACGCTGAAACTGGAAATTAGAATCAAATGAAGAAAAGGGAAAGAAAAGAAAGTAAGAAGCAGCAGCTTACTAGAAAGCTCGTGTTCATCTCGCTGCACTTGAAGACCTGTTTTTGTCAAGAAAAAAGCACTGGCAATGATAAAAGGAAAACATATTGCTAATAAATTCCGATTCTTTAAATTCTTTAAACTAAAAAAGAAAGAAAGGTTGGATATGAACCTCGGTAGTTGGTACCGACGTAGCCGACGCGCATGACTACCTTTTTCTTGCGAAAAGGTTCCCACTTTGGGGCGGCGGGAGGGAGGGGCTGAGCGGTGGAGGAGCTGCAAAGGAATCGTAACTGTATTCTCGGACATGGTTGTTTCAAAGGTGGAGGATTTCGAGTTTTCATGAGCCATGGAGCCAGCGGGACTCGAAGACAAGAGATGGCCATTGCCTTCTGCTTCTTTTCAGTTCGCCTCTGCGTCTCGCGTGAGATGGGTCGGACAGTCGAAGCCAAGGCAGAGCGGAAATGGTGTTTTTCATTTTTATTTTTTCTTCTTTTACAGTGATATCAAAACGGTGTCGTTGACCTTTCTATCACAGGCTTTTGTTTAAAGAAGCTTGTCTCGAAGTTGTCGCATGTGTCAAACTCTATCCTTCTCCCTATCCTCTTCCTCCAGTTCGTTAAACCCTATAAGCCCCCAGCGCACCCGCACCCGCACCCGCACCCACGCGCACCCAAACCTCCGTTCCAACCCCAACCCAAAATCGTCTTCTTCCTTGGAGTGGAGGGAGCCATGAATCCATCTCTTCTCACTGCCCCTCCTTCCTCTCGACCTGGCCCTCTTGTTTCCTTCCCTCCCTTCGGTTTCACCCCTAATTCCCTCCCCAGACGACGACGTTACAGGGTCTCCTTCCGCGCAACTCAATCTCCATGATGACCAATCCCCTACGTCCACTTCATCGACCGAAACGACAGCAACCACCCCGACCGCCCCCGACATTTTCGGAGGCCCGAAGGAGCTTACCGGCATCCAACCGGTGGTTCAGAAATTGTCGCCGCCACTCAGAGTAGCGACTTCTGCTGTCATCTTCGCTGGAGCTCTTGCCGCAGGATACGGTATCGGGCTCCGGTTGGGTGGGAACAGGAATGCCGCGTTGGGTGGAGCAGCGATTCTCGGTGCAGCTGGTGGAGCTGCTGCCTATGCTGTGAACGCAGCTGTTCCGGAAGTTGCGGCAGTTAGTTTGCTAATTATGTAGCCGGCTGCGATGGCCCCGAGGCCGTCGGAAAGAAGATATTGAAAACATTGCCAAAAAGTAAGTTTGGGTTATGCTCACCAAATTTTTTGAGATTTACTCGAAAAGATTCAAACTTTCGATGTTAAAATAACTCAGATACGGAGTGAGCCAGCAGGATGAGGCATTTAACTTGGAGCTTTGTGATCTTTACTGTCGGTAAGTTAACTGCGATTTAATTAGTTTTCTTGTAACTTGGAGAAAATTTGTCATTGCGAGGGTTGGTTTTGAATCATTTATGGTTAATATTTAGTTTATACTCTTTAATTTTCTATTTAGGTTTGTATCTTCTGTCCTTCCCTCTGGAAGTGAAGGCCTTAGAGGGGATGAAGTTGAAACTATAATCAGCTTTAAAAATGCGTTAGGCATTGATGAACCAGATGCAGCTTCCATGCATATGGAGGTACCCTTGGTGTTGTTCCCTCTATGAATATGTTTGTGGTATATATTTCTTGAAAATGGTTCTTTTGATATTGGTTTCTAGATTGGTAGGCGAATCTTTAGGCAAAGGCTCGAGACAGGAGACCGTGACGGTGATTTAGAGCAGAGACGGGTAAGTCAGTTGTGTTTATGCATGTTTGTAATTATGAATTAGAAACTTAGTATGTAATCCACATATGGAGCTTGACCATCATTAATGTCTCTCCAGTGCAGGCATTTCAGAAGCTAATTTATGTTTCAACTTTAGTTTTTGGAGATGCATCAACTTTCCTTTTGCCTTGGAAGCGTGTTTTTAAGGTTACTGATGCACAGGTACTTGTCCACCATTATTTTGCAAGGCTTCATTGACAGTTATTTGTTATACTCTCTGTATGAACTTTGTTATATTGCTCTATTTTGGCATCACGAATGCAGCCCTGCCATTTTAACTTTTGAAAATATGATGATAAATTCATACTTTTTCATAAAACCTAGTAATAAGTTACTAATACATACTTTTTATGTATTCAGGTTGAAATTGCTATCCGTGACAATGCCAAGCAGTTGTATGCTTCCAAGTTAAGTTCCGTTGGAAGAGGTAATGCATGGATGTTCCTTTTGTAGTGAATCTTATAACAATTTAGAAACTGAGCTGCTTGTGTGATTAATGTTCTTGTGCAATGTCTTAAATCCTATTAATAGAGTTTAAAATATTTATATTCAGATGTCGATGTGGAATTGCTTGTCTCCCTTAGAGAAGCACAACTTAAGTACAAACTTTCTGATGAGGTATACTTTTCACTCTTTTTGGCATTGGTGTAATTGGTTTGTAATTGTTTCTTAATATGATTGCTTTACTATGTGTAGCTTGCAAAGGATCTATTGATGGAGCACAAAAGAAAGCTGGTGGAGGAAAATATTTCCGTGGCACTCAACATACTGAAGTCTAGGACAAGAACTGTGTATGATTAGCAATTCCTAGACTCAAATGCAGCTTATATTTTTGCTTCAGAAAATTTTCCTTACGGATGATGTTTAAATGTGTTCATATATGTTTGCATTAGCTTCTAACTATGAATCTTTTGTCCTTACCATAAAATATATAAAATTTTTACATTTCATACATTTGCTCAACTAATGAAATAAGGTTTTTCAGTGGTGGAGTCAAGCAAGCAGTGGAAGAGCTTGATAAGATATTGGCATTCAATGATTTGCTTATCTCTTTGAGTAACCATTCAGATGCAGATCGTTTTGCTCGTGGAGTTGGTCCTGTGTCTCTAGTTGGTGTGCTTCCTGGTCCTTTGATCTCATGCATGCTATTAGACGTTGTCAATAGTGCTGAAAATTTTGATTACTTAAAGTATAAAATAAAAATGAGTCAATTGGTTTAGGTTCTGCCTGGTGTTGTTTAAAACTGAGTGGGCAAATCTGTTTTTTACCAAGTTTTATTGATGATCGAGTCCAGGTTTAACAGCTATGTTTTAATGTTTATGATACTGAGGTTTGAGCATGTCAAAACTAAAACCGCTAACTAGCATTAATTATCCTTGGCTTAGGTGGTGAGTATGATAGTGACAGAAAGATGGATGACTTGAAGCTCCTTTACAGAGCTTATGTAACAGATTCTTTATCTGGTGGTCGCTTGGAAAAGAATAAGGTAATTAAATTTCGTCTTTCTATCTTCCTGTTCAACTTGCTCACGGTTGGTCTTAATAGGTTAGAGGTCCGATGAACATCAGCAAATCCCTTTCTTAAAGCAGTTGTTACATTTGCTGAAGCATTATGTCTAATTTGTTTTAAGTTGTTTATTATTGGCAGTAACATTAGCATGCGTGGAGAAAAATTCTTATATGATATAGCCAGAGTGATTTTATTATCTCATTTTAAGCTTATTAATGGAAGAAAAGTGAATGCTCTTAACGTCTACTAATTGAAATGGCCCATATTATGTTAAGGAATGAAAATGTCAAGTAGGTTGTGTGAAAACTCTACTATCAATGTTTATTTCGTTTGAAATTTCTAGAAGCTTTTCTTTTGTAGTGTCATTACTCTATTGGTAGAAGTAGCTAGTTTATTGTTGTTTTTGTAACTTCGTCTTTCTGATTTATTGCTAGTCTGAAAAAAATGAAGGTTCTGACAATCTTTAAAATATCAAGAATATAGTTCCGAAATGTTTGCTTCTCTATTTCCATAGCATATCAAAGCAAATTGCCATGAAGATCCACCTATAGACTAATAGTTTATTGTCCTGCTATTGAACTGGTTGCCTCCCTTTGATCTTTGTCATTCCCACCTCATGATTAACCTAACTGCATCAAATCTAGGAGGCTTCTCTCCCATTGTGCTCTATATAGCTGCCAATATTGTGGAAACTAAATCCCGTGTCAACTTTTTGTTGACTTAGCTTTTGCATTTTGACTGCATGAAAACTGTAAACTTATTAGCAGATAAACCTCCTGATAAGAGTCTTATTTTTTGCTCCTAGTGACAGAGAGAACTAGCTTTTCGTCAATGTAAAACCATTTCTTACTGCATTTTTTTATTCTTTGTTCGTTGTCTTTGTTTACTTGGTTTTGATGTGTTATCTTTGTAATTCACAACACATTGTTGTCTAATGCTTGTTTCTTTTGTTTTCTCTTGCCAACTTTTAGCTTACTGCATTGAACCAATTGAGGAACATACTTGGTTTGGGTAATAAAGAAGCTGAATCTATCATACTTGATGTTACGTCAAAAGTATATCAGAAACGGCTTTCAGAGGTTTTCCAGAGCGGTGATCTAGAGATGGCAGACAGCAAGGCAGCCTTCCTCCAAAATCTTTGTGAAGAGTTGCACTTTGATCCACAAAAGGCTAGTGAGATCCATGAAGGTATATAAGCAGGACTGGGAAAAAGAAAAAGATTGAGAATTTTGGTCTTCCCTTTTAGGATATTATTTTTCAGGTTTTAACCATAATATGTATATTTTTTTTGAAAAGCAACCATAATATGTATTTTGGAGTGTCTGATATGTCTATTTCTCTTTTCAAGAAATCTACCGGAAAAAGCTTCAACAATGTGTAGCTGATGGGGAGCTGGATGAAAAGGATGTTGCTGCATTGCTAAAGGTACGAGTGATGCTGTGCATTCCTCAGCAAACTGTGGATGCAGCTCACTCAGACATATGTGGCAGTTTGTTTGAGAAGGTAAAATGGTTTCTCTTTTGCCTTTATATCATTTTGCCGTGTGAGAACTAATTTGGCCTGAATATTCATAAGTGGGGACAAAGAAAAATCTCACATGGATTATTGGAACCAAATGTAGTTGATGTGGTTAGCTGTGTCTTATTGCTGACCGCTTTTTTCTTTTTTCCAATTATAAATTATCACTTCAGGCTGTGAAGGATGCAATTGCTGCTGGTGTTGATGGCTATGATGCTGATGTTAGGAAAGCTGTGAGGAAAGCTGCTCATGGTTTGCGATTAACAAGAGAAGCTGCTATGTCTATTGCCAGCAAGGCTGTGAGTATACTGTAATTGCTTTGTGTCCATGGTTATTTTTCATAGGTTAAAATTCATTTTGAGGTTAACATCTTTCTCTCTGCTTGAAATCATTTCCATGCTATATGCTCAGGTCCGTAAAATTTTCTTAAATTATGTGAAACGGTCTCGATCAGCTGAGAATCGCACAGAGTCTGCAAAAGAACTTAAGAAGATGATTGCTTTCAACACCTTAGTTGTCACGGAATTGGTGGCAGACATTAAAGGAGAATCTTCTGATGCTCCAACAGAAGAACCTGTTAAAGAAGAAGTGGAAAAACTTTATGTGGATGATGAATGGGAATCCCTTCAGACACTTAGGAAAATAAGACCTAACAAGGAACTTACTGCAAAGATGGGCAAGCCAGGCCAAACAGAGATAACTCTTAAAGATGACCTCTCTGAAAGAGACCGTATGGACCTTTACAAAACATACTTGCTATATTGTCTGACAGGAGAAGTCACAAGGATTCCTTTTGGTGCTCAGATAACCACAAAAAAGGATGATTCAGAGTATGTTTTCCTAAATCAGCTTGGTGGGATCCTTGGTTTGACGGACAAGGAGACAGTGGAAGTCCATCGGAGTTTGGCAGAGCAGGCTTTTAGGCAACAAGCTGAGGTGATTTTAGCTGATGGACAGTTAACGAAGGCTAGGGTTGAGCAGCTCAATGAGCTGCAGAAGAATGTTGGCTTGCCTGGACCGTATGCACAAAAAGTAATAAAGAGCATAACAACTACCAAAATGGCAGCTGCCATTGAAACAGCAATTGGTCAAGGGAGACTCAATATTAAGCAGATAAGAGAACTCAAGGAAGCAGGTGTTGATTTAGACAACATGATATCAGAGAGCTTGCGAGAAAACCTCTTCAAAAAAACTGTAGATGAGATTTTCTCATCAGGCACTGGAGAGTTTGATGAAGAAGAAGTCTATGAGAAAATCCCGACAGATCTCAAGGTTAATTCTCAGAAGGCCAAAGGGGTTGTTCATGATCTTGCACGGACTAGATTGTCCAATTCACTTATTCAAGCTGTGGCACTGCTAAGGCAGAGAAATCATCAGGGAGTGGTAAGGGACCTTGAAACTTGGTTCATATGGTCAATAGTGTTTGTTGGCAACTTGTGTTTGTAATATGGTCAATTAATGCCTAGGTCCTAAATGCTTTGTTGCTGCTTTTGCAGGTTTCTTCACTTAACGACATGCTAGCTTGTGACAAGGCTGTGCCATCTGAGCCATTGTCATGGGAGGTGCCAGAGGAGCTAGCTGATATTTTTAGTATATATGCAAAAAGTAATCCTGCTTCTGAAAAATTATCCCGTTTGCAGTATCTGCTTGGCATAAGTGATTCAGTGGCAACAGCTGTAAGAGAGATGGGAGATGGAGTGCCATCAGTTGGAGCAGAGGAAGAAAAGTTTGTGTTCTGAATGTTTCCATAAAATTATGGTGTAGAGCCTGTTTGGAAAGCTCATTTTTGAAGGGCCCTTTATCATTCGAAATTAAAAGCAGGAAGAAGATTAGGTTAATGTAGGATCGCGATTAGTCATAAAGCTGTTTGATCTTGGATAGCAATGGAAGTACTGTTAGATTGCTTTCTGTTTAGCTTTATTTTTTTTCACCCCTAGCTAGGTGTACTGCATGGGGAGCAAGGTTTGTCCCAAACAAGGGAAATATAAATTCTTTTTCCAAAATAAAGTTTTTAATGTGTAGGAGTACCACAGCTTTTGATATGTGAAATATTACCAGAGTAGAGTAATCAACAAAGCCATCAGAAGTTGACGTGTAAAAAGTATATAGAAAAGAAATTATACATTAAGCTAACATTTCTTTAGTTCTTCACTCATTAATCTAACAATGTTGATTAATGCACTAGCTAATTCCTTTCATATTTCCTTTTTGTACAACTAATTCAAAGAAGCAGAACCTAACTTTTCCTTTTTACCCATTCTCCTCTCTCTCCCTCCACTTTTCTTCCCTTTCCTCGTGGTTCCTGAGCCTAGGCTCAAGGAGTCCATAAAAATCATCCATTTTGGCTGCAAATTCCTCGTTTTTCTTGTATTCTACTTTGACTCATGCCAAAACATTAGTCATTCCATATTGTCAACATACCTAGATTCAGAGGGAAATGTAAAGATTAGGACATCTTGATTGTATCTCTCTTCATAATAAGTTCAATATGAATATTTTGGACTCGTGTCTTTCTTTTCCTTCAAGTGATGATTCTTATACTTTGACAAACCCTGTCAAAGACCTTTAAGGTCCAAGTGCAGAAGATTCTTAAGTTCGGCGAATTTGCAAAAGATCCCATTCTACTTACTAAGTTAAGAACGGACTCACGACATCAGCCTGACAGCCTCTGACTTTTTGTAGATTCCTGATGACCATTTTGTTCACACCCAACCACACCAATAACAGCAACCAAGAAGGGAAAATGTTTGCAAACGATTAGTCAATGCAGATGAGATAAGACTGAAGGGAGTTAATTATTACTGGTATATCTTTCCTGGTGTTGTATATTTTGTATCGGTGTATGCCCTCAACGACATTTTATATCCATCAACCTGTATGCAAGACAAGTAATTTACTCACCTAATCGAAGTTCCAACTATTTTAGCATAAAAAAATTGATAGACCCTGATTTATTTTTAACTGATTTTGGACTTTTCATGGGCTTGATTTGTAGCTACGGAAGCTAGCAATTAGTGCAAGTAGAGCCTACGCTTTTCTGAAATGGCTTCTGATCGAGGAAGTGGGATTTCCACGGTTAATGAGCGCTTTTTAGGGCTGTATCTTGTTTACCATATCCTTTAGTTCTTGTTTATTTTAATCAGATTTTGACATTAGATGGTGAAACATTTGACATTCCTGCAAAGTTCTTCTCTATATATTCAGCTTTGCAAATCAAGCACTGTCATACAGAAAACACAAGCTCTCTACATCAGTTAGCTAAGAGTTCTCTCTCCTTTCTTGTCATGGCGTTTCAGTCGCATTGTTTAAGACTCTGGTTCTTTGTGATGTTAATCTTTACCGGGTCGTGCTCTGCACAATTATCATCTAACTACTATGCGAAGACATGCCCGAGAGCTCTCTCTGTCATCAGAGGTGCAGTTTACGGTGCAGTAGCGAAGGAGTCTCGCATGGGAGCTTCTTTGCTCCGTCTCCATTTCCATGACTGTTTTGTTAATGCATGTTCCCTCCCCTTTCCTCTCTCTCATGCGCACATTTTGAATTATAAGCAAGTTTATGTTTATAATTTGTTGGATAGATACTTTATTATGTAAAAACGTAGTACCATCGTAAAGAGATTATAAAAGGATTGACTCGAGATGAAAAGTAAATTTGCAGTGAATTCGAAGCAATATTTCTAATATTAAGGAAAAAAAGATAATCATCAACAAAGTCTGCATGCATGCAGAAGTAGAAAAGACTCATTCAAGATTACAAACTATTACTCTAAATTCTGCTTTTTAGTCATTGTCTGCTGAATTTGTATGTGTCTCCAACAGGGTTGTGATGCTTCTGTACTGCTTGATGATGATGACTCTTCCAATTTCACCGGGGAAAAGAGTGCAGCCCCTAATGCTAATTCCCTAAGAGGTTTCGAAGTGATCGATGCCATCAAAACTCAAGTAGAGAGCATCTGCCCTGGTGTTGTTTCTTGTGCCGATCTTCTCGCAGTCACTGCCAGGGATTCTGTCGTTGCAGTAAGTTGAAGGAGAGGCCAGAGAAAGAGATGAACAGAATAGTTTGTTCTATGCATATGATTACTAATAATTTATATTGTCTTTTATTTTCACCAGCTAGGCGGGCCATCTTGGACTGTTCAATTAGGCAGAAGAGACTCGACCACAGCAAGTTTCAGCAATGCAAATACAGACCTTGCTTCCCCACTGATGAACCTCGACGAACTTATATCAGTATTCTCCAACAAAGGGTTCACTGCAAAAGAAATGGTTGCTCTCTCAGGTAAAACTTTCTCCGATTACATGATTAAAATGATTGAACATGATCTCATCCAAATGCATGCGTAGATTTTTCACTTGTTCTAATCAGAAACTATTGCATGATTTATTTGGGAACTTTCGGAAACAGGAGCTCATACCACTGGCCAAGCCAGGTGTTTGCTGTTTCGAAACCGAATCTACAATGAGACGAACATAGATTCAGCGTTTGCGAAATCAGTTCAATCAAACTGTCCCAGATCAGGCGGCGGTGACGACCTCTCTTCCCTGGATGTTACTTCCCCAGTAGTATTCGACAATGCTTATTTCAAGAACTTGGTTAACAAGAAGGGCCTGCTTCATTCAGACCAACAGCTCTTCAACGGGGGCTCCGTGGACTCTCAGGTCACTGCGTACAGCAACAACCCCATCACCTTTTACGCTGATTTTGGTGATGCTATGGTGAAAATGGGGAACCTTAGCCCGTTGACAGGAACCAATGGGGAAATTCGCACTAATTGCAGGAAGGTGAACTGATCAAAAAAGCGCGTTCGCCATTTGTATCAGCTTCTTCTTCTGCTACGAATTTCGGCTAATAACTATTACTACTATATAATTGTGGGTTGTGATTTTTTTCTTTTTCTTTTCACTTTTTTAAGTGTATTTCACAAAGACTATATCACCAAACTGCCTTTCATTGGCTCTCAAACGTTATCAGACAAATATTAATAAATTAATCTATCTTATTTATACACCAACTTCATAATCTCTCCGTGTATTCGTCACTATATTCACGTCTTTTGGTCTATTTGGAGTGATTTTGTTAATGATATATACACCCTGTGTTTTGTCATCAAATTTTAGTAAAATAACTCGAAAAAGATGATGGGACTAACATTGGATAGATATAAATTGCGTTAACTAAAATTTCAGTAATTAAAACCCACAAATTTCATTGAGAAAATTACAAAGCTCTACAATTCTGCAAGGAATAGTTGACATCAAGCTTGCATTAATGAGAACTCTTCAACTATTACAAAATGGGGTACATCAGATAACCATTGCCAACTGTGAATGTGATTATACCAAATTTGGATTTGATTGACAGTAACTCGAGAAATCAAATGATCATGTCATTGTTGGTGGATGTTGCGGATTGCTGTGTTGATGCTCTTACAATCAAAATCCATGCTCTTCATCCAGTTCTCAAAGTCCCCAATTTCCTGAAACAAACATGGAACATGCCAAATTGCAATTTTCAGCTAATCAAAAGCATGGCAACAAACAAAAAGTCCTCCAGGACTCCAGGAATTGAATTTGAAGGTAAAGGACAATCAAAATACAATAACAAGTTATCATCTTTGATCAGATCAGGGAAAGGGAAACATGGTAAACCTTAACAGCGGTGTTAATAGCGTGACTAGCAGCGAGCCATTGATCAGTCTGCTTCATGAAGCGACCAACGGTTGCAGTCAATGCTCGAATCTCCAGCTCAATTCGCTTCTCGTTCATGAAGGTCTCTTGTACCCCTCCATTCACAGCATCCACCAACAAATCCGACACCCTCCCGGCCTTCTTAATTGCATCTTTCTTCGCTTTCTCTGTTCCAATCAACCCCAATCCCTTTAATCAATTAAATACAATGAACAAGTTCTTCAATTCTTAATTTCGTGGGGGAAGTAACCAAAACAGGGGATAAGAAAGTGAGAAAAGAAACCGACCTGTCTGATCCCGGAGCGTCAGGGAGTTTTGGTGGTGATGGTGGTAGATTTGGAGCAGACAGGATTCAAGGTCTCCTGACCCGGATTGGGATTTGTGTATCTCCGATGATGACAGCACGCGGCCACGAGCCTGTGGAAGCTGCGTTGAGTACATTGGCTCTGACTGAGCTGGTGAGTTTGCATTTCTCGCGTTTCTTTCACCAGCCTGTGTTGTTTGCTCTGTCGACTGCCAAATCTTTGTCTCTGCGTCATTGGGCCCAGGCTGGATTGAAGATTGGACTTGACACCTTCACCGTGCTTAGTCCGACAAGGGATCCTGAAAACCCAACCCAAGCCCAAGCCCATTTTAATTTACTATTATGAGTTTTGTATTTTGTCATAGAACTTTTCAACATTATGCAAAAAATAAATATAAAATATTTTCAAGTCAACGGAATTAAAATTTTTAATCTTAAAAATTGTCTTATGTCGGTGAGATATCTTGTAAACACTAAAAGCATTAACTTATTAACTAGTACTAACTACGTCAGAAGAAAATTCAAAATTACTGTACGAGTCTAATTACTGCAACAAATGAAGAAAAAGTACCGTCAATGGCATCACAAATTTTCTTCTGATGAGGTATTATTGTTCAGCAATCAAGCGAACTTTATAATAAAGAAAATACCAAAATTTGAATTTAAAATCTTCACGTAACGTATCACGTCGGAATCAAGTAGAAGAAACTGGATATAACTAGAGAACAAGCAAAGCAGCAATGGCATGCAACTCATGATTGGTATTGAGATAGCTTGAAACTTTTTCCTTGGAATTAAAGAATATTCAACCAGAAATAGTGTATTTATAGCTCAAGGGTCCAATTACTCAAACAGGAAATTGGCTTTCTACCCTTCTGGAATCCCCGGAAAAAAGTCATGAATCTAATCCAAGTCGAGTAGTACCACTGCATGCTCTCCCTCCCGAAGGAGACAGTTGGATAGATTATGATCAGACATATGTGTGGACCGAATGGCATGCAGATGGATTCAACTGTATTGGTCATAACTGAGATGTTGTACATTTGAATCTTAAGCAGACATCTCTGCTCAAATTTCAAGTCATGTCACTAGTTTTTTATTTTATATATAGCTGCAATAACTCACCTTGGGAAGAACTAGATAAAATTCGGTAGTATTCCCTTTCAGTACCGAAATTTACTAGCAACTGCACTAATTTGCAAGTAAGCTTATCTCTTTATTTTCCTTTATTATATTGTCCTTATTTTAATTTGTTACCTTATCTTTGTCAAAATTTAGATTCTGTCACCCAATGGCCTGCATCATTGCAATAACAAGAAATTTGAAGGTTATTATCTACTTTTACAAGTTAATTAATTGTGTAAGAAAATGAAGAAATTTAACAGTATATATATATATATAAAGAGAGAGAGAGAGATGGAGAGATGGGACATATAATATATCTTTGATTTGATATAACTGGAATATAGAATACTTACTGTGTATAGTTTATCTCAGCAATTAAATTATTCATGCATGCATCTTATTCTGATGGTGACGAGGGAACTTCCTTGTCAAAGGGTAAATGACAATCAATTTGCTGCTGGGAATCTTGAACGGATGGAAAATAAGAAGGGCAGAGTTAAGGACTACGAATTTGGCAATAACAACAGAAAAAAGTGTTAGATTCAAGCATTTATTGTGATTCCCGAAAACAAATTAAGAGCTATACATGGTTATGGATTAATTTAATGTTTAATGTTTTTTGTCGATTCTCCTGCTATATTAGAAACAATAATAGAGAAGGAAATAGGATTCTTTCTGAAGCACCTGGACTGGGTAGGCATTTTTCGGCAGAAACATTTTGTTGGTGAATATTAGTAAGGATTGAATTATACAACACTTTGCTTAAAGTCAAATTTTGGTCGAATATTTCTATACTTACTTTCAATGATATTCATCAGTGAGACTCCCACCTTAGAAGGGCATCACACTGGACTTAGAAGAAATAGCGTGATATTCACGTTTTCCCTCACCTGTTATATAACTAATTATAGATCAGATAATGCTCATACTAATTAACTAAAATCGGAAGGATTAATTAATGTTTTCTTTAAAACTATATAGATAGGATCGATGTAGAGTCCTAAAGTATTTTTGTTTTGTTTAATACAAAGAAGACAGATATACAAACAAGTTTCCAATTTGAACTTTTCCAGGCAATTAAAGCGAGGGCGGCAGCCATGGAAGAAAGAAGATCAGCCAGAAATGGGATGAAATTGATGTCCGAGACATTAAACGGAGAAAGAAAAGCCTCTTTTCTGAGAATCAAACCTAGGGAACTTTAATCATAAAGGGCTGGGACTACATAATATAGGTAAGAGTTTAACTTGCGTTAAAATTTGTGGGGCATGTACACGTTTCAAATTTAGCTGAAAAGTGACTAGCAACTTTATGAACAGAGAATCCAGCTTTACCGATGTGACAAGAGGCTTTGACCCAAAAAAGGGTAAAAGTGAAGGGTAAAGAGAAACCAGCCAGAAAACTTTTGCCTGCAATGATTCACGACACTGACAGAGATAATCGTGCAAGTTCACTTGGTGTAAACAAGGGTACACAATGACTCGTATCAAATTAACCAATAAGAGAAAATGAACAGAGATTAAGAGCTCAAGTTGGAGATCAGAAGCTGCCATTAATTTGATGATGGTGTTGAAAAAGTAGATTCATTGATCAGCATGATAATCTTAATTTGATTTTCTGTTCTGTTGGTCGTCCTTTCTCAATCTAGTGATAAGTCAGCTCGTTTAAGTAGGTGTTGGTTTGGTAAGCCGAACAGAAAGTGGGATTAATAATGGAATTTAGTTAGGTGAAGGATTTTCAGCTTGGAAATAACCAGTAAAAAAGACTGTTAATGTCATAGTTCCTATTTTTCAAGGGAAGTTGTTCCCATGTTGCTCCTAAAGTACAACAGGTATAAGCGAGAGGCATTCTTTCCTGCCAAAATGACCCAACTTCACCACCTTACACATTGAGACCGCAAATAACTGTTTAAGCTTCCATAATCAATAGCAAAATCCGTTAATTAACAGAGTCAATTTTCGATGAACTATCAAGTATCTTTGCAGCCCTTTTCAACATCAACTCTCAAGTGGAATAGATAAAAAAACTGAACATTAAACATGTGCGTGAAACGTCAACATTTATCATAAAGCCAAGGATTACCTGGCCAGATAAGAACATTTTGAATGGTCAATCAGTCCCCCTATGGGTGGTTTCCTCGTCTAATCTTGCATGGCGTCTTCAACAAAAGCGAATATTTAAAAGGCGTTTATATCACAATGGACCCCAACGTGTTTGACAATTGGATAGTCACCATACCAACTCTTTGATAAGTCTCATGAATTAGTAATTTGGGGCATATGCTTTTTAATGTGCCCTGTTAGCTTTATCAATCAAGGTCTTAATTTTTTTTCTGACCATCTCCTAAATTCCAAAGTCATGCATGCTCCTAGTCTTAAAGATTAGGTGACCTGCTGGTGTCACGGTGCAGTCCGACCCCGTGTTTTGGCCTATATATATATATATATATAACCTTAGTAGCTAATACTACCAACCGTGCATGCTCTAAACACCCGTACTCCTCTGCACTTTATCACCTTCTTCTGCTTTTATCGAATACAATATATATATTCAGAAAATGGGAGCTTCTCCTCCTCCTCCTCCTCCTTTTAGTGTCGTTTTCATGTTTGTTCTTGTGCTTTGTATCATGGGGAGCAGTAGTACTTCTGCTCAGCTCTCCACAAATTTCTACTCTAAATCCTGTCCAAAGGTCTTCTCCACGGTTAAGTCTACAGTTCAATCCGCAGTGTCGAAAGAGCGCCGCATGGGTGCTTCTCTCGTCCGCTTGTTCTTCCATGACTGTTTTGTCAATGTAATTTCCCCTGCCTCTCTAACTTTATACACCTGCACCTTATTGTCTGTATAACTTGCATGATCAATGTGGTAAACGTGCAGGCTGCATTTTGTTTTCATTTCCAAACTAGCTAGCTCAAGTTTATGTTAAATGTTTTTTTGTCATGAGATACACTAATTTTGTTACTTGTCTACTCAGTGTTAATTCTTGGCCAACTAGACTTGAAGTACTTCATTTTTTTTCTTGCAATTTAATAGTGGAGTTTCATGTCGAAATTATAAAGTCAAAAGTTTAACCCCATACATGTTTTTAATATAATCAATAAAGAGAACTTTTATTAAACGGAAGATTGACGTTGGAACTTTGGCTGGAATGATTCTTTGTGGATCTAAGCATCTTTTGTTCCATGCACATGTTTCTTCTGATAAAAGAGAATATATTCTTGGACCCTACAACTACAAGTTATCGTATCAGGAAATGTCATGGCAAATTAAGTCATTAAGATTAAGCCAGAATCAATATTGAAATACACACTCAAAAAGGGGAGAGGATCGATTTACTGAGAAAACGATGACTATAATGAAAATCTTAATTGTTATTTGTATTAATTTATTCATATCTGATGTTTAATGGCAGGGCTGTGATGGGTCAATACTCCTAGACGATACTTCTTCTTTCAAAGGGGAGAAAACTGCGGGTCCTAATAATAATTCCGTTAGAGGGTTTAATGTTGTTGATGACATTAAGGCCAAGGTGGAGAAAGTTTGTCCTGGTGTAGTTTCCTGCGCAGATATCCTAGCCATTGCGGCTCGGGACTCTGTTGTTATTGTAAGTAAGTTGAATTAAGAGTCCAACATCCATTCACTTTTGTTTTGAACACTAGTCATCAGTCACCTAACCATAGAGCCCAGAAAAATGTATGATTTTTTACAAGAAAAATTTGAATTTGATTGTTGTAGCTTGGAGGACCTGACTGGGATGTCAAGCTTGGAAGAAGGGACTCAAAGACCGCCAGCTTTTCTGCTGCCAATAGTGGTGTCATCCCGCCTCCTACTTCTACCCTTAGCCAACTCATCAATAGATTCCAAGCCAAAGGTCTTTCTGCCAAGGACATGGTTGCATTATCTGGTACAAAGCCTTTTTATTTCAGCCTAGTATCTAGTTCAATTTGTCTCTCTCACGTTCTTTTTCTCTTTGCTGTCTTAAGTTAAATCGCTTCCTGCTGCCAGGGGCACACACAATTGGGAAGGCAAGGTGCATAATTTTCAGAGCACGCATATACAATGAGACGAACATCGATAGTTCATTTGCAAAGGCAAGGCAAAGTAGCTGTCCAAGAACCAGCGGCTCGGGAGACAACAATCTTGCACCTCTGGACGTGGTGACCCCAAATTCCTTTGACACAAACTACTTCCAAAACCTCTTGAACCAAAAGGGTCTGCTCCACTCAGACCAGATACTCTTCAATGGGGGATCCACCGATTCATTGGTTAAAACATACAGCAGCCACACCAAGACATTCTATTCCGACTTCGTTACTGCCATGATAAAGATGGGAGATATTACGCCACTCACTGGATCGAGTGGTGAAATCAGGAAGAATTGCAGGAGGCCTAATTAATTAATTTATCTCTTTGGTTTAGAATTCCACGTGTTCTTTTGCGTTTGGCTCAAATTTCCAATAATTGGAGGACTAGCCTGTTTGCTTGATGATATAGTAAGAGTTTCAAAGAAAAACTGTACTTTCTACCGTTTCTGATAAAACCAAACAAAAAAAAAACTGTAAGATTGTATTCGCAATGACAAATTATTCTCCCTCTTTATTTAGATTAAAAAAGATGTCATATGCATGTCGATGCTTGAGCTCCAAAAGGGACAAATCTTAAACACAAGATTGTGCAAGAACCTGGAAACAGGGGCTCACTTCACTTCAGTTTAAAGTTCTTATTGTTCACGAGTTAAGGCAGAAACTTGAGTCTGTTACTGTTAGCACTACTTAGAGTTCTGTGTGAGTCTGGGTGGGGCAGTGTTGCCCCATCTAGCTGAGTGCAGGATGGAAAGATGTATATGATAAAATTTACTACTCATTAAGTAGTCAATTTATTTCTTAATTATCTAGCTCTTGAGGTGTCTGCTTTATACTCGATCCAACAGAGATTAAAACTCGAACAAAACTTGCGACGAATCAATACTTTATTGCAAAGCCACAGGGTTAGCTACTGAATAGTCCTTTTCAATTGCTAGCTCTTGATTTGGGCTGGCTAATCTGCCTACCATACCTATGGACCCCCTAGCTTTGAAATCTATCACATCCACCACCACCATGTGATGAGCCCAGAACTGGTGACGTCATTGAAGAAGTGAATGACCGGTGGTACAGATCAGCCTTACAAAGTCAATATACTGGAATGCCCATACATTTGCACCCACTGATCAGGAGAGCTTTACGCATTTGGCCCAGAATACAAGGGTCAGCTAGGCATAGAGCTAGTTAACACTCGGACAGAAAGGGAAACCCTGAGCGGGTTGATATCGACCTCAATTAGGAATTCAATGGTTTCCCCTCTCATCTCCTACACCATGTCATCTATTAGCTTATCAAACCACACATTGCATTTGGCGTTTAGATTTCCTTGTTTATTTTGTAAATAGAAACAAACCAAAGAATTGTGAAGATTTAAGTTAGGTAGCAAGGGCCCAAGCAAATGGTTCAAGATCAATTTCCTAAGAAAATGATTAGCACATAGGGCTTAAGTTGTTAATAGTTGAAACTACTGTTAAGGTTCATTGGTTACTTATGTTAAAAAAACTGAAGAAAGAAATATTGAAACATAAGCCTTGTAGGAGTATCCTTATCAACAGTCAAGGTCTTAAATAAATGCTGGCCCATGTCCTTACATCTAGTCTTGTGCATGAATCGGTCTTACTGATTCGGTTACCTGCCCTAGGCCAAAGGGCTATGTTTTTGCCTCTATATAACCCTTGAGCCAGCGGTATGTTTCTCCAACACGCTCCTCTACACATATATTTTTCCCTGCTAATTTCGTCAATTATTCAAAGAGAAAAAATGGCTTCTTCTTGCTCTCTTTCCTCCACTGTCATTGTCATGTCGGTTCTTGTGCTCTTCATGAGGAGCACTTCCGCTCATCACCTTACCACAAATTTCTATTCTAAATCCTGTCCAAAAGTCTTCTTTGCCGTTAACTCTGTAGTCAAGTCTGCAGTGTCGAAAGAGCCCCGGATGGGAGCTTCTCTTGTCCGATTATTCTTTCATGACTGTTTTGTCAATGTAATTTTTTCTCTTGCGTGTCTTTCTGCAATAGATTTTTCTACAGTTGCTGCTATTCTATTACTGCGTTGTATGCATGTAACTGCGGCATGCCTGTGCTTCTTTTACTTTATATCGTTATTCGGCTGCATGAACTGCTCATTGCTATGTAAACATATAACTTAATTAGTAGGAATCAAAGAATATTGCAATTACCAAAAAGTTGCAAACTGCTTCAATTATCTAAACAAATGAATATATTCTCTAAAATAAAACTAAAAGTCCTCTAATAGACCCAACAACTAATGAGCCATGGAAACTGTAAAGGCACATATGGGCAGAAGCCTCCATTCATTAAGCTTCAGCTTGTTTACAGAAAAATCAATCTTGAATTGTATATATTCATGTGGTTATTATTTAATGTTTTGATGATAGGGCTGTGATGGGTCAATACTCCTAGATGATACTTCTTCTTTCAAAGGGGAGAAAACCGCAGCTCCCAATAATAATTCCGTGAGAGGATTTCATGTTGTTGATGACATCAAGTCCGAGGTGGAGAAAGTTTGCCCTGGTATAGTTTCCTGTGCTGATATCTTAGCCATTGCAGCTCGGGACTCTGTTGTTCTTGTAAGTAAAATGGAAAAGGTCCAAATAATTAAATTCCCTTCAATAGATTGAACTGTCTTTGAATATTATTACCGAAAATTCTTGAAAATTTGTTGTACCGACAGTCCTAATAGATAACTTTAATGACTTAAAGCAATCAATTATGCTGCAGCTTGGAGGGCCAGGCTGGGAGGTTAAACTAGGAAGACGGGATTCAAAGACAGCCAACTTTACAGCTGCCAATAATGGCAGTTTCATCCCTGCTCCTACTTCTAATCTAAGCACACTCATCTCCTCATTCAGAGTTCAAGGTCTTTCAGCCGATGACATGGTTGCATTATCTGGTATGATCTCTTGTTTCTTTCTTGGCTTTAATTAGGATCTCTGGGTTAACAAAAATAGCTCCATGTTGGTGTAGGGGCTCATACAATTGGGAAGGCTAGGTGCACAAGTTTCAGAAGTCGCATATACAATGAGACGAACATTGATAGTTCATTCGCAGAGAGTAGGCGAAGAAACTGCCCGAGTGCTAGTGGCTCAGGGGACGACAATCTAGCACCTCTAGACGTTCAAACTCCTGATTGTTTTGACAAAAAATACTTCCAGAACCTCATGAACAAAAAGGGCCTGCTCCATTCAGACCAAGTACTGTTCAATGGCGGATCCACCGATTCCTTGGTTAAACAATACGGCCGCAGCACGAAGGCATTCAATTCCGACTTCGTCGCTGCAATGATCAAGATGGGAGATATCAAGCCGCTCACCGGGTCGCACGGTGAGATCAGGAAGAATTGTAGGAAGCCCAATTAATAGGTGGAGATTGTTATTTCTCTTTGTTTTGAAACCAAAAAACAAAAATGGTCTTCACTTTTGATAGTGAACTCGCCATGTTCGTGGATGTTTCTGTTTGCAATGGAATTATGCAATTGGCCAAAAAAAATGCCTGTGTATATTCATTGGAACTGTACAGCTTACAAGAAAGGCTGGGTGTGCTGGAACAAACACTGCACCCCCTGCAAACACAATCGTCTGACTGTCTTGATACTGACCAAAAATATATCCCCATTCAACAATTACCGACACCCAGAAATCGGAAAAAATTCAGTATTTACACTAATCATAGAAATACCCATGAGGCCAGGAGAAGGTAATCCAGGCACAGCAGCCAAACCATCTCAGTAGAGTTCCCGCAAAACAACAGACGTTCAAGAAGAGAACACAACAGATTCAGAAGTTCACACAATTACGGTCTGCCCACAATAAAAAATGACAGATATGAAGCATTGCAACAAGGACTAGAACAGAAGAGAACAGAAAACGTACCAGGTCGGTAAACAGTAGAAATTTGGATTGGAAAAGGTCATGTCCTCAAGAACACAGGGAACCACACAAACTTATGGCCAGGAAACAGCCAGAGACCAAACATTTCGCTAAGAACCGACAATAATTGAAAAGCCAAATGTCCTTTGATTTTTTAAAAAATTATATTTATTGAAAAATATACAATTGCTATGTTGAAAACAGACGTTTCTATTGAGAAGAGATATCTTTTGCATATAAATAGGATTTTATAATTTTCTGAAGATGCATGAAAAAGGCAGAAGAGAAACAATTTGTAATTATTCTTTTTATTTTTTTCAAATTTTTTTTAAATTACTTTTGTAGTGTTTTGCTACAGAAAAATTTTACAAGAGTTTAATAATGTTGTCATAATTAGTGAATATTTAATAGTTTGATTTCGTTAATATAAAATACAGTCAATTATTAAATATTTTCAAAAATTTTCAGTTATAACTCTTTTACATATTATTAACATAAATGAATAAAATTTTAAAAAAAGTTATGTTCTAATGATCACTGTTAACCTCTCTCGGAGTGTGCTTGATTTTCCAATGCTTGCAATCAATTAGAAAGTCATTTTGAAATAAGGGCAATATCGTGTCAACTCTCTTCACCTTCTCTTTAAATGTCTATTCGCATCAAATTACCTCAAAAAAAAAAATGCACTAATTAATCATTTTTATGGACATGTAAGTTTGGGTACGTAAATCCTAATTATTTATGCATAATCAAAATTATGAATATATATACCTTCTCACTTAATCTATGATACTCAAATCATTCGCAAATGTTTCTTAATTAATTCGACGTAGAAAACAGGCTCCTAATTGTTGTTTTGGACAGAAGCCATAACCAGCAGCATGCTTCTAACCCTTTGGGTAGAGCCATTAATCCGATCAAGTTGTTTACGAAGGAAGTCGGGCCTAGTGACACACGGCCTTCATGAATTAAAGATATACAGATTGATTAATACCGAATTCTCGGCCAGGGCCTTTCTAAATCTAGCAAGCCCCTAACAAAGAATCCCGGTCAAACAATCTATCGCCTAGCTGCCGGCCATAGTGCTGGTCAAACACTCAAGGTTATATACATATATTCCAAGAATTTAATTAAAATCTTACAAGTAATTTTTGATATATCTGTAATAAATTAATTTAATAATAATGGGAGTGAAAACTGTTTATTTATTATATGATTTTTACGATATTGTGTCGTGTTTTATATAGATATTAAATTATCTTAATTTTTTCATACATCAAAAAACTGTATTGAGTTTTTTATTTTAATCAAATTTATTTATAATTAAGAAAAAAATTAATTTGTGATAAGATGCTAATTAGGGACATCTATTTTTCTATATATATATATATATATATATATATATAGCTAAGGACATCTAATTATCCAATAATGCCAATTTCCTGTGATATTATTCACATGAGAACAAAATTAACATATATAGCTAAGGCCAAATTTAGCATGTTAGTAAGTGAATATTTTTGCCCCTCGTTTAACTTATTTTTCAGTGACAACTCAAAATGTTTCAATTAAGGACAATTAATTCTGGTAATTGGGCAATTCACTAACTAAAAAAAAGGTGGTTAATTCCAATATTTTTCTTAAATATCAACTGGTGCAATTAAGCCCATGTGAGGTCTGCAGTGATACATTTGAAGCTACAAATTAAAATAATCACTGGAAATCAATGAATTAATTTGATATAGAAATCTAATAGGAGTGGTCAACGCCACATAAATGCAACATCAGTCACAAGTACTTTGTATAGTAAATAATTCCATCGATTTTGAAGGTAATCTGACCTTTGATTACATTCAATTAATTTAATTAGCTTTTGTTTTTGGTATAATTGAAGAAAATTTAATGGGGTGAGATGCCAACATTTGAAGCAACCACGACGTGAAACCAAATTCCATCACAATTTCACATGGCTGCTTGCATTTAATTTTATACTATTTTTTTTTTTTGCTTGTAATATTAAATTGCTCTTTCTGCTCACTGGTTGAGCTCCACACGCCAAGGAAACCATTACCATCAATTCTACGTACGTACATATACAGCCAATTGCTTTCGCTTGCGTTCTGGGTCTGCAAACTTTCATTCCTAAGTAATTTCAATCTGTTCCCTTTTCTCTGTTGGATTTTACATGGTAGTAGACATGTAATTAAGCTGTACAAATCCTGTACCAAATGTTGAAAGAAGATTCATACCGACATTGCGTCTGTTCATCTTTCGTGGGTTAAAACGGCATTCTCATGTATACTAGTACTCCAAAGCAAAGTTGTTCAATCTTGTATAATTTTAAATTCTTCTTTAAATTCGATCTTTTGACACATCTTTAGATTTTGATTTCGAATCACTTGATGTTGAAAATATTTACAACTTTACAAATAAATATTATCCTTCTAATAACTTTACTTAATATGATATTGACATTTTCCATAATCAAGCTTTAAACTCGCTCTTTCACTTTTCATTACAACATCAAAACATACCATTTTTATTTTGAAACTTATCAAAAACGAAACTCGTAATAAAATGTTTGATGTTTTTTTAAAAATTCATTGATTATTTTCATTAAAAAGGAAATCATTATTCAATAATAGATGCTTTCAATTTTATGAAAGATCATTGAACTCAATTGAAGATACTTACTCTTAGCATGTAATAGATGTTAAAAAATATTTATTTTTATTTTATATTTAACACGTAATTAAAATTATTTGTGTAATTTTCATAAATTATTTTATATTTTGACAACTTGTAACATTATTGTTCTATAGATATTATTTTCGTCCTCCTCCATTGCATGTATTAACAATTTGAAGAATGTGGTTGGTTTTTGCATCGCATCTTAATTATACTGTACATGTAAAGAGTATTGTATCTACCACATGCCGTGAATAGAACAACATATAGGCAGAGAAATCCAAAGAGCAAGCCAGAGGAGGATGAACAAGCACGAAGGAAGAACACATGCAAAAACCAGATTCATCCAAGCAATGCATGCATATGTAGTAATACTATTAATTGGTCTTGACAGACTCAAATCTCCAGACTGTTGCACTGCAAAGAAAGGTTAATAACGTAATTTACATTGGGGGTGTGAGGGGCAATGGGGACAGTGAGTTTAATGACAATATTCCGAATTGATTGCAACTTTTCAACTCTCACATGGGGAGAATCGCCATCACAATACTTTTTGTCTCCCCTTGCACGTTCCACAAACAAGTTATTTCAGGCCCTTCGATGGCACAAACAAACATGAGGGAGGTAGCCCTAAGGCTTTGTCAAACTACCAGAGCATATTACCTGCACGTGTGAATGATCAATCTTAGATCTTGAGGGAATCATGGCTAGCGTCGGATAGCGGAAACCGCACACCTCTTGCAGTCACTGTTAGGCTGAAGCCTCCATTTGCGTAGTTGAATTTCTTCCAATGCCAATCAAATTCGTGAATTTCTTTTCCCTTGGTGGATTGTGATGACTTTTGTTGTGATTGGTTTTCATTTGAACGGTGGATTGACATTTTCAGAACATTTGAATTTCAGGAGAGGAAGTAAAGAAATGTAATGTATTTTCTCTCAGCCAAAGGCCTCGTAGATGAATTGAAACCATGAAAGAGGGAGAAATTCAATTATGGGTAGCGAAGACATAACAAAGAATTGCTTTGGTCAAAGTATTTGAAAAGAAATGAAAACTTGAAATCTGATAACAAGTATGATAAGATTTCCCAAGTTTTCATTTCTTTTCCCACATACGGTATCTCGATCAAGGTACGAAAAGGAAAAAAGAAGGTAAAAAATCCCAATACAATATCTCATTAGCTGTCTACTCTATCAATAATCATTTTTATTACTGAACGAAGGAAAAAAATATTCGGATTATGGCTTATAAAATTAATCAAAGTATGGAACATTATCACTGGAAATGGAGCTATAGCCCGCTGCACTAGTTGGCGGTGTATATAGAGAAGACGTGGAAGATGAGGAAGCTGAGGAGACAACAATGGAAGGTGGAGGAGGTGGAGGGATTGGAGGAAGAGGTGATGGTGGAGCAGCAATTGATACCGCCCCAGAAGAAATTAAAGCAGCATGACTAGAAGGGATGATGTTACTAGTACTAGCTTCTCTAAATTTGTATTTGAGTATCTCGGCTCTTACTGCGTTCAGTTCTGCCTGCAAAGTCTGCATTTGTTGCTGTAAAGTTACAATTGCACCCATGCACCCATATACAGGATCTCTCAACCTCAAGTTTGCCTCATAAACCAGACTATTCGCTGCATCGGCTCTTTGGCTCTCTGGCACCTCCTGTGAAGGCAAGAAATCTATATAGAAGGGAATTTCGGAAAAGAGCGGAAAAAACAGTAGGAGAAAATTATCCCAAAAGAAAAAAGGGAAAATCAGTAGCCTGTAGGAGAGATCGTGGGGGGTGTTACCATTAACATCTTGGAGACATTGCTTGCACCAAAAACTTTGTGAACAGCAGCAAATTTCTGGGGTTCATGTGGGGAGAAATAAGGAGAGAAAGGACACTCTTCAGCACACCTTCTCCTCAAGAGTTTACATGCAGCACAAGGCGTGATAGTATTCAAGGCTCCAGGAGGACCTAACAGATGTCTCCTCCCCATTTGAGAAGATGCATCTGTCTTGATCTTCTTTCCCATCTCATCAAATCTCTCCCTGAGAAACAAGACAACAGGGGGTTGAAAAGTTACATCAAGTCTTAATAATCAGATTCTTGATACATAGAGTACTAAGAAGCATCTGGAATCGCTAATCCCCCCACCACCCCTAGCCCCTACCCAAGATAAAAAAAAAAAAAAGAGGGAAAAATTTATCAGGATAGAAACTAAAGATGAGATGATTTTGTTTCTTAATTTAATGTGCTCCTATTTGTGAATGATCTTGTACCTGTCTCTGGACATTCAAGCATGCTAGTCGGTTGTCTGGATCAAAGGAGGTGCGCAGAGGGAGTAGTTGGGAGTCTAGAAGGGAGAGTAAAAGAAGCATGAAAAATGGGGAAAAGAGTGCTTAAAAGGCAAGGTAATCTGGGGAAAGTAGGTCAATGCCTTTTTAAGAGAAACAAACAAAAGGGAAACGAGGGAGAGGGGGAAACAATGTTGAACAGGGAATTATTTTCAAGTTGCTGATATTATATTACTAATAATTAATATATTATCCATGGATTAGGTTAAGACTTAAGCGATAATAATACAAAAATTGGGAGATATAGTTGTGAGTTTTGCATCTATATCTAATTATCTATCTATCTATCTATCTATATATAATATATATATATATATATATGGATGCATTATTTTTCTGAAATATATATGCTGATTCTTATTATTAATATATATATATATATATGTATGTATCTAATAAGCCGTATTTTGATACATGTGGGAGCACACGTTTGATATCTCAATGAAAGAATTTCATCAGGTTTTTGGATCTGAATAAGATATTAATCAACCAACAAGAAGGACACAATATATATATATATATATATGTATAGATATTATACAGGAGCTTAACTAAAATACCAGTAGAAGGTTGTCAATTTGACTAAAGAAGCCTATTTTTCATTAGGATTATGAATATCAATTAAAAGCAAAGCTCAAAGATGCTCCATCTTGACATATGTAATCATGTAGCTGCATTCATCCTTAATTAACAAAAAAAAAAGTTATTTCTGATGGAAATTTTTTTATCGAAATTCAACCAAATAGTAATTTTTCCAATTCCTCCAAACAATCCCAGTTTCTTATCTTTTTTTAGTATATTAGGAATGTTGCAACGCTAGAATCATTTAATAAGTAAACCATTTGGGAGATACAAAACCCACTGATCATTGCCTATATACTTGTTTCCTTCTTGGTGAGATTTCCAGAACCAATTCTTGATTAAAATGTGCCTTGGAAGGGCCCTTACATATAGAATATCTAACCACGACAGTTTTGACTCTTGCAAAAACAGTGGTGTTGATCAGTTGTCACTTGTCACCAGAATGTGATTTTTGCTGCATTGGGAAACAAGTGTATATCTTTATACTATCTCTTTTCGAACTCATAGAATATAAATTCATTCTACAAAACAGTGTATTGTTAATTACCAATGGCTAGCTTTCACAAGAAAGGAAAAAATTCCTGTGGCTTGGGGTATAGTCTCTTACCACCAACCTTCACTCAAGAGAAGCTGATTCTTATCTTTTAATTTATTAATAAAATTGTATGTGAAGGAAATGAAACACGGTTCATAGAACATTCATTCCATTTCATGATAGTTTATTCATAAGCAAGTTTATGGGGTCACATCATGCGGGATATGTCAGTATCCATATATTTGTTTGCTTCCATTTGTGTGTATCATCTAATTTACGTGCAAGCTTAGGAAACAAAAAGACGAAGATCAATCTATTTGAATGCCAATTCTCAAAGCAAAATGCTTTACAAGATTTCCCTTTGAAAATGGATACCATGATGTTATATATATAATCTAACAACAAAGCCCATAGCTCCTCTAAATTCTACTACACATAATTTGCACTTGGAAATTAATATTGGTATGCATTACACTTTGTTCTGTTGATAACGATTATGAATGATGAAAGAAACTTCGCAAAATGAAAGGGGACATGAGGGAAAGAGAGGTATTGTCTTGTCTTAGTGAGAGTTTGGTGTCGATGGTAGGTGAAGAAAAACGAAGGAAACCTAAAAATTATGTCATTTAAAGGAGGAATCTAAATCTAACAGTAAACATATGTAGTAATAAAACTAGCTTAAAATGTAAGGAAATGGAATCATCAGTTCTTGTTTGACCCGTATTTTAAGGCATAAAAGTCGGATTTTTTTTTTATGACAATTTACTATTTTTTTCCCCTTTAACTCAGCATTGGCAAAATTTCACCCTTGGTCTATGCATGTGTTTTAAACCTAAGACTATATGGCTAGCAGAGACTAAGAATCAGGCGACAAGGGTTCAACTTCAAACATCTATTAATTACCAGCAACAAGACATTCGTTTCAAATGGAAAAATATCAAACATCCAATGGATGAATACATGTGACATATGATCTACACCATCCACCTTCCAGCAACCGAATCCCACAACTTAAAAACAAAGGAGCCATCAAGTAGGTCTATAAATGTACTGAACCATTTTTTGTCTTACTCTCTATCTTGTTCTATCACTTTCCTATATTTTCTTCTTTATTTCTTATCATTTATCATCATATTCAATATTTCAAAGATTCTTTCGATTTTTTTTTCGCCAGCTCCGACACTTCTCGTATTACTCATCTATAATAGAAAAAACCCTATTCTCGTTCTACAAGCTATAATACATACAAAAACTTGCTTTATAGAAGTCTGCCAATGCCAATTCCGTTCCATGTCAGATTCCTAATCAATGAAATGCCAAGGATGAAGCTGCATCGACAACTTTCTTTCAAACAAACGAGCCCCTGGGTCGTTTCTCATCAGCATCAGTGTCTAACATCGTACAGACTAAGCCCAGCCCAAGTCAAAATCTAAAAAGTCAAAAGTTGTACCTTTGTTGGACTTTCTCCCCAAGCCTATGTTACCATAGCTGCCGGCCCAGAGAATTGCTTGGGCGGTTGCCGTGCAGCAGTTTGACAGATCAACCTCCAAATCTAGTTTGACTGCATATAATACTGAAAAGCTAAGGGACTAATTAGGAGGCCAAAGGGTGTGATATCGCTAATAACCAATAAATTATTGTCTTATGACATAATTTTTGTTAGAAAAAGAGAGTGATCCTTTGCATTAGAAAAGGTCACCCTCTGGTTTTGCCGTGCAGAGAGTGGTGAGCCAAGTTTATTGCCAACTTGAAGGGTCAGAAATCAGAGACCCCAAGTGCAAAAAAGATACATAAAAATTACAAAGGTTGCTGGGGAAAGTCAAAAGTTGCAACCCTGCAAAATTTTAACCTGCCGACTCATTGAAATATATATGCTACAACTTGGAAGATACATAGAGTCTCCTCTTTTTGAACTTTCTACTACTGAAATTGTTTACCAGGCCATTGCTCCCAGCCCCAGGTCTCATATACCTTTATCAATAAAGAAACCCAATCATAAATTAAAACAACTTTTTTTTTGGTTTGGTTTGTGATGAACCCCAAAATTGTAGCCATATGTGAAGCCAAAGCTGGTCCGAGTATAATGAGCAATGCTGCCCCAGGGGTGGTGGTTGTATCTGATGCCATGTGCGGTTACATGTTGGCTATTCGAAATTCCATTTAATGCTCAATAAAACCACCAGTTCACTAAAATAAAGTGGTATAAATACCATGGAAAGCTTCTATTTATACCTTGTTCACTTTCTCCTGATTTTCACATGCCTGAGGACAAGGGCACAATCAGATCCAGCCAATGCATTCATGCAAAATTAACAAGTGTGGGGGAAAAAAGTTAAAAATATGAACCATCAATTTCCTCTGTATTGATAGAAAAGAGAGAGGCTTGACCTTGTCTAAAGTAGTATAAACAATGCTGACAGTTCAGTGCCATGCCCCATCATCAATGACACAGTCACACAGCCTCGGAATGAATTTCTAAATTGTTCATCCCAGATCTGCTTGAAATTGCCCAAAAATTCACATTGAATAAACTAAACATCACAGAGTTTGATGCAGCTAACAAATGGTTTGGGTTTATTCTGTCCCAAAAACAAACAATAAACCTTTCAATTGTTATTTCTAACCTGCTGTATATTTTGACAAGGTAGTATTCTTTCATGCTTTAAGGAAAAAACTAAAGAAAGAAAACACTCTCAATGCAAGGGTTTTAATATTTATCCGCAAGTCAATGGATTGTTTGCATTATATTTTATCAAAGTAAAACCGACAAACCAGTGTGCTAACCTAATTCCATGCAGAAGGAGAAAAAGATGTAGAACACAATTGTAAAGCTTAGCATTACAAACTTTCCAACCACTAATTCAGTAGCTTCTTTTGGGAAATAACAAAAACGACTTGATCATACAATTAATTTTCTGTAGCATTGCGAGTTACACCATACACGAGAACCAAAAGCTCCACAGGAAAAAGATAGGACGCACCACCATGGCTTATTGATCTCTAAGCGATACCTTGAGCATAGATGAAAAAATGCCTCGAGACCTGGTACTTGCTCCACGACCAAAGCATGGAGTTGAAACAGAGGATTGGTATTCATGTTCTTCCTCGTCATCAGCCCTTGAATCACAGAATAGTCTCGCTCTTGATAACTCATTTCGTGAGTACAAATTCGATGCCGTCATTGGAGATGATGGCACAGAATATGGTCTTGGCCACGGTGATGATGAACACGATGACGAAGCTGATGATGTTGAAGAAGAAGCAGGAGAGAGTCGCACACGAGTTTTCCTCCTGGAACGCTTAGGGAAGATGGTATCGAGGAGGTTAGGCTTTGATTGGTTTTTTTTGACGGGTCGTTTTGGGGTGGAATAAAAGTAGGAAGGAGGGGGTGTTAGAGGAGGGAGACTGGGGATTTCACTGGACTTAACTTTAGGAGTGCCAGGTTCAGACTCCCAGCTGAAAGGAACTGCGACAGATGCTCCTCCATGATAATCTTCGAAGGAGAGGTTAATCATGGAGATCTCTCTGCTTGAACCTCTGGTGAAGAAATTGCCATGCTGCTTGATCCGGAGGGACTTCTGGGACAGATACAAGCTGCTTGCTTGCATTTTTGCTTCCAACGATCCCACCTCGGACTTGACTTGAGTGACTTTGGATGTGTATAGATGAAAAGCAGAGCTATGGCTACGGACGGACCTGCTCAAGGGTTTATGGTTTTAAGACCTCCCAATTGATGATCAGTTCTACATGTGAATGTCAGGCATGTGAGAAATGACTCAGATTACTCCCCTTAATACTAGGTAGTTTTCAGTGACATCTTTTTTGGTGTACCCCAAAACAGGATGACCAATCAAGCATCTCATGATCTCAACCCAAACAAATTTGGTTGTTAAAAATTGTCACACTAAAACTAAGTAGGTTAAAACAAACTGCCCATTATTGTTGACTAAAAGGTAAATAAATAATATGGGTCACTCTCACTCATGTGGGATGCAAAGGCTTGCATCCAGATCCTACATCCACTTTAATTGCCACGCTGATGGATGCATCATGCTGTTCCCTTGAATAGATGTAGAATTTTTCCATATGCTCTCCACCTTTCCCCCCTTCATTGGTATTTTGGCCTTCTTACTATGGAAAAAGAAAAAACAGGCAGCTGCATTTGCCACCATTCTGCTTTTTGGTAGTGTTTTTCCATTTCCTTCATTGCTTTGGTCAAGTGATTTAACCTTGTAAGTTTGGAGATACGCATACTGAGCAAGTTCTCAGCCACTGTTTCCACTACAATATGGTTCCTAGTGTTTCTCCTTCAAGTCTTTAATATGTGATGTGTACTTATTCGAATTATACTGAGTGGAAGAAGCAGAACACACAATGACACTAAAATTTCAGGGGTTAGTTTACTAGTTTTAACAAAAAGGAAGAAATCAAGTAGTAGTTCTTCCATTTATCTTGTATTGAATGATAAGCATGTGCCATACCAGCACAGAAAGCTCCAAAAAGCATGGCATTGAAATTCGCCATTAAGAACTGCTAAGCAAGGGAAGGACTATGCAGTGCAAGTCTAGTGGTAGACCGGTAGTTACAGTAATACTCTAGAACATATTATCATCATCACACACCAAACTCAACATAATGATTCATCTGAAGCCCTTACTAACTGCCTAATGATTGATCTTCTTTTATGTGCTCTGAAACACTGATGCCAATCACTGTCCGAAAGTTTTAAGAGGAGCCCTACATCAGTGAAATTTAGCTGGCAAACTAAAGACGGGGTTAACGTGTCGTTGGAATCTTGTCATTTGAGCTTAACCATTTACATTGGCTAAGAAGGTGTTTTTGATCCTTAAACCTAGCCTGGAAATTCTCACTCAAATAAACCTTGTTACTCATGATCAGTACCATTAATCTCAGCACAAGTTGCCCTTAATTTATTTGATCATTTAGCTAACTAATCCTGATTACCTTCAAATTAACTCAGTTCAACTTTTGCTGAACAAATGGAAACTGTGCTCCATCAAAGTCATCAAGATAAGCTACTCCACTAATTAATTCCATCCACCTCCAGCGAAGGTGTAATCTACATGAATTTGATAGTAGTCATATCCAAATCATCTCAGCAGCATGATGCGGTTATCAGATCCTTGTCAACTTTCCTTGTACCCCATTCCTACACAGAACTCTGTTCATAGGCTTGTCGGGAACAGCAAGAAGGAAACAACATCTAGCTCTCACATCAGCAGCAATTTGTTGATATATAGCTTCAGGAAACTTCATGTTGCTGGAACTCATGTCACTCTTCAATACGGTTCTGAATCTTACCTTCTCTCGACAAGTATATAATACCCCAATTATCTCAAAAAAAAAAAAAAAGAAAAAGAAGTCGCAATCTGTGGTGACATAAGTTGTTTTTTTAAGCATATCTCCACATTTAGTGGCTTCAATCTCTTGAGCTTTCTTATTCATTAATTTCTTGATGCAAGTTGAATTTGTCTAAATTTCAGTCTTATGTAGTACTTGGTATTTGCTTGTTACATACCCAAAAATTAATTAAGACAGAAAAAGAAAGGTAGTCGGGCTGGACTTGGTTATCATGTTCATGGATATCTATTTTGTGGACTTCAAACATGAAAGCGAAAGAACGAAAACCGCATCAATCCCACATTGACAAATGGCAATGCCAAATGGCCCAAATCCAAAGACTTGAGCTTGAGAAACAAGACAAGTCAACAAAAGTATCAGTTGGCGCCCACATGTTTGAGACGGTCTATGTCTCCCGGTTATCGTTTCGTGTGGTCAGAAGATTGGGTCTGTTTGGTTACAACAGAGGGGATCTCATAATTCTTAGTTTGATCCTGCTCGCACGAGAGCTTCACGCCTTCTCTTGATTATGTTTTTCTCAATAGCAAAAAAGTTGTTGATTACTTAACTTATTAGCCAAAGCTCTGATCTTTATTTTCGATCTTTCGTCGAAAAAGCTTCCAGATAAGAATCTCAAAGTTTGAGATCAGTTTTTGTATGCCTACACCCAGAAAAGAAAAGGTATTGCTTTCTTTGATTTATTGTTTGGATTGATGAGTAATTCACTGCGGAATTTTCTCTTATTTGATTCTCATTAATACTCTTTCATTTTATGCTTTGATGGTGGGATAATGGTTTGGCTGCTTATTTCATTCAATCTTCAACGAAAGATCTTCCCTTTTTGGTTAAAATTTCTCCCTTTTCTTTATTTTGCACAGTGAGTGTAGGATATCTATATATGCTTGTATTTGACATGAACTGAATTTCATTTGTGGGCGATCGCTGGAAAGGATGAGTTTTTTTTTTTTCTGCCATTGTTTACTTCTTCTGTATTTGAAGTATAAGCTATTGAGAATGTTTTTTCTTTGCAGGTTTCAGTTTGGAATTGTGACAACTGTTTGCGAAATTTTGATTGAGGGTCCTTCAGTTGTCCTTTAATACATACTTTTAGCATTCTGAAGTTAGTTTTCAAAAAGATAAAAAGCCTGGGAATGCTGAAAGATGTGCCTCATCGTTCAAAACTCTATCTTTGAAGTTCATGAGCTTACAGCTTTTCGAGGCCTGACCTTTCTCGTCTTTGATGAGGTAGGAGCTATTGATCATGGTTCACTAACTCTCCATGCACAGAAGCAGGATAGGCCTGTAAGTTTTTCTAGAGTGCCCTATCTGGTAATGCATGATCTTTGTGGAGACGGTTGAGCTCATTCTATTACCAATATCTCCTGCTCTGTAAATTACATAACTTGTGCTTGCGGGGGTTAGTTGATAGCTCTTTATATTAGGTTTAGCTTGGAATGGAAAATAAACCGAGTGTGTTGACACAAAGATATGAAATTGGGAGGTTACTAGGCCAAGGTACCTTTGCAAAGGTTTACTATGCAAGGAGCATCGGAACCAACCAGAGTGTGGCCATCAAAGTGATAGACAAAGAAAAGATCCTGAGGGGTGGGTTGATTAATCAGATCAAGCGAGAGATTTCTGTGATGAGAATTGCTAGGCACCCTAATATTGTGCAGCTTTATGAGGTAATGGCCACCAAAACTAAGATTTACTTTGTTATGGAATATTGCAAAGGTGGAGAGCTCTTTAACAAGGTTTCCAAGGGAAGACTAAAAGAGAATGTTGCAAGAAAGTATTTTATACAGCTGATCAATGCGGTTGATTTTTGCCACAGTCGGGGTGTTTATCACCGGGATATAAAGCCAGAGAACCTATTATTGGATGACAATGAGAATCTAAAGGTCTCTGACTTTGGGTTAAGTGCCCTAGCAGAATGCAAGCACCAAGATGGCCTGCTTCACACTACTTGCGGTACCCCTGCATATGTTGCTCCTGAAGTGATCAACAGAAAAGGTTATGATGGAGCAGCAGCTGATATTTGGTCTTGTGGTGTGGTTTTATATGTCTTATTGGCTGGTTATCTACCATTTCACGATTCAAATTTGATGGAGATGTACAGAAAAATTGGCAGAGCAGAGTTTAGATATCCTAGCTGGTTCCCTCCAGAAGCACGCAGGCTGGTGTCTAAGATGTTGGATCCGAACCCCAGTACTAGGATTTCAATGTCTAAGATTAGGGGAAGTTCTTGGTTTAAGAAAGGATTGAATGCCGAACAAAAAAAACCTGAAACTGAAAACGAGCAAGTTTCTGTGGATGTGGGTGCCTCTGGTCCTTGTGAGACTACCAATGTTGATGCTGAGACTAAACAAGAATCAGTTCAACCTCCAAACATAAATGCTTTTGATATCATCTCCCTTTCTGCTGGGTTTGATCTGTCAGGATTTTTTGAGGGAGTGTCTCCAAAGAGAGAAACAAGATTTACATCTAGACAACCTGCCTCAGTCATCATCTCCAAGCTGGAAGAAGCTGCTAGACGTTTGAGATTAAAGGTGAAAAAGAAGGATGCAGGTCTGTTGAAAATGGAAGGGCTAAAGGAGGGTAGGAAGGGGATCTTGTCCATTGATGCGGAGATCTTTCAAGTGACTCCAACTTTTCATTTGGTGGAAATTAAGAAATCTAATGGAGATACATTGGAATATCAGAAGATATTGAAGGAAGATATGAGGCCTGCTCTCCAAGATATTGTTTGGGTTTGGCAGGGTGATCAACAACAGCCGTTGCAACAGCAGGAGCTAGAACAAGAGGAACAGCAGCAGCTTCAACAACAGAATGATTCTAGCACTTGCTCCGGCAGCAGCTTGGACAAACGTTCTTAAATTGCCAATTTATCATGATTTCGTATGTTTGTACATTGCCATACTACACTTGTTTATAGATTCAGTTTTGTTCTTCCTGTGAGTGTATTACACCGGTTTCAGTAAAATTACTGCTTTTTTAGCAAACGCAACTGATGGCTGACTACCATTTTACATCGCACTATTTGTACAACATCTCTCTGCTTCAATCTCTGTTTAGCATTTCTAAAATTTGCGTTAGTAGATCAATGAATTGCGAGTACTGCTGTCAGCACTTGATGATCTTGAGTGCGATGCAATCCGTGTTCATATTCTTGTATAAATATCCAATCGAAATGCTAAGTCACCTGAGTTTTCAATTAGTTGGTTTCTAGAACTTGGATTAAGAATTGCAGGGTCAAGCCACCAAGGAAGAATGGCAAAGGGAACTCATCATGTTGTTCCAAAATCAGAATCATAATCTTCTGCAGCGGATTTATAATTATAAACAGAACTTGCATGAAACAAAGTTCTCACCGTCAGTCTTAACTGACCGTAACTCACATCTGGCACCTGTTTCGTCTCCATTTACTGCAAAGAAAGCATGCAGAGAAACAGAAGGCTGAATGTCCATAACTTATGTTTTGAAAATTAAATTATATTACTGTGTTCCAAGTAACATCGCCCTCAAGCGTCATGGTCACTCTGTTTTATCTGGAATAGCTCTGTTATTTTGGTCGCATAGCTGCTGTTATGAAATGTTATAATTCTGCTTCATTCTTGATTGATGGTGGGAAACTGGAATTGAGATATTTAGGGTGTCTGGTTGAAGTGATAGTGACATTAGTGGATGATCCAAGGGCCACGCGGAGCGCACCTACCTGCCTTTTAAAAGATCCTTGGGGCTTGATGGAATCTGATTATTAGGGTGTGTTTTGATTCATGTTGTCAAGTCCAAAAAGGCAACAGAGTCGTATGGTAATCATGTGATTGATAGCCACAAACCATGTCATGCGGCTAATTGTGTCACCAGATGTCTTCCCTTGATTAATTGCCTTGCTTGTGGAACATTCAGATTCACCGTTGAAGCATCCACAAACGTGCACTAAGATATTAAGATAAGGGTTTAGGTGGCATTTCTAAATTTTTAATTAGGTATTTATAGAATTCAGATATCCCATTAATTAATAAGTTAAGGTCAAGGTAAAGTACTTTAAAAATAATGAGTACCTATCAATTAGAGATGACCCAAAGCAACATATGCAATAAACAAAATCAACTGTAAGTACCTTACAACCAACATTGTCAATCTAGAAAATTCAAAATGAAAATTCAAATGAACTTTTTATTTCAGAGGTAAGTTCACTCCTAACATACAATGATGTGATTCCCTCATCATCAGATAACCGAGGATTGTAGTATTTGTTGAAAACAGCAACTACTTAACATTCAAGCAGGGATTTATAATGGAATTGAAATAAGTTCCCTGTTCAGGCCTTCCTTATTATTATGGATTAAAAGAATTGTTAGTGTCCTTCCTTAACCCTTCTCTTATTCATCATTAGTACGCTCAACACTCTACACTCAGCAAAGCTTAAGTGAGATCTATGATCTCAGGAGAAAACATAGAAATTCTTCTCTTTTTGCTGTCTGATCTGGCTCTACAGGCAGGAGGCGGGGTTAATAAATCTATAACCTCGACTTCATGAGCAACAGTAGAACTAGGGAGTTGATCTTCCATAACAGCAACGTCAGTTGTCAACGGTTTCTCCCTTGGCTGTTGATCTTCATTGGCTGCCACTACAGCTGTAAATTGCTTCCGACTTGGACATTCCTTCTCAATAATACTTGTATTGGCACCTTCAGCTGTCTCACCATCGGAAAGGCTGGTAACAAATGAGGGAGACGTTCGTACTGATGAATAATCACAATCAAATGGCTGTGTGTGATATATTCCAAAAGTGGATGAGTCCCCTGGTTTTTCATATCCTTCATAAGTAGTAGTCAACGGTTTCTCTCTTACCCACGGTTGTGGATCTACCATGGGGAGGCCAGTAGCTATTGAGGAAGTTTTTCTTGTAGGAGAATCAATGAAAACATGTGGCTGTATATTATGTACTCCAAGAGTGGATGAGTCCACTGGTTTTCTTGTTCCATATTCTTCAATGTCTTCAAATTCTTCATGAGAAGCCTCATGAATGCTGCTAAGAAAATTATCTGCTGAAGCAGTAACCACTTCATCTGGATATGTTTCCCAAACAGTTTCACAAGTATCATTGACTTCATCATATTCATCTAAGTTATCACAATCATCTTTGTATTCAAACCCATCTTTTTCAGTATAGCAGGGAAGCTCATCCATTGAGCAAACTTGAACTTTCATCTGCTCTGGCAAGCTTGGGCAACAAGCAGAATCCTTTCTGTATTTGGTTGAGAAATAGTTTACCGTGATGTTCAAGCTGATCAAAGAACAGCATCACACATTGGTCAACTGATCATGAAATTAAGCAAAAAGTATTACTTGGATATAAAGCAAACATATACCTCTGCCAGGCAGGGAGGGTGAGCATCGTATATGCAAGCTTGATCTTATTGGCAACTCCAGATAAGGATTTAAAAGTTGCAGCTGCTTCCCTCACAGCCACTGATTCTAGAGGGTGCTGCCAGGCCCACTCAAACTGCAGGCATCAACCCATTACAAAAATTTTATATGTTAGAATCAAACCATGGAGCAGAGAGGTTACTGGATAGTATTATCTATAATAAAATCTGGAAGGTCTGAAAATTTCAAAATTTAGGAGCATTGTTCACCACTCAACAATGTGTCTGAGGTAAGATGAACTTCTTAAAAAGTGTCAAAAAGCTGCCTTTTCTGAATTAAAAGGAAAATACCAGAACTTTCTCTCTCATTGCCTTATGGCTCAGCACTGAAAAACCCAAAAGAAAAAAAGGCAACCAAATTTCATAATAAACTAGACAAAAACCCAAAAGGAAAAAAAGCCTAAAAGTTTCCTGCCATGGCCAGAGTTCATTGAGAGTGAGAAGATATTCTGAAGCAGACACTGGAATATGATTTTCAAATACCATAAAAATCAAAGATGATCCCAAAGCTTGAAACAGCAAGGCAGACTGTAGCTGTTAACCCCAAACAGAATTCCTTGTTACAACAAGCAAGTTGGAATTTTGAATCCATTTACCCAAAGAAAATCAACAAGGGTTAAATGATACAACTTGTGAGATAGACCATTCATATGGTATTTCAATCATACCCTGGCAATTTTCGAACAAGGTCAAAAAATTACTTCAACAAATCAAAGCACAACCATGGTCAAGACAGTATAAACAATTAAAAAACATATATTACCTGAAGAGCAGAAACATTAGTTGGAAAGCCATAAATGCATATAACCATCTCCCAGGGGCGTTTGCTCTTGGTCCTCCAAGCACCACTTCCTATTTCACCATTATGCTGCCTTATTCGACGCCTTGGGTTCACGGTAAATCTGCAAGTGTTCAACACTGCCATTAGATAAATTGTTGAAACTTTTGCTATCTCGAATTTTTACCTAGGGGACCTCAATTCAAAAGAAGAGCAACTTGCATGCCAGTATTATTTCAACGATTCATTAAACCAGATAGAAATAGCATTTATATATGTATACTAAGTATTAATGAACGAAATATGAACTATAAACAAAAAGAAAAGCTGAACACAAACAAATTGAGGGAAAATAAGGGTAAAATTTTATCCCAAATTTGAATTTACAGATCAGGACCAAGGAAGAATCGAGTTAAAACTGAACGAACTCTGGAAAGAATCAACTGATGTGAAAATGAATCAAATCAAAGCCTTTTACATGCTATGTATAATTCAATACACCGGACAAGTACAAAATCATAAAAGCTGAACCTGAGAGCAACAAACAACTAGAAAAGATCAAATCTTTCATACTGAAACACAAGAGGCAAAATCACCGATTAACGTTGAGACAAGAAAGAAACACACAATGAAGGGAGGCAATCAGCCAGAAGATTAAAAATAGGAAAAGAAGAGTAGAAACTGACCCGATATAAATGTGGCCTTTATGGCGAGGGGAGAGAGAGGTTAAAAGATAGCAAGCGAAGAACCCTTTTCCTTGTTTGCCCTTATCATCATCTCCAGACTCTCTAATTTCCTCTGCTTTTCCTCCTTGAAGATCTCTTGACTTCCGCCGCTGCCTGTAATAGTTGATGAGGGTTTCGGAGTCTGCTGCTTTCCGCTTTCTGTCTCTCGCTCCCTCACCATTTGGGGCTGTTTTCCCCTTCCTCATCTCTCCCGGACCCGCAGTCTCACAGTCCCACGGACAATGGATTCGACTCGACCGTTGAAGGTTGGCCCTTTAAAACTAAGAGGAGTACTTTCTTCTTTTTCTTTTCTCTCGCAGAATAAAAAAATGCCCTCTTTTTATAGTTCTAGGAAATATATTGCTAGTATATACAAGATCTTTCATTTGAATCATAAATTTTCCATTAAAGAAAGTTTGATTTAAAATTTAAAAATATATCTCTTCAAATCATTTATTACTTTATACCTCAAAATGTAAAAGTTTAAAATTTTATTATTGTATAAGATACTAATAATTTAATTCCAAGGTTCAGTTTCTCTTAGTTAAAACTTGAACAGTTTTGGACAAATTGGTCCCACTAATGGACTGCATCATGGAATTTAGTCCAATGATAAGCAAATGGTTACGATTCCCGGGCTTAGCCGAGGAATAGGAAAGGAGATTTTTTTAAGCAAAGAAAGGCAATAGAGAGTAGAAATCTATGAAAAGCAGCTGCTTCATGACTCGGTTATCCCAGCCCATTACAAATAACATGACGAATGACTGAGTTTGTCATCCTCCAAACCTGTATCTTGTCTTCGATCCCCATTGTCACAACAGCCAAACGAGTTGAACGTATATCAGCATGAATCCACAAAAGCAGAGTAGATTTTCCTCAGCTATAATCATCTAGTTTATGCATGCGACATTCTTGTTTTGCAAAGGTACCATCTGATATGAGAGACGAGGCTATGTTCATAAGCATTACAGAAAGATATTTCATAGTTGTAGTTTCTATCATGTTTCATTTCATTGCGTCATCTGCCATTACCTTCATATACTCTCCTTAAATAAGCTGATAAGCCCATAAAGACGAGGTATTAAAGACAAAGTATTAATGAATCGACTGCCTGAATATTCATGATTCATACCAACTTTATTGAACTCAGAGAATCCAGTTCCATTGTTGAAGTAGCTGAAACATCATGGATGATTCAAGAGCATCCGTTCACTCTGTATGGAGCACACAGTTCATAGAAAGCTTCTGTTATTAGCATCTTAGTGAAACAATTGAGAATGTTAAGTTTTGTGAGAACAGAAGGGAGGAGAAAGAAAAGAAAGGAGGGGGGCAGTTTACGGAATGCATAGACTGCTGGGGGAGACTATGAAAGAGCATATGACAACCATTCGAAGAAACAAGTACAGTAATGCAATATCCTGAGTAAGATCCTTGATCAAGAGGAAAACTAGTTCGTAACATACACACCAACTATCTAGGATGTTTGCATTGTACACTTGTTAACTATAAACAGGAAGACAGAAGAAACCAATGCATAGCTAAAAACATGGTCTAAATGACAAATTGCAAGTCAGAAACATCCTAAACCCAATATATGTACAGACAACCCAGAAACAACAACAAGAAGATCCTTAATCACAGTAAACATTTCAAGTTTCCATGAAGCAGCAAGTGATGGATTTGGCTACATTTCCACAAACAACAGTTGCATACAGGTAGCATGAATTGCTTCATATAAATAACTTGCCAATCCTACTGCTTCAATAAAAGCTTACAAGCTTGAAGAGACCAGTAAATCAACCTGCGAAGTTCTGACCGCTCTTGTAACACATTAAGATAATTACACAGTTATGATCCCATTGAATGGTGTCCTAGGAAGCTGGATCCAAGAACACAGTCATAAGCTTTCACATTTTTTCTAAAAATGGTTAGTCGGTCGCTTATCTAGACATCAAAATCCTCTGGATTTATCAGCTTAACACCAAAATCTTTGTAACCGGAGCAGATAGGCAAGGAAATGAAAAAAGTTTGACAATTGACAGCGACAGGAAGACTAGGATATAATCAGAAACCCATTTGAATCGATAAAGTAGTATTAAAAACAAAAGGAAAAAACGACCATATTCTGCGACAAATATAACTCCCCATAAATTGAGAAGAAAGTCCATTTATTCACTGTCAATCTCAGACCCAAGTTACAAGCAGAGTAAGATCTAGGATTATATACAACAGCAGTTGTTGGAATACAGGTAATGCTACATCCTGGTAACAATTTGCAATCACCAGCGACAACAATAATAACCGCACCAAAGGGTCAACAACAGCAAAATCAATGTTGGTTTTTGCATAAGATTTGTTGAATCACCCAATCAAACCTGTTCAAATGTAACCAAAGAAGAAAAATTTGAAGAAGGAGATCAAGTGGAACGCTTCGAGTTTGAGGAAACCAAATGCCTCCACAAGTAACGACCACTTGCCATGTCAACACATGTCCAGAATCCTGATTCTATAGCTGTCCGAACCTAATCAAAAGGGATTTTTTATTTTTATTAATATTATTACAAGAGGAAGAACAAAGCAGAGATGAAATGTGGAGAAGAAAAAGTAGGAACCTTGGAGAAGGCAGAGAGGGAGTTGTTGTCGTCATTGATGTTGGTGTTGGTTTGGGGTTCATCTTCATCGTTAGCTTGGGGCTGAGATTTGAGGTTTCTAATGACGAAAAAGCCGGCGAGAGTTGCGGACAAGAAAATCAGGATCAGCCTCAGCGGACACATCTTTCCAATTCCCAAACCTTCTCTGTCTCAGTGCCTCGATTTTTTGTGGCTCCTGCGATTAAAGAAGAAAATTCAAAGAAGCAGTGGGGTGGGGTTTGCGGTGGGTTGATTGTCGATTATTGGGCGGATTTAGCATTAGGGTGTGGTTGAAGTTTTTGTCAAACTTTGCTGGCGTATTGGCAACCCATGATACATTTCCTTTGACGGGATAACGATAGTGGAAAGAGCCCACGAGGTGAACTATTTTACGTACTCCAACTAGGATGCAGTACATGTATTCGTGTTCGACCTACCTAATGAGTTAAATTAATGTGAAGAAGATAATGGGCGGGCATTTGTTTATTGAATTAAAAAAGCACTTGGGGGAATGCCACCAGATGAAGCATGGTTAACAGCTTAGGCAGCCATGTTAAGTTGCTTTTTTCCATTGACAAATTGGTGTCATCACATCCCGCAAGCATTCAATTTATGGGGTATTGACAAAGACTTCCATTCACCTCCCCACGTTTGCACCCATTGGGCTTTGGCAGTCTTTTGACTCCTATAATTCAATAGCATTTTTAGTTAAGCATTCTCAGTCCATAGCAATTTTACCCTACATAATTCCATAAGTTTTCGCCTTCCAAGGCAATACAATTAATTGAATCCTCAGTTTCATTTTAGTTTCTTTTGGAAGTACAAGTTCATTCCAACGTCTGGTAGCTTCTAATCTATAACTTTATCCTAGCTAGAATAGATCTCATCCCTCAAAGAGAATAACTAAATAATTTCTTCTGATGCTACAGATTGACCGACAAGCCACCAATACCTCTGTCTACAATAACATCAACTCCTGTTTAGCGTCTTTTGCTGATAGAATATACTTCAAGCTGACAATGACAAAGGCAGGTCGACAGGTCATGTACTATCAAATCCTGTCTTACCCTCTGCCTTTTAGTTTTTCCTCCTGCCAGTGCGAAGTCAAACAGTTAAATATGCAGTAGGACACTTCCTGCAAGGGGAATAAGAGTACAATTCAATCAGCAGAAGAAACAAGAGAATGAGTTGAGGTTAATATATAAGACATGCATAAAGTTAGTTAGAAGGTAATTCTATCTAATTGGAAGCGATTCAGATGCACTGGTTAGTAGATACCAGGCAATTACAGGAGACAAATAAAGTTCTGATCTAAAGAAGCCCAAAATTTTTAACTTAATAAAGTTGCTAGTTAGAAATGCAGATGACAAACAAATGAAAAAGAAGCGAAAAAACCACCTGGCTAGAATTAGAGCTTGGCAAACCGTGCAATCTTCGATAGGACAGTTCTTAAACTTCGGATGCCAGCTCCAGATTTTGAGCTAACCATCATCTGAAATAAATCCAAAATCCAATTATTTAGGGCCCTTCTGACTTACAATAACTCACAGAACAGCATAGAGGGAAACAAACATGTTTCTTCATACCAGAGGTTGAACTACAGATCTATGTGCCTTGAGGCTCTGCAAAACCAAATGGTTTTTAGAAACTGATAGTCTCAAAGGGAGGATGCAAATTTTAATGAAAATGTACACATAAATGCATAAAATTCACCTCTTCAATTTGCATTGCACGACGTGCCACATCAATTGGGAACATTGTATCTGTCTTGGTTAAGACAATCTGGTATTTTGTTTGAGATCTGTACATTAATAAATGAAAATTCAACAAAAATAAAATACACGCCACGTTACTAATGAGGTTTATGTTCTCCTCGTTACAACTAATACCAGATTGATACATTGAGAAAATGGGGGCAGATATCAAGTTTCTTCTTACTTCATGCCTTGTGCATTTTTATGCAAATGAAATAGAATTACTCACCTTTCCACATGGTGGCCAGAATAGCAAATACTTCACCAGGTCAAAAATGTGAGGTGGTGATTGCAAGGATCATCAATTTAAATTTATAGCCATCAGCTCAAAAATCAGCTATTTAAAATTGAGAGAATGTTTACCTTTCCATTAAATCAATGAGTTCATTATCTCTAGGCTTCATGCCCCATTTTGTATCAATGAGAAGGCATACTCGTTTTAGACCAACTCTTGTCGAAACATACTCCTTCACCTGCAAAATTATAATGAAAAGAGGTTGGGTCATACTTAATTATTTTTGACAATAAAGAAATTAACAAAGAAAACCTCTAAGCCTACATTCAGATTCTTTAACTAAGTCACTTCTCAATGTTCAATGCAGAAAACACTCCAAACCAATAATTTCAACCTCCCACCATTTAGAGATACTTACCACTCATACACACAGAACTTGCCTAACACTTTGAACAGTTCAGCAACAACAGACGTCTACAATGTCCTACTACTGACCAAACAAGTCAAACCTATCTAGCAATCTGATAACTGGTGACAGTCACATACTAATTCTGGTATTCACCACCACCAAGGTGTTAAAATATCCTAGATAGTTGAATTAAAAAACAAGGTGGTTGCAGGAAAAGAATGGATTCAGACATCATGTACTCACAAGCTCCTCCCATGCCTCCTTAACTTCTTCCTTTGCATAGGCAAAGCCATAGCCAGGCAAATCAACCAGGCAGAGCTTTGATCCCAACTTGAAGAAATTAATAGTCTGCAACAAAACAGCGTTTGTAACCATTGCAAATGGAGATATTCCCAGGAAATTGTAGAAATGGTTTTTATGAAAATTGACAGCACCTGAGTATGGCCTGGTTTGTCGGATGTCCGTACAACACCCCATTGTCTGGTGAGTGCATTAAGTAGTGATGATTTCCCAACATTTGACCTCCCTAACAAGGGCAGTAAAGATGGGTTATTTCTTATAATAAATATACATATATAAACTTTCTGAGACTATAGAAAGCTGTCATATGGGACCTCAAAACAAATATTCAGCAGATAGTCTACAAAGTCGCAAACCAGCTTAACAGAGACTAACAAGACAATCCCATCTCTCCAAAAAATTTATTTAAGATGTAAGAAAATACAGACTGCAGAGAAACAAAACCCTTCCAGCAGTTTCATTGCAATCCACTACAGAGTTTCTTCAAATGAAATCGCCTACAGATACTGAAAGCACAGTATGCTACAGTTTTTGGAGTACACCTTTCCCATGTGAGACTTAAAATAGCTATAGACTGAGAACTAAAGACTCTTTCAATTGGTGGTGAGATATGAGACATTAACATGTAATAATGGGCAAGTAAACTCTTCTGAAGCCATAACTCTAACCAAACAAATTCAACAAAAAGAATGTCCAGTAGAAAACTGCAAACCAAAAATCATGATCGAAAGAAAGAAAATTTCAGCTGCCTACCTGCAAATGCAATCTCTGGAGTATCAGGAGCTGGAAATGATGATGAAACCTTTGCAGCAGCAAAAAACTGCAACTTGTTCCTAAATATCTGCAAAGAAATGGATCATAGATGAAAACAGCAGCAAAGTGAGTTACTTTTCTTTTATCTACTCATCACTTTAATCACAAACATACATTTTCCTCGATGCGTTCCCTTTCAGGATTGGTAGAAAAAGGGATATTATCTAATGGGGCCGAAAGCTCAGTGTTGTAGCCCGCTCTCTGGATCTCAATTGGTCGTCTACGGCCTAACAACTGTAAATAAAAGTATCAAGAATCAGAATACAAGATAATGATGGCATGAAAATATGTGAATTTAAACATCTCAAGGCTTTGCGCATATAAATTACATTATCTTCCACAAAGGAAAGGATGGAGGGGCTGGGCTGTATTGCACGGAATTGTGCATTTCTTGACATGGCAGCATTTTCCTCCAAATCCTTTTTCTTCTCTTTTGTACTTTCTGGACAGGATTCAAGAAACAGCAATGAGAAGGTCAAAAAATCCATACATGTCGGAGAAAGTGTAAGGAAATACCAACCATCAATAGCAATGCCATCATCTAGCCGCTTGTTTGAGATATCATAAGGATCTAACCGAATTACCCGCTTTTTTTTCTTTGGCTGATCATCAAGAACTTCTGAATCATTATTTAAGCTTTTTTTATCCCGAACTATTTTCTTAGCAGAAGTTAAAGCAGAAGCATTGGAGCTGTGATCCAAACGCTTACTTGAGTTGGCTTTGGGTTTGGCATGTTTATTCGATGAATCATTTGAAGCACTATCCGTTTCATCTACCTCTTTTGCACTTCTGCCTACATTCTTAGGATTACGAGAAGTAGCTTTTCTAGTAGAAGTAGCATCCTCTAGTGTGCGAGAAACCCAGATTGAGCGAATTGCTTTGTCATTGCCTTTTCTCCCTTTGCTTAAGTCGCCATTGACCATCTTCTGCTGCTTCTTAGATGAAGCCTTCCTACTGGTTGCCTCTATATTCTTATACGACATTAATTGCTCAGCATCAACTCGCTTCCTTCTCCTATCAATATTTACAGCTTTAGTCTGCTTTTCCTCAGAATCAACCTCCCCATCATCACTCCCTTCTGCAACTCCATATCTATTATTAGTACTACGCTTTCTGCTCTTAAAGCCCGTACTGGAGCTGCTCTTTCCTCCAATAACACCACCCTTTCCAACACTGCATCTAATTCCTTCCCTGTAACTGTACTTCTTAGGTTTCCCTATGGCAGTCTTTAGTTTCTTATTCAGCTTATGCCTTAATCCTGCCTCTCCAGACATTCTCAACTTCCCACTTCACCAAAACCAAACACAAATTGGTTCCTAGTAACAAAGTTGGAAAACTTTTAAAACCCGGAAGATAATATCGTACCTTTGCAAACAAACTTTCTTCAGTTCATTTTTCTCCATGAACAGCTAGGCTACCTGTACCGCTTTCTGCTTTTGTTTGTGTTCACTGTTCATGGTGATCCTGCCCTACTTGGGAGTAGGAAGAGTAGAGAGGAATTGGGCCAGCCTTTGCAGCTGAACAATTACTCGGACCAAAGACAACTTTGGACAAATTGCTTTCCTTTGCAGATAGTGATAGCCCATGTATTTTAGCCACTGGGCTTTCTTTCCGAATTTGGCCCACTCATTGGTGGTTCCCAGAAGTATTTTATTTTAAATTTTATTAATTAATCTTAAATTATTTGAACAAAATTTGAAAATATTACCCATACTCGTATCTTAATATCCTAAATGCTATTCAGTAAATATTCAAACACTTTAATTATCTGATTTACCAAGTCAAAATTTTTAATCTGATCATGGATTCTCGATTAAGTAACCCAAACCCAAAGATTAGATTGCCAATCTACAATATTTAATTAAATTAATAATTGATGCTCTTGACACTACAGTATTTTATTATTTAACATAGATAATATTTATATTCTATCCAAATCTGAAACACGTACCAAAATTTTTACTCAAATTCATCTCAAATCCAAATGAAAGATATCTAAACTCTAAATAATTGACCCGGATGCTGTAAATATCCGGATTAAAATTACCGTGGACCTCCCTATGTGAAAAGCAAGTATTAACAATTTAGCAATGTGTGAACAGAAAGAAGAGGATAGGCCACCAACCAAAACCAATATTCCAAATCCAACTTACGACATGAGCAGCGGCTAGAAAGCTTCCACAACCATCAGGAAGTGTTTTGACGAGTATTCCTAAGACTCAACTCAGGTTAAAACTTTCCCAACATAAGCAGAGAGATTGGTCAATAAGACAATAACATGGAAGCATGTGCTTTCAATTTTTAATAAATTATATTGGAATACAGCTTTGACAATAATGTAGGAAATTTAAAAATTGTAGGATCATTGCAAGTGGCCAAGCTGACAATTGCCCTCCGTTACAGCCAATCGTTTGATTTTGGCAAAAGGGTCCACGACCAACATCTTGATTTGCTGCATCATTACTTGCTTTGTCAGAAAATCATAGAAACGATTGGGTTAATCATGAAACCAAAGAGCATTTTGGGTACCCTTTGCTTTGCTTGAAATCGCTTTAATACTCTCTCAGTACATTTCAGGTCTCATCGGCTTCTGTTTTCGCCTCAAGTTGTTACTTTGTTACATCTTTGTTTTATCAAAGGATGGCAGGACAACAGGCAGCAGGTGTGGTAAGTATGTGCAACTCCTGAAATTTCAACAGAAACCAATAATTGAAGCCTTTTATAAAGGATAATATAGAGAACCAGGGCTGACCATGAATTGAGCTGTGTTTAAAGAATTATATTCTCCTTCACCAACAAAACAAGCCTCCAGAAAAGCTTAGTAAACAATCATTGCTGATCTGTCTTCAAATAGTATTACTTTATATGTGAACATTTTACCTTTACTATTTGGTACTAACCAGAATTCAAAGTACCCAATTTAATACTGTCCTTTTTCGACAAGAACTTCGCAACACTCAAAATTTGAAGCATCAAACATAAAATCCGAATAAAAAGCGAATAAGAGTACCGAGTGTGGGATCTGTGACAATCAAATAGTGTTTACATAGAAAGAATCAGTAAAGCAACAGAAAAGAAAAATTGTTATAGAAGACACACATAACATTAAGTAAGGAACACAAAGACAAAAGGCAAACACCCATGACTCCGAAGAAGAGAAAACAAAACAACAGACACACAGATGAAATGATGGAGATTGCCATCCTTTCATTATTTATTCCCTTTTTTGCTACCCTTATATACACAAAAAAAGAGTATATACAAGAGAAATATAATTGTAACAAAACATATGACAGGGAGTTTTGTTAATCCATGAAAAGAAGAAACAAAACACCCCATTACACCAACCTCACTCATCTTTATTCCAAATTGCTACTATCATACATACGACCACATAATTGTAACTGCTTGTAGTAATCTTTACTTCTCTTCGAATTTGGAAGATCCATGCTCTCGACAAAAGTCAGTTCTGTCTTTTGTTAGTGTATTCCTTCAGACACCATTTTTCTTCCTTTTTTTTCATTTTTTCTTTTTTTTTTATTGAAGTACACCTATAATCGAATTAACCACGCGCTCCTCGTACGAGTGTTGCATACCACGCGTGCAAGGGGTGGGATTTTCAGTCGCCGGCCACCTGGTTTTCCGTCAGCGCAGGTCTAATCTTGTTGTGCCAAGTATCATTGTAGAATTGGCTATCGCCGCCTGTTCTCTTGGCTTCTACCACAACGAGTTCATCGGTTAACCTGTAAACCTCGACCGCTATTGCGAAACTTCCATTTTGCCCCTCCAATTCAACGCCCCATTCTTTCTTCCTCTTCACCCTGAACTTCTCGGCCTTGGCGACCTCCTCCACTTTTTCCACCAATTTCTCAGGCGACTCCCTTGATATAAAGCGTTCGCCGTCACTGACTGAACCATGGGAGTTGTCGAACAAACCGGACAGGTCCAAACCGGATGAGAATGATATCAAATCGAATGCGTTCAAGCTGGTAACCCGAGGTTCATCCTTGTCAACCTTGTCATACTCTTCATGGAACTTGGGTTCCTTGTAACCCTTCCTGAACCATGGGTCTTTCAGGATCTCATGAATCGTGATCCTTGTCTCCGGATTCGTGTCCAGAAGCCGAGACAGGAACCGCCTGAGATCGCTCGACATCCATTTGGGACACCGAAACTCACCTTTGTAGATTTTCTTGTACATAACCATGAGATTCGGATCATTGAAAGGCAAGTAACCCGCGTTCAGCACGAAGAGGATGACGCCGCATGACCACACGTCCACCTTAGCTCCATCATACCCTTTTTTAGTCAAGATCTCCGGTGCAACATAAGCTGGGGTGCCACACAAGGTGTGCAACAGCCCGTCGGGTCGGATCTGATCGGTAACGGCGCTGAGACCGAAATCCGAAACTTCAAATTCCCGTTCTCGTCAACGAGAAGGTTTTCAGGTTTCAAATCACGGTGGAAAACCCCGCGGGAGTGGCAGTACCCGACGGCCGAGATGAGCTGCTGGAAATACTTACGGCTGAGATCTTCGCTGAACCTTCCTTTAGCAACCTTCGCAAACAATTCTCCACCTTTGATGAATTCCATCACGAAATAGATCTTAGTCTTGGTGGCCAAAACCTCGTACAGTTTGACGATGTAAGGGTGGTTCAAGCGACTCATGATGGAGATCTCCCGCTTGATGTTGGACATCAAGTTGGTGCTGGACAGCTTCTTTTTACTGATGACCTTAATGGCCACGCTCTGCCCGCTGCGGACATTTCTGGCATGATAAACCTTGGCGAAGGCGCCGCAACCCAGGAGTCTGCCGAGCTCGTATTTTCCGAACAGGGCGTTTTCTGGGACATGTTCGATCTCTGGCATAGGTGGTGTAGCCAGAGATCGAACCGGATGAGCAGGTTCCTTCAGGAGAAAAAAAGGATCAGTGCAAACTCGGCGAGTGGGAATCAAAGATTGATTTCCCTGCCCCTAGTTTCTTTCAAAACAAACAAAAATCGAAGTATTTGGGTTAGAGAGATTAATGTTGCAGAGTCGTGCGATAATTGTGTTTTGAATGGACAACTTTTAGTTCAAAAGTTAAAAGGATTCTAGAGGGAATGCGTGTTTGACGGTGGAAGTTTCGGGGCGGTGGGTAGCCTTAACTATTTATTGCCTTATGGGAGGCATTCTCTTTCCATCACGCGGGACTCCTCCTGACTGTGTTCACCCCCGTTTCTCACACTTTAATTCTTTTTTAGACTAAAAGGGCGTTCCTTGTCTCGGACGTGGCGGGTGATTATTGGAGGCTGGAAGTTGACAACAGACAAGCAGCCCGTTCGGGTTCGCGACGACGGTTTCCATTTCTTATTAGAACCAAATAAAAAAATTTGAAAACTTAAAATAAGTAAAGTATTTCAATCTCATACCAGCTAAGTAGAAGATTTTACAAAGGTAATGATCTGATGTCCGTGAAAATTCAAATTGTTTTTCAAATTTTGATTAGTTTACCATTCTTTTGGACACCGAATGTGAAACGCAAGACAAAAGGGGTAGCCTAGTCCCAATATGAGCAGCGCAATGTTTGAAACAAGCTAAGAGGCAAAAAATGTATTGGTAGTAGGGACATTGACAATATATATGGCGGCAGCACAGGTGATTTGGTCATAGGCTTAGGCCCTGGCTCTGAACTGTCGAATATGACTCTAGCAAGCATCCACGACTTGGACTGTTAGGTTTGAAGCAGCAAAGATCATCCATCGTGACTCATGTGGCAACGCTGAGCACCATTCCTCTTTGCATTACTTTATGTATATTTCTTCAAATTCAACGGATCATACTTTGGTGTAGCATTGTTTAATGCATATGTACATTGCCCCATATACAAATAATTCACCAGCTGCTTAATAAATTAGCATCTCTACCTATATGGGACACAGCTGACTGATCAGCCATACATGAGCTTAACTTGGTGCTATTTTATGCTAATCAAATAGTTTCTTGTGTTGAATATCTAGACCAAGATTCCGTAGTCGGTTTAATTGATGCCATTTTAAATTTTAAAATTTGAATTAATCAATTGTTTTAAAAAAATAATTGAAATCGATTGAATTATAACTTAATATAAAAGATCATTTATGGTGTTAGACCTAAACAAAGAGAGGAGTTTTAAGACTTAATAATTTCCTTTTGTTTTTTATTTAAGTTTATCATTTTGTCTTTACCTTTTTTAAAAAAATATTATAATTTTACTCCTATAACATTGTTTTCATCTCTCTAAACATGAAATCTGGACTCTACTATTGGTGTTATGTATAGTAGATTCATGTGGTCATTATCAGGAAGACTAGATTGATTTACCAACAACATCAATTTTTTAAAGAAAATACGAATGGTGCACTTTGTTTTTATACACTACCAATAGTATATTACAAGCTCAAAATGCAAGGGGTAGTTAGTCCTTAATCGACATTCTTCTTACTGACATTTATACCAAACTAATCAGCCAGATGAAACGTACATTTGTTGAGCATTCCAGGGCAAGAAATCTTTGCAAGTTGGAGAGTAATTAGAATCATGAGCAACACAGGATTAAAATTGTTAGCTCCGTGCAGGGCTTTGGTTTTGTGGGTGACAAATGACGGGCATGTGTGGATACTTCGCGGAAGCTGCTGCAAGCTAGCATAGTTCTTAGCTCTTAGCTCCTAGCTCTTTGCTCCCCCTTGAATATCTTTGCTCCATATCATCAGCAACCCTCTCCACCTGTTCCAGTCACTTCAACTTTAAAGTGCTGCCAGTACGAGCTGTCGTTTCCTTCTTCGATGATTTGTCCAAAACTGTGTGGCCAGCCCAATTGCAGAAAATTTCACGTGAATAATGGGACTGCTGGAAAGAAACTTCAGGAGGTTTGCTGGTCCTCAGCTGCACTTTGATTTTGAAGCTTTCTACAAAGGCAAACGAACATCACATGTTTCATGCTTGAGAATCTGGGTGGACATTAGACCCGCTTGCCCCCCACACCCTGTGAAAACAAAAATCTTATTAGATTTTGAAAGCCGAGAAACAGTCCAAATCGCCATGCGTCATGGGGATTCCATTCCTAGTTTCTTCAAGCCAGGAGTCGGTCTCACAGTTATTGCTGGAAACCTGATGGAGTGAGGAGCACTTGCCATTTGGGTAAAGTAGGCGGCCTACTTCTACTTTTGATATTGATTTCCCAAGTGTTGGACCCATCACCCATTACCCACATCTGTTGAACACCCAGACTCTGTTTCTAACTTATTGGTACTGGTTTCTTACGAGTTAATGGCTTAGAGATATTTACTGTATCCAATATTAAACTAACATATTGGTAAGAAAAAGTTACTTAACCTGGAATTTTTGCCAAGAAATGGTTTCTAGTGCCATCATTACCATGGCTGATCCAACACATGAACAGTTGCAAGGCCCCAACAATTAGGAAACTCCTCTTCCAAGTAAACTGCGATGCCAAGCCAATCAATGTTTGTCTTGTTTTTCCTTCCTTTGAAATCAAGCAAAACTAATGTTCCATCTCTCTAAATCTCCTGCCGACGCGTGGGGCAATCTTTAACTACAAGCCACCGAAAGTAAAGCTGCAAAAATAAGGTCTGGGAGTGATATCGAAGGCCTGGAATTGAAAGTTTCCAAAAGTAAAGCGGAAGGCAGAAATTAGAAATAGTTATGTGGACACATTAAATTAAATTGACCCTTCTTAATTAAGCCTTCACACTTTCTTTTATTAAAAAAAAAAAGGGGAAACTGTTTGCTGTTGAAGTTTTCTGGGTCCATGGCATAAAGAGTCCTTTGGGTTTTAACCCATGATATATTAGAGGATAAAAACTTGGGATGCTTCCTCCAGCACTGGTGACCCAAGATTAACCGAATCGGGCTATGACATGCACTGGGAGAATTGGGCCAGAGTCATGCATCTTGCCACAAGCTGTGAAGCGAGTTGAAAAAGAAAAAAGCAAGTTTTCCACGGAATCAATGTGTTATCATATAATTTTATTTCATATACATAGAATAAGATATCGCTTTTGTACTGCTCATCTTCTTTGATTGCATATTGGTCCAGTCCTGATCAAGAGACAGGTCCTTCACGGCTTTAACCAATACCAGGACTTTTGTTCTTCTTTTGGACTAGCAAAGTTTTGGTCATAGCAAGACTACTCCATTCTGATATAATGGACCATAGCGTTCTTCCTGCTGCGGTGCTTCCCCACACAGTCGCAGATCGATCAGGGATTCAGAGCCCCCCAATTTGGGATTTCCTTGCGATTAAGTTTACAAAACTCTCTTTCCCTCAAAAAGTTCAAAAAGAACAAAATATCCCATATGCTAATCTTGCATCTGTACGTACGTTTCACCGTCAAGCTTAGAATAAGTTTTGGTTAAGTGCGCATGCAGTTAAGACAAGTAGTATTACTGGAGTATGTTGTTTTGAAGTTGACAATCAAGCAAGGGATACGAAAATCTATCGGAGCAGCATGATCAGGGAGCGGGTTGTTGTCAAAGAATCTGCAGCATTTATGCCAATAAGCCAGACTCGGCTCTTGAGTAATCCGATCAAAACTAAAGACTCAAAAACCAATGGCTCTAAAGCATTTCAAGATATAATAAATTGACACTAACCATTTTTCACATAAGTGCTCTTCTGAATCTGTTGATTAACCCATACTATATAAATGTATGCTACAGTTGTTTACATAAAGTAAAAAACCCTATTTTCTTGTTCAAGGTCAACTTTTCATCACAGTGAAAACCAGGAATTGTCTCTTCAGTGTCCTGGTCACATGCAGTAGACATGTTTTTGTGACCAAACAAAATTAAAAGCATCATGGCATGTACAACTTGTTGCCACATTTGCACCTCCATGCTTCTGGGTAATACTCCGCAGTCACTGGTGTTCCGGGCGGCACTGGCACGTGAACTGGCTTGCACGGGGTGCAATTGCCGCACTTTGAAGTGCACCGTGGCGGTGATGATCCTGGGCCGCTCAAAAATCTCCTGGCCAAGGTTAGAGGGAGTCCTTGGATGTCAAGAGACCCCATCTTATCTTCATGTTTTCTCTTCTCAGCGATTTCCTGTGACAGTGGAATGTTAATCATCACGTCATACCAGTTATAACTTGATAATTTAGCACAAGAAGCCACCAAAAGAAAAATCTATGGTTCTGTTCCACCAATCTGCCACCTCACCAATCCGTACAACTACCATGCGCCCTGAAAACAACAATGTTCACGGGAACACATAACCTAGAGAGTACGTGGTTCCCCTTGAAGTGCTGAGCAGTGGCGTAAGTTACCGAGATGATGAGACCCATGAAAAAACGAAAGAAGAATTCTAAATTCTACTGCGGCGAATGCTGCCGTACACTTCGGTGTTCGGCGTTCACGAGGATGGACCATGGAGATGGACCACTTTCCTGGCGTGATGCCCTAATCATGGAAGATGATTCGATGCATCAGAAGGCTCACAAGGCAGCGGTCTCTGGCCAAGGCCTGCACCTGTTTGGCGCATGTCAGCCGTGTTCATTTTTTTGTTTGAATGGTCATGAGTCGTGACTGATTAATGGCCCTGTCGTTCTGTAAAACACCCCATTTCTTTTACAAAATTTTAACCAGCAAACAATGGTGTCTGCATTGCCCTTGAATGATTGTATAAGATCACAGGAAGGTTGCATTTTCCTTATTTTTTGTTTTCCTTTTTCTTTTGAGCAAGAATTTGAGAAACATGCATTGGTGTTAAGTAGCTTGACCTGACAGATATATAGGGTCTAGTGAAGTAACTCACCTGTAAACAGATGCTATCAGCTTGACCTGACAATGAACACCTGATATCTGCATTCGGAAAACAGGGTGCTTGTGTAGGGTTATAGCTGGTGAGCCAAATTCAGTTTACCATAATCACAGGTATTCTAGCAGAGTAGAGGTAGAAAGAGTTTTGTTCAATAAAAGAGTAAAAATAACAGAAATCTCCTTGAGTCCTATGACCAGGGGAAAATAAGAGGTTAAGATCTCCCGATGTATAAAAGGTTTTTTTTTTTTCCTTTTAAAAGAGGAAGGGAATTTAAGAGCATACCTTGTTGACAAGTGGTTGCAGTGCTGATGACGCTAAACAGTGCGCAAACTGAAAAAAGGAAGAGGGAGAAACAGTAAAGGAAGTGAGATTTGTGGCTGAGGCTGAGGTTTAGTTTTCTGTATCTCTTCCACTCCATGAAAAGCAAGGAACAAGAGCAGATTGTGATATGGTCTGCCTGCCTGACTTCCCCTTTTCTTGACACTTAAACTATTGGAAGTGGATTCTCAAGCTATGCAGACAGAAAATCTTTGGCCTAAATTCCCCACATTCCATGCAACTGTCATGCCAAACCAGTACTTAATACCTCAATTCTCATCTTGGAGAAGACAACATCCTTCTTTTCAACTCTCCTTCTATCTCTTCTGGGGTTTAAGTGGAGGTGGTTGCGGTGGAGTTGGAAAAAAGTAGGCATGTAGTACGGATTTATTACATGGATGCTGCAGGGAAAGTCTTAGCAGCCAGAGACGAGAGAGAGAAAAGGCAGGAAAAGATTGTGAATCTATGCGGATCGTCGCTTCCTAAGCTTTACCATGTTTGGATGTTGGATTCTCTTGCAGGCTTTCTTCACTGTCTTTCAACGATTCCCAAACTCAGAAATACATAAACAACCCAAACATCCACCTCTGCTCATGCACCAAACCCCACACACTCTCTCTCTTTTAGCTTTCTTTATCTCTTCCCTTGCTTTCGAGTTTTTCTTTTACACACTTTATTGTAGACTTCGCACCTCGAATTTATAGTCTAGCAATGTTAATGTTTAGAAGCTAGTGATCAAATTTGAAGGACAGGGAAGAGAGAAATTAATACTTAATTAATCAAACTATATCTGAGGATGAAATTAAAAGAGATTTTGGATCCATCTGTCGACAAGAATGATTGCGTTACTATGCTTCAACCACCAATGGGGTCTCAGCTGCTTCAGAATATTTTGGTACTTAGCAAAATTCCTGTTTCACAAATGACTCTGGCAGATTCTTCCTGTTGCTGGTTCATATCAATTGTATTGTATCTGCCATATCATTCAAAGTAATGCATAGTGAACTGCGCAGGTAAAAATTAAAGCAATTGAAAACCCAGTTGAACGCCCCTGTAGCTAGGTAATTAAGAAGTCTATGGTTACTTAAAGAGGTTTAGGCTGACAAAATGAAATTGCTGATGAAGTTAATACTTGAAAGTAATTAAAACAATGACCACTTTCAAGACGAGTTACCCCCATTCTGAAAAGTTTTCAAGCATCCCAAGCCGTGGATTTATAACCCTTATGGCACAAAAAGAATAGGATATGGCAGCCACTGATCAAATGTCTGTCTCCTCTTTATCAATGAATTCCTAGATTCCAAAGGCAAGCAAGTATGGACAAAGAATTCAAACAATATATGTAAGAAAATGGAAAACGTTTGGCAACAGGTTTGCGCTGTACCATATCCAAGACAGACTCAGTTCCAAGGAATGCGCTTCACATGCTCTTCAGTCACTCACTCTTCATTCTTCAAATTCCTTCCGGAAAGGCTTTTAGTAATTTCACAGAGGGTGCACATTTAATTTACCCAGGTGAACTTTAGAATATTCTTAACTTCACAGACCAGAATTTCAAACTTCAAATGACACTTTCAGTGTGTTTTTCTGTCTGCTACCATTTCTTAGATAGCAACTCTTATTTCTAGTTGATATTTTCCTCTGAGCATTGTCATTGAGTCATGACCCATGATCTCACTGACAATTGCATAATCACAGGTTTCACGTTGCCCTACCTTGTAAGGACACATGGTAATTACTAGCATTACTCTCAAGTCTCATATGGGAAGTGGCAAGCACTCCTGCAACTGCAATGTCATGAGCTGTATATACATACGTTATTATCACTAATTAAGTCACGTTTCGAACCAAGGGGTCTATCCCAGTTGGCTATGTCCTCCCCTGTGGGGTAGGGCGATTTTACTGGTGAATGTTTTGCCATGTTAAGTTCTTGTAATCAAGATTTACTTGGCCCTCAGAGGAAAAATTATCATGAAAGCAACCAACCAGATTCATAATAGTGTACTCTGATCTTTGGCTATTTAATCAGTTTAGAAGTCATAACATAACCTTTACAGTAAACTGATCTATCAATGTGTATTGTGTTGCGTTCTTTTGAAAAAGAAGAAAACTGTGCATCCTGTTATTCAAGTTAAAGGTGCCTATTACATTAAAAGTTACATGTGCTAAACTTTCCCATTTAAAGGAAGCAATAAAGATGACTGATCTGCATAATGGGAAAAAAAAGTTACACCCTATCTCTCGTGGAATTTCTATGTTGCGGGTTAAAAATGGACATGGGGGTCCTATATGCTTATCGTTTGCTAACAAGCGGATGCAAGGGTCAAGGGCCAGAACCAGTCATTCTCGTTTCCCAGCACAGGAGTTTCCCGGACGGAAATAGCCTCTGCAAATGCACAGTCTTACTGTTGAAACGATCCCTTACTATTACAAGTTTGAAGAACATAAGATGGCAAATTTGTCAAGAGAAAGCATAATAGTTAGTAGTGCATATTATTTGTGTGGGGTTGGGGAAATTGGGAAACCTTGCGTGAAATATCACGAGCGGTCCACGTTTTATTCTCTTGCCCAGTGAGTGTCCATGGTATCGAAGAAGTTATTGTAAGCGTGGGGATGAAGAAATCTACTCTAGATATCGAGATGTGGATGTGGAGAAAAGCAAAAGTCTCTCCAGTATGCTGGCTAGCTTGTTATTATGCTTTTGTTCTCATCTAAGGGGCCTTTTTCTAATTCGAATGCCCTTACCCTCTCTTCGTAGCTAACAAGAGACCTGTCTCCCATGGTTTCCCTTCATTCTTCTTCTTCCTCAGTCCTCACCATTAATGATTCAAACTCAAAATTGACCGCTACCCCACCAAAGCTTATGGTTTGACAGTGATGGGGGAAATGTGAAGGTGACATGTGCAGGCAGCCATCCACCCTGACAGACTTCTTCTCAATTATTTAACTTGAATAAAGCTGACAGCCCAATTTATGATTGCGACAGATGGGGCACGAATTGGCTGTAATTTGATCTACTACAGGGTTTGTATGGGGTTTGAAAATTCTTTCGGATGGATCGACTCAAGAGGCCGAGAGCCTAGAGGTTAATGGTCAGAGCCCAGCCCATAGCTTCATCTCTCTCTCAATGCTCAATTGTAGTCGTATTCGAGTTCTGTCCCTGTCAAGGGTCAAGCAGACATTTTCCTTGGCATGTAGGAGCTGAAACTTTTCACGTGCTCAAGGTGTTTCCACAGGCCGAACGTTGTGCATCCAATTATTACTTCATTAGTATTCCTTTTACGCAGACAGGTTGGGAAGCAGCATTGCGAGTGGCTTTCTATTTAGTTTGTTGTATAACCTGAGCAACAAATACTCATTTTCCTGTCATCATTGGCATGGAGTATTTGTATTTCTATATGCCAAAAAAATGAGTACCTATAGCAGTCGTTTTGCATTACGTCTATCTTTTACCAAAACCACACGCTTGTAACTCTACAAGCAAAATTGGCATCCCAACCTTCTATTGTTTGCAGGGGCACATGCATCTTTACATTTGCCAAGCAATAATAAAACTGTTTCTGTTCTCCTCCTGGAAGTTTGTGTTTCTAAATTAATTAAGTAATTAATAATAATCTATCCAGGGTTTTAACTTTCAAGATCGTGGGCTCATCGACATCCATCGTGGAAGAGAATCCAGAAGCAGACTCACGTGCATGGGAACTGCGACAAAAGGATGCAACCAAAAACGTCTTCCATCTGATTCAAAATCAAAGCTAAAGTCAGAAAACGCCGAGCACCCGAGCTTTGGCTTCTCCTCAGGGAGAGATGTGTCGTACTCGTAGTGTTACTCGGTAGTATTAGTAGCACAAGTATTTCTTCTTTAGCAACGCAAATGTATACAACAGCACGAGCGGTCCATTGCTAAAGTATCAGACATGAAACAGCATCACTATAAAGGTATTTAAACTTGTTTCTTATGGATTCATTCCCTTTCAGAAGAGCATCTAGGCCCAACAAGTTAGGTTGAATGTTGGGGTGGAGACCGCCAGCCCAACAAGAAAGGAAAAGAAAAATGCAAGGGCTGAAACTGGATCAGATCAGAGTTTTTCGAGAACCCTGAAGGGTTTCTCACTCAGCCATCGAGTTGCTTGTGTCACTGACACAGAAGAGAAGAGCTGAAAGAAAACCGCGTGCGTGCGGTTATTATATTTACTCGTTTATTCGGTCTTGCTGCCCCTTGGGCCTCTTGGGGCTATCGGTTTCGTGTTTGCCCGCGCTTTTTTCACTTTTATCGACACTAAAATAAATAAAACAAATACTCTGTCTCTTCCCCTCTGCAGCAGAGCTTTCTGCAACCCACAGATTCCCGGGTTGGTTCCATTTCCCCATAAATAATCACTAAATAATCTTCAGCCTCACATTTTGACATACTACTAGTACTTTTTTATATGTCTATTTTCTTTTTGAAAAAGAAAACAAAACCTCGCTAAACTCCAATCTGCCCAGTACCATTTCAGTAGTAGTATTAATAATTTAGCACCGATAACAAGACTTTGATGACCGTTTTTTACTAGTCGTAGTGTATGTTGTTCATCAAATTCAAAACTTTTAACAGTAATAATAATACTATCTGTCTGCACAGATCGGAGACGCCCAAAACGTCTTCTTTGCGCTGCAACTCCGAGCAGCTTAGTGGGGCTGTGGGGGTGTTTTTCTTTTGCAAATCCAAACGTCGTTGTTTCCCTGTTTATGTTTCACAGACTGAGAAACAGAGAAAAAACAAACTCGCTTGAGGTTTGCAAAGCTTGTCTTTCCTACTTTCAAACTCTGCATTCTTTTTATTTTTCTTTACTATGTTCTGGTTCTGGATGTGACAAAGATTTTGTTTTGCCTGCTGTTTCCTAGGAAACAAGTCCTCCTCCTTGCTTTTGTTTGGAATTTGGACCTTGATGCTAAACTTCTTTTTTTTTTGGGTTGCTTTTAGTATCACTATCAATCAATCTTAGAAGAAATTCTGCTAAAAAACTTCAGTTGTTCTCTTCCTTTTTCACTAGGATTTTAGCGCTGTAATCAGTTTGAATAGTTCTGCTGATAAATCTTAGTATGTGTCTATACAAACATAATAGTATTGCTTTCAATCAAGCCTTTACTCATTAATTAATCAGTGCTAATCTAAAACCCTGCTTCATTTCTTTAATCCGGGTGTTTCTTACCACTACGAGGGTTTTAAGGGGCATTTTCCCGGGAATCTTGGTTCTTCTAGGGGCTGCTATGTTCACTGTATACTCACTTTCATTGATTTTTTTTATTAAATTCCAGTTCTGTCTATAGTTTGAAATTTACTTGCTGTTGTCCGGTCCAAACAAGTTCATTACTGTTACATTTTCTGATCTCTTAAAGGAATGGAATATACCACCACTAAACCCTCAAAGCCCTCTTCAAACATATCCGAGTTGGTTTCAAAATTTGCCAGAGTTTGCAAGCTGAGATCCATGGGTGTTTTGTCTGCTGAAAATACGTTGAACTCAAGCAACATTAATGCCCCACTTGGCGAGGATAGCAGTGATAATACTGAAGAAACTGAATGTGATAGTGATAAAATACATCCCCGGCGAGCTGATGTTTCCTGCGAAAGGAATATATGCGGTGAGGCAGAGGTCTTGAAGTTATTTGACACTGTTTCTGCACTAAAATCAGCTTATCTCCAACTTCAGAAAGCTCATATTCCGTATGACCCGGACAAGATTATAGCTGCCGATGAACTCGTTCTGTCTAAGCTTGAAACACTTTGCAAGATTAAGCGTGCATACAAGGAGAAGCAGTTCACAAAATCAAAGCTTGATTCGTCTTGCTTGGAACTTCTTCTATCAGAAGTTAAAGTTAATGAGAGGCTGTTAAAGAAATTGAAGTCTGAAAATAAAACCAAGGACTCTGAGATTGTCCGCCTGAAGCAAAAACTCCAGGCTTTGGCTTTCAGGAATGCAAAGCTGGTTGAGATAATCAGAAGGGAAAGAGTGGAGAGAGAGAAGACAACGGTTCTGGATGTAACTATGTTTCAGAACAGCTTCAAAGCTGCATCAAAGTCCATTCATGATTTTGCAAAGCCATTGATTAGTTTGATGATGGCTTCAGGGTGGGATTTAGACCTAGCAGTAAAATCAATTGATGATGGAGTTGCATACTCCAGGAAGCGCCACAAGAAGTATGCATTTGAAGCCTACATTGCATGGAGAATGTTTCATGGAATGTTGCTTGAGTCCTATAATTGCAATGATATAATGAAGTTTGATGATCCAATTGATGCTCTGATAGAAAATCCAGATTCAGGCTTTGCAAAATTTTGCAGAAAAAAGTATCTTTTGGTTGTTCATCCTATGATGGAAATGTCATTCTTTGGGAATTTGGATCAGAGGAATTTTATATCGAGTGGCAAACATCCACGGACACCATTCTACCAGGTCTTTGTGAAAATGGCAAAGTGGATATGGATTCTACATGGGATAGCATGCTCAATTGATCCTGAAGCAAAAATATTTGTTGTCAAGAGGGGAAGCCAATTCTCAGATGTTTACATGGAATCTATTGAGCAAGACAGAGAAGGTCTGGTGGGTTCTGATGAGGGACAGGCTACTCAAAAGGTTGAGTTAATGGTCATGCCTGGGTTTAGAGTTGGAGAGACAGTGGTGAGATCTCGAGTTTATCTTTCGAAGACAAATTAGCCAATCCATAGATGTTAATCACCTTTAGTTTTGAGTATGTTAATACTTAGCAGGAGGTAGCTGAGAACTTTTGTAGTTTTTGAATTGTAGGATAGGGTGGGATTCAACTCAAGAGCTCAGACTCTTTACATCACCCTCTAGTTGGCAAAAAGCCTGTTATTCACCCCCTGAACTGTAAATAGATATCTACTCCGATGATGCCATCAGACTTTGGTTACCATTCTATTATTGTCTGCTGGATGATACTCTGATATTATTGTTCATGATGATGCCATTGATGTAACTCAGCATTCAGGAATTCTGTGCTTAATTGCAAGATAACTACTTTATTCGAGCCCCTTGTGAAAATCAGGTTAGAAGTTTGAACAATGACTAAAAATATTGATATCCTAGATTATATTTGCTTCCTGGCAGCCTGCAGGTGAGGGCCTCAGGTTTGATCTGTTGTAAAATAACATTGCCATGACTATATGGTTGCTCCCTGATATAATATCTTCCAAGCACAATGGTATATTAACTTTTGTTCTTATTTCTGATATTGTAGTTCACGTTGTGTCTGTTTGCTGATATGATCAAATCTAGGCTTGGCTGTTTATCAAAAAAGGGGGAAAAAAAAAGACAATCGGCTTAGCTCAAATAAGACAGGTGCTTTTAATATTATTCTCTGTTTATGTACTCGTGTAACAAATGCGAGCAATTGATTGAGAGAAAAGAGGGAGAGAGGGAGGATCAGCTATGAAACCAAAGAGAAGTACCGGTGCAACTGAAGAGTTACTAGGGACTATCAACATTGTCATCATCAGCGGAAAACAAGTCTGTGCATAGCTCGCCATAGAATCGAGAAACCAAATCAATAAAGACAGGGCATGTCAAGTTCTTCCAACAATATAGGAGCTCTTCCACATCCATCAAGTCGCTCACTTTCCCTTCTTCAACAATCATCTCAACTAAATAATTCTCAAAACTCCTGCATGCATCTTCCACATCATCATAACCGGAGGATCCCATTTTACTGGAACCTGCAACCTTCACATAAGCTGGTGTGAGGGGTGAGGGGAAGAGCAGCCTATCGTGTGCTGCCTCGGAAAAGCTTCGAAGCTCTGCTAGTTTATCCATCTTCCTGGACTGTCTTAGAGACCGAAAAACAGATAGTAATGCAGAAGTAGGACTTCTTTTAGGACCTTTTCTGACTTTGGCATGCTGAGGACGGGTTCTAAGAGCTCTTAGAAATACTGGCCTTTTGAGCTTGAACCTGAAGATTCGGACAACTTTTCTGCATGGGTTGAAAAGCTTGGATTTGAAGGCAACTAATGCTTTCATTTTCGTCTCTAATGATTGGTATATAGCGGAGTGCTTATGAAGGAATGCAGTGGGATGGATGGTAGCTTTGGTTGCGTATGATTTCTTTTGCAGGAAAGCCGGTGATAGCAACTTTACCAATTGGGATAAAATTAGTTTGGTATTAACACACACGAGAGTGGAGACGCAGATTGTTGAGAAAGGATGTTAGTTATTGAGGAGTCAGGAGAGGCGCTGTTGGACTTCGGACGTTGTTGTTAGGCTGCTTGTACTTCTCTTTTGTATGGCTGTGGTGGGTGGCAGTGGGGTTCACGTCTTGCTTTTGGGGTTGTAATCTAAGTGGAACTCCATCAACTATTTTGCCGTCCATTCAGAAAAGGTCTTGGTTGGTGATCAGGCTCTCCACTATCCTTGATGTGGAATTTGGCCTTTGGGGAAGAAGCATTCATAGCAAATCCACCAAGCCATACGAATGGGCAGGAGCAGGACAAGGCCATGCTGATGGCTTTAGTTTATGGCCCTATGGCATTGCCTTATAGAACCAGCATAATTTTTTTTGAAGGAGTCAGATTCATGGGCTTGGGCCACTTTCCCGTATGAAACCCAAACCGGATTTGGGGAGAAAAGTGGAACACTGTCAGTAGACTCATAGCATTCCAGGAATCCAGTGGGCCTTTGTAAGATGAGGTCATGAGCCCGATGAGGCTACTGTTTCTCCCATGTTTGTGTCAGCTTGGTTCTGTTCTACGCGTGCTATGCTGCTGGCTTTGTTTTGCAGGTTTCAAGGAGCCTTACAATTATTTAGTTGGGTACTTGTACACATTTTTTTTGTTCAGCTCAGCAAAACAAAGGGTAGTTGGTACTCTTTGGACAATAATAGTAGAAACAATCCGTGGATCCTATCCTAGATATATTCTTTTTTTGATTGTAGCTTAGAAAGTTAGAATTTGTTAGGTTGCTAGGTTGTAATTCTGCCATCCTCGCCCGCCTCACGAGGGTAGAGATTGGATTCGATCATTGTTAAGAAAACATTGAAAAATTAAGTGGCATTAAATGAATATCTATGATTGTACTACTCATTGAAAGAAAAGGAGAAAATTTTATAATTTTTTTATCCAATTATTGGATCACCAGATTAATAGTTTTTTGAGTTTAAATTACGTGATTTTCAAAAACTTAAAATTAAGTTATTAGTAATGATAAATTTAAATTATTATATAAATTTTAACAATCACATTCACATCAGATGTAAGATATTAAATATCACAATAATTTTAGCAGGAAAGGAAATTGAAAAGAAGGGAAAGATTGTGATGGGATGGAGTATACCACTGGCTTTAAACTTTCAACGCGGAAGTGCAAGTACCAAAATCTTCGGTGCTTGTTTATGATATGTGAAATATTAGATTAATTGTCTGCTTCTCTCTCTTTATTTTGGTCCGACAGCAGCCTTAGTATGTACTACCTCAAGGGGACGTCTAGATTGGTTAGTTCCGAGTCTACTTGTCTAACTAACAGAAGAAATAAGGCATGGCATTCTCGATTGAATCGTCAGCTTCTGTCTTTGCTAACGACGGTAACATTATTACTCCTGGTCTTCCTTCAATTCCTCTCTAAAGCATGCATTCCTTTCTACTTTCTTTGACCTGTTAAGTCACTTTTCTTGTATAAGTAACATCACCTCAGAAATTTAACAAAAGCTTTTTATCAAATCAACAAATTGGATTGTAAGCAAGATGAAGGAGTTTTGTAACTCAAGGTGTCTTTCCAATCCATGCTTGATTTTGAGTTCCAAGCACATGACTATGATTTTACGATGAATGAGGACGAATTGCCCGTCTGCTCTTCCTGGAGGCTCTTGTCATCTAAACTTTGGGGAGGCGGCTTACTGTCGCTCTACGGCTCTGCCAGCTATCAGCATTAGGTATTGGACTGGCCTAGGAGGCTGGAAGTCGCCTAAGCAGACCCTAAAGGAGAAACATGCTCAATTCTAGATTTTCATAGCTTTACAATACAACCAATTCACCACTCTGTGTCTGTGGTTCAGTTGCTCAAGCCACCTCAAAAAAGAGAAACAATTTTAACTACATTGAATTCAGCATTCAATTTATGGGCAGCTGGCTGAAAAGGAATGACAAGGTGTGCCATGATTGGCATCCCAAGCTCCGCCCTTCAGCAAGAGTTTGGAGGGGACAGGTAACTGAACGTCCAGCACTAGGCAAGTGGGGCAGCTGGAATTAAGAGATTGAAAAAGCAGGGAAGGAAATTGCATCATTTGTGGAGGAGGGAATTATGGAGAAAAACAACACTGGGTCGACAAAGGGGTCTTCAATATTACCAAAACCATTATTACACTGAAAACCACTTTTGATAAATAAAAGGAGGACCCATATGAGGCGTTGACAGTTCTTACAAAACCAGCCAAAAAAAAAAAAGTGGTCAGCTTGAGTCAGTAAAATGCCTTAAAAAACATTATATACAAGACTAGCTTATTGACCAGAGCCTTGCAGTCACCAAAGGAGCTTGCCATGCATAGATGATGTCAAGGAAGGGAAGACTGCAGAGCAGAAAACAGTGTCTTCGGCTACTGTCATTGTGTTGGATTTTCTGATGATTTAATAGAAAGGGCAAAAAAGAAGGCCTTTTATTTTGCATAATTCTCGATATTAACTTTCATGCTTGACTTTTCAAGTTGGGGGGGGCCCATCTTTTGTTGTTGCCTTGCCTAAAGTTAGAATTTGTGCTTCCATACTTGCTATCTATTCAGTTTCCATATGTAAAATCTTGTATTCTCATGCATTAAATAGAGGGGATGGCTAACACAAACCAAGTCTGAGAGAAGCAGAGAATAAGGAGGGTTTCCAAGTGAAGTGACAGAGAAAGAGGTCTATCTAAGATGGGTAATTACAGGTTCAGGTTCTCAGATATGATGCCAAATGCCTGGTTTTACAAGCTCAAAGACATGAGCAAAACCCGAAAGCAATACCGGTCTCACCCCCTGAAGAAAAAACCTTCCCCATCATCTTCATCATCACAAAAACCCCACGATTCCAAGCCAAGATCCTATTACTTCACCACCGAACCTATCAAAGCTGGCAGATTCTACAATTCACCTGTGCATCTTGAAGCCTCGGGCGCTCGTTTTCCTGATCCACCAAGAAAGTCGTTGAAGAGAAGAGGCAGAAGAAGAACCGTTTACAAGCCTTCTCCCAGAGTCGTCTCCTCTGTCTCTGCTGGTTTTAGCTGTCATTCCGTACTTAACTCAGTCCCGACCAACTCTAGTCTAACTCAGTCTCCTGACTATTCTCTTTCTCCATTCGAAAGTTCCCCTGAACCCGAGTCTCTTCTATCAGAATCAGAGGATGATGACTTTTTCGCTCCTGCTGAGTCATATGATCTACCAGCCTCATACTCGAAATCTTACAACTGTAAGCTTAGTTCTTCAACCACTGATATCATCATCGACATGAATAACGAGTCTCACACAACGAAATTTGACATGGTGGATGGATTTGACGCAATCCCTGAACTCGAGCTTCCTCCAATATTGACAAAGCCAGCAAAGTGCAATCTAAAGGCGGATGAAGTCACCAAGTTGACGACAAGTTCATCTAGATTAGAGGAGACTAAAGCACGCCGGTCTGTTTCTGTCAAAATTGTTAAAGAAGACAGCATTCGGACTCAAAAAGAGCCAAGGGGTAGTCCTCTTGTGAGAAAGTCATTTGCTAATTCTCCCGGAATAAGGCTTCGGGCAAATTCTCCAAGAATTGCAAGCAAGAAGATTCAAGCTTATGCACGAAAGAGCATGTCATCCGGTACGTACTTAAAGTCTAGGAATAGAAGCATTGCAGGAAGTTTAGCAGTCGTCAAGTCTTCACTTGATCCACAAAGAGACTTCAGGGATTCAATGGTTGAGATGATTGTGGAGAATAATATTCGGGCATCAAAAGATTTGGAAGATCTTCTTGCTTGTTATCTTTCACTCAATTCTAATCAATACCACGATCTTATCATTAAGGCGTTTGAGCAAATCTGGCTTGATATGACTAACCTACGCTTGTAAAATTCCTAGATCATTAAATGCACATAAATAAATGTTATATTCTGACTTCTTCTCTGTAATTTCAGTATTCTGATTAAGCAGGATTATTAAGAGTGGTTATGAGTTAGCTTTATATTGCTTTCACATTCTCTGTTTACGTCAACTTCACATTCGTCAAGTAAATCTGTTGACAGGACTTGACACTGTTTTACAATGAGTTTGCAGGATTTGCATAGAGCCTTCTGTTAAGGAGTCAATGAATGCTCAATGCACGCTGTGATAGTTTACTCGCAAAGCATAATCATAACAGAAGCTGCCACTTCTTGGATAAAAATGAAAAAAACTCATAATTATGTAAAAAGAAATCCATGATTATTAAGCATGAGAAACGTGTTAATAGTATCAGGCAACTTGTCGAAGATGTTTTCCTCTAGTGGTATTCTGTCCGATGAAACTTGAGTTAGGCAGTTCCAGAAGAGTTTAGGCACTTTCCTGTTTGATTTTTGGGGCGTCGGTTTAGCTCTTCGAACTTAGCTGTTGCACAGTATTAACTCCATCCCTCGTCAATTTGGAACAAAAGTTGAAACAGCTGTGGCTACTGATAAGGACTTCCTATCTGAACATATATGACAAAAATTTCCAGGTCTTTCTGAAACGATGATAAAAGAGTGAATCTTGTTTTTGGCAATTGGGTCAGATATTTTGGTAGAAGCTGTCAAACTGCCAACTATAACAAGAGAGATATATGAGATTTAGGTTCACCAAATCCTAGCAGCAACTTAACAAGCGGAATTGTGAATGAACCAAAACAAGTTCCAAGCTTCTTTGTTCCCAAAAAAGCAAAAAGAATACTCCATGACTTATCATCAAGTAAGCCTGAATACTGTCATAATTGCTTTGTTGCACAAGTATGAACGTGTGACTATTAGATACAGTTGAAATAAATGCAGACTGGAAAAGTTGTAAATATCCAGCATAATTGCTGGAATTATGGTCGGTGAATGTTGGTTGAATTAAGTCCATATGTAAGCAGGAGTACAACTCCACAATTTGCTTGGCTACTTGTAAGTAGTTGTTCCTCTATTCAAATTTATCTCTACCCAGCACTGAAAAATCGATTTCAAAGTAAACCAAACTGATTATTCAGATTCTTAGCCCACCATTGCCAGGGGTATTGTTTCATACTATTCTTCACAAATTTTCAGCACCCGTGCAATAACTTCTGTACAATTGCAGAACATGATGAACGGGTAGTCAAAGTACAGATTAGTTGAGTTTAAGACGTAATCCATAGTGTAAGATCTCGTGTGAAACCAACCCAGCTCAAATCAATGGGATTGACAGCTCTTCCTGAAAAGAGAAGCATAGGTCCACAAATCATGCTGTCAAGTTGTAAAAAGAAATTGATTATCCCAAAAGCTTCGAGTAAAGAGGCATTTTTTAGACCTCCAATCTTGTCTAAAGTTCATTGCTGTTATTCAAAGCTGAAGGAAGTTTAGACACCAAGGGATATGCGACACTTTTAGGCTTTAGCATATGCAAGTGACCAGTCTGATAATGGTAGGACTTACCCTGTCTGCAAAAGCACTAGACTCAGAGGTTAAGATGACAAACAAGAAAAAAGAAAGGTTCAACCATTAGACGGTATCTCTTCTAACACAATCTTCATCGCCTTTCATGTACTAACATAAATACCAGGGCTTAATCTAAGATTGGGAATCATAATAAATCTTAGTAGTGAATTGTGGGCAGCTTTGTGGCCTGCTACACAACACAAAGCAGGACCACCGACAGTCCTGCTAAAATGATAATAATTAGGGCTCTTTCGCAAAGATAGGTGGCTCTTCCAACTTTTGGCTCTAGAGGACCACAAGTCTCTTGTAATTGTTTAGCATACATTGGAAGCTCCCAGTTCAGTAACCGGTTGAACTTGCCACTTAGAATAGTGGATTCACAATGTCCCATCCTATGCTGATCCCCTAGGTTGTAGACAGGACTCTTAAGGAGCAAAACTACCCCCTAGGGTTTCAATCAGGCAAGTTATTTATATTTGAAGAAAAGACACTAGCAATTCGAGAGAGATGCTTTTCTATCTCGTCTCCTTCAACAGCGGTGAATAATACAGGTTGTCTGTTACTGTGAATCTGAGTTTTAGTGGTACGCTCTCCACCCAGACTTCAGAAATGTGCTGCAGTAGATTTCAAGTGTTTTTTCATGATTGTGGAATGAAAAGGTTTGTAATTTGCATGGAAAAGGGACAAAATATAGCTCTAGCATTAACAGTCTATCAATTTTTCTTCAGGCTAGAAAGTAGTCGATCGTAACCTACCTTGCCAATCGTACAGCAATGATATGGTAATAATTTGTGAGTGATTTTGGAAAGACTGGGGGAATCGCTTCTGCTACAGGCGGAGAATCCAGAAAAGCAAATTTGGATGTATGATAGTACGCAATAAAGCTGTAAAATATAAGAAGAATAAAACAAATTAAACAGAATATGAAAACAGGTCCTAGAGTGAATTTACAGCTCCAAACAGCATTATGAGCAAATATATTTCACCCATTCCACCCAATAGGCTCAAGGGAGGCCTGAGAGGGAGTTTCCAATGGCTAGAGACATCAGACGTGGAATGGATATCAAACATCACATGGAAAGAAATTTGAAATCGAAATAGCTCAAGCATAAGGACCACCAGGGCATCAAATACAATGCCATTGAACTTAATCAATGACCACATGAGGCTTGGGAATAGCCAACTGGCCATTAACCTTGCATTCACAGCCAAAAAAAAAAAAAGAAAAAGAGAAAACCTAGCTATTAAACTCTCTCAGAACATTACCCATAATTGTGTACTTGATGAGTCTCCTTTCTTGCTGAAAAACCTCTCAGGATTTGTTACTTCGAGATATCTAGAAAATGCCCCAGCCTCTCTATCCCATATCTCTTTGTCCTGTTGTGGGATTAAAGTCTAAAACAATAAAGAAAGCATTTGCTGTCACCGCAACTTGCACGAGAGTTAACCATCATATGCTTATACAAAGTAAAAAAGAAAAGCTACCTTTTGGGAGAAAAAGGTGGAGAGCACAATTATGCAAGGAGCACTCAGAGAATACTTTTTGGAAGACATGAAGCTGGTACAAAAATCTCTACAGTTTACTAATTAGTGAGTATGGTATACATCTGACTACTTAAGCATGCTGCATTGCATTATTTGGTTTCAGCGTTTTTTGCTTCCAGCCTTTCCACTCGGTTCTGATATAATGACAAACATTAGTGCCATAGATTCTGGCCAGACACATGTAGAACAAACCAATCGTATGTTCTGAAGACCTGTCAATTTTGCAGATTTCAAGCGCTTTGAATCTTAATTTTAATATCTTATTTGTTGCTTTCACAATAATATGAAGGATTTCACTTTTGGAATTCACGCCTGCAAATCATGATATCCATTTTTTCCTTTTTTTTTTTTTTTGGAAGATTAACTTCGAAGTGTATTCATATAAAAAGGGGAAATCTCATGTACACAAAAGGAGATCATGATATCTTTTCAAATTGCTAAAATTTTATTTGACCTGTTTTAGGAGCAAGCTGAATAAGGATTGAACATCCTAACTTTCCACCTTCATATAACTTTGCCATCACCCTCATGCATTAGGACTGGTCATGGTGGATATCATTTGCTAAACCACTATGGCTTATTGCTCATTCAAGCAATTCTGAGCGGAAGGATTTCAGAAGTCATATATCCACAAGACTCGAACTAGCCTTTTCTGGATGCCTAAAGGTAAAACTAGCCAGGGAGAAATTTTTAGTTAAAACTATCTGAGAGTATAATTCCAATAGGTGAATTTGCAAGCATCATCCACCATTAGCCTATGCAAAATTGCTAGTACCGTTTGTTTAACAAATGGATTTGCACATAATTTCTCTGCGTCTCTGTGTCCCTTTATTTTTGAAGAACAATTTGCATATCCATCACCCTAGGCGCTGGAAATGAAAGAGAATGCCAACATCATTGTTCATAAATCTTATTCTGAAACAGGCTCTATTTTAACACAAAGTACTCCATAATCAAAGATATATAATATTTACACTGAATTGCGTTAGCCATCTTACGGACAGTTACCCTCAATGTGAACTTCAGAATCTCCCTGACCACAAAATGAAGAGGTCAATCCAGCCAGTGAGTCAAGCTTTTCTTGTTGATCACTCCTTTCATTTGACCTGCAAAATTTGTGAGAGCTAGAATTTTACATGTTTCTTCCCTGAAGTCCTCTGCGTCCTTTTTGTGGGAACCTCACAAGGTGCCTGAAACCCAATATCCTCCACGGCTCCAACTGTCTTAAACAACCGTCTCTTACTCACCTCTTCCACTAATGATCGGTGTAGCAGTTGGCTCCTAATATCTACTAGCGACCGATTCCTTGTTAATTTTCGCTGGTCCATCACTCCTCTATGTTTAGGATTAGATGCATGTGATTCCAAAGCCTTGTATTGGTTATAGCAATTCCTAGCTATTGACTGTCCGCTTCTTGAACTTTCCTCATTGCAAAATCTAGTTGAGTTGTGAATTCTTGGGCTGAGAGGTTTGCTCTTTGTTGTAAGGCTCGTATCAGGCTTGTGGTCATCTCCAGAGAAGTAACTCATGTTACTATATGTTCCTGAGTGTGAAGAGCTCTGAGAACTGGTTTCATCAAGCAAATCATCTGCAATAGCAATGTTTCCCGTTGACATTCAAAGTTTTATGTTAACCTAGGGCGTGGCAGACCAATTTGATGAAGTAATAAGGAGAAGGATTAATTAGCAAAGAATATAAAGAAAAATTGGCATTGATTTACCTATTTCTTGGGCATATGTGAACATAATAACTTAATTACTCAATCTAGGAAGCCTAAACACCAAAACAAACATAGATTGACAATGAACATGGACTAACATTGAATATCAGCTCCTAGACACACTTATTTAATGAGTTATCTAGAAGATAAGAAGACAATTAATATTTTTTCTAAATTGCCTCTCAACAGGCAGGTGTTGAGACTTGGGCAAAGGAATTTCACAACTTAGATAAGCCAATTTAACCAGTACTATGTGTGTGCAGCATATCTACCGCACCAGAACAGCTGGTGTATGATTGGCAATCAAGCTTGTGTAATGGAGTACCATGTGGTACAAAGAATTTGTGCAGAGCCATACCTGGGAGCCAATTGCCGCCACGTGCCATCAAGCCAGACAGTGACACTTGGGATGAAGAACAGGAGGAGAAAGAGCAAAATGGATGATGAGACCCATCATCGTCTTCTTGGTAGTTAAATGTACTGTAGGCTTCATTCCTAGGGAAGTCCGATTTTTTCCATAGTGGTACTAGAGCAGAAATCTCACCATCAATCATTTCTGCAATTTCATATGGCTCCCAATCGGTTATCTCTAGCTCCTTCACCATTTCCATTGCCACGTCCGATGGTGTATCATTTACAATATCAAAGGGAAAATATATGTTCCTAGCAGAACCTGCAAGAAAAGACCTTATGGAAATGATTCACCACTTAAACAATTGATGACAGCAGGATTTAGATTGCCTGCCAACAGACTTCAAGCCAAGTTTTGGATATCCTTCATTTCTATTTGCTGCCTAAATCATAATTTAACCTCTAAATCACATGCAAAAATTACAATAGTTTGAGCATGACATGGCCAATATGCCGAAATAGAATTCTCCTCATAATTCATTATGCAGATATAGAAAATCAATATACTGCTTTACTGACTCAAAATTTGTGGTCAAAAGTGTCTGAAAACAAATAATTTCCCGGGACGGTTGCATCAGAACATTGCAATAAAGAACTGAATCGTACCCTCTGTATCTGCAATTTGTACTTTAAGAAAGATGGTATCATCTTCAGGATTAAGTTTCCCTGTGATTGTCATGTCTGTTCTTGACGGATTATCATTCAGATGCAATTTCTCCATTTCCCTTTCATTCAGAAAGGGCTTTGGACTCCCAAGCCTCGTCGTGGGTGACAATTTAGCTTCATCACTAGCGAGAAATGGGTCAAGCAACAGTTCTTCTGCTGACAATCTCTTAGAAGCATTTACTAGACATTTTCCAATAAATCTCTGCGCTTCCAAGTCTTGAATCTGGTAGAATGCCCCTGGTAGCTTCCCCTGAATAAAGGAAGTGACATGTATGTCATACTCCAATTAAGTGATACTATTAATACTGACATTAAAACTGAATCATACCGAAGTCACTTTCTTGTAAATTTGAGCTGGATTGGCACATTCACTATATGGATATTCAGATGTAAGCATCTCTAAAACACACATGCCGAAAGAGTAGACATCAACAAGTTCATTGTAATCCTCTTCATATAATTCTGGTGCCATGAACTCGGGGGTCCCTATCAACATTGGAATTCAAAAAACTCGAAACATAGCGAATTGGTATACACTAACATTTACCAGCTCATGATGAAGGAAAAGGTACCTATGACACTGTGGGCTGATTTGGATCCTCGGAGAATCGCTGCAAGCCCCAAATCACCAATCTTGACTTGTCCTAGATGGCCATTAACAAAGATGTTGTCACACTTAAGGTCTCTGTGAATAACTGGAGGGTCATGACCATGCAAATATACAAGACCCTGCAATATTTGGCGAGCCCAATTCTTAATTGCTCGGATGTCCACTCGTTTATATTTCTTCCTGTATCTGCACATTTATACACAGTTGTTACTTGCTAGCAATTTCATCATCGCTTTAATATCGAGTCGGATGAGGACTGGTCTCGGAAGTGTTACTTGTTTTGTCAATAGGGAAATGGACTAGAAGAGTTGGCAAAATTAGAGTAAGAAGGAGAATTACTCTCTGAGAGATCCTGAAGTAAACATTTCAGTGATGAAATTGAAGGTCTTCCGATCAACGTCGATCCAGGAGGTGTAGAATCTAATGATAGAGTCATGATTGAGGGTGCTAAGAAGGTGAACTTCAGAGTACAGCCTCTGCAAATCCTCTGGCGACCGGAGCACCTCGTTGAGTTTTACCTGGTTCCAGGCCACCTCCATTCCAAGGACCTCATCAATTGCTTTGTACACCGTTTTCATTGCACCTTTTCCGAGAATTTCTTCAAACTGTTGGAAACAAACCATAATTTTGTTTTCCCTCAATAATTAATCAATGAATCTCTAAATCTCAACAGTAATCAGGTAATTCTACCATCCATAGAACCCAACAGTCTATGAGTAACAAGGAAGCAATGGATTTCATTCTCACATTCATCAGAACTTTAAAAGAAAATTTCTGCTTATTATTTGATGTTCTGTGACAATTTTTTGTGTTAGTATCACGATTGCTACGTTTCATCCATTGATGTTCTTCTGTGGCTTCCACTTTTGAATGCTTATTGCATGCCTTGAATTGATGTTAATGGAAATTCAAGATCCTGCAAAGACATACATGAGATTCCCTTCATTGTAATTTCTTACAGTTATGCAAATGCTCTGCTTAGGCATTGGTTGCTGGTGCTTGCAACAATTTTTCAGTAAGATAACAATATCTTAACACTAAAACTTCCACCATTGCTGTTAAAGAAAATGGTTGGTGGTTTTTCTTCTAAATTAATTACTGCCACTTGGTTAAGCATGATTGTCGATTTACTGTCAACAAGACATGATTTGATCTCTTTTGTTTTATTCCCAAATTTTCTCCTACCCTTAATCCATCACAATTTAGACTTGCAGAACAATAACACATTACTTTATGGAATTCAGATATTCAGATTAAACTGACTTCATCGTACTATCCAAGAGCTAGCTAGAACCTGAAGCAGCTCGAACCCCAGATATTGCTAGTATTCACTGTTTTGATTTGTAATGACCTTCAAGAACTCGATAAGGTGAGGTGATATTGATTTGCTTATTTTAAAGTAAAAGCCTTAAATTAATATTGTTCTCTGACAATCAATCATAAATATATTTTAATCCGCTCATAGGGCATTAACTTGCGCAAAGAGTCATGACATGAAAATGTTTGAACTTTCCCCTGCTAACATTGTTCGACTAGTGACCCACCGACCCCAAAGACTAGTTTAAGCAAACCAAAACCAATCTGATTATGGTAGTTGGAAGAAAATAAACATCCACAACACTGTACCAAAGTCACAAATATTTTCAAGTTGAATATTTATATATAATACAAACTGTCGTAAAGACCCTTTCGGGAGATCTGTATGTTTACTTAATTGCTTATTGATTTTAGCAATAATTTTAAGCTACTTTCCAGAAGGTAAATGTTTCTTAGAAGAGCAAGATGTAGAAAACTTTGGCATGCATGTACACATATACCTGGATATGGAGATAGAGAAAAAGACTAAGAAAGATTTAACTTTGAACTTACTCGACCGTATCGACCAGAAGGATCGGTTTCAACGTATCCGTTCTCCTGCAGCTTGGCTTCATCGAACTGTTTTCGATACATGTTTGAGCTATCCACAAAACTTAGGTGGCAGCCCGGAAAATCTTGTAAAAACTTGGAAGAATAAACGCGGTAATTGAAAACAAATTATTAAGTCAACATAAATATAAAAAGGGTAATTGGTAGGTCGACGGAGATAAAAGAGCATCTAAATCCGGGGCTTCCCTTCATGATTTTCGTAGGAGAAGACACCAAAGAGGAGCCAAGAGAGCCTGGAGTAGTCAATCCTTAGCATGATCCATGCCATCTCCACCACCGCACGTGAGAAGTCGTACTCCTTGCAAGCTAACATTTGACACGGGAATTAACCAAGAAAGTAGAAATGTTGGCACACCTTCGACTATAGCACTAGTTTTCTTGGAAAAATGGGATTTCCCCAAGAATTCTAATGAGATCGGGAAGGAATATTTGTTGGTGAACAAGGATAGTTTTGGCATTCAAAGACTAGAGAGAAAGGGACTGATCAGCAATACCGATGCGGTCCGGAACTTAAAGAATCTGTGGCTATTCTTTGTTACTAGCATTTGTGGATGATGAGACAGAAGCCCGAAAAGAAGGATGACTAGTATTCTGATAAGGCGACTCAAACTTTAAGAAGCAAATCAAAACCAGGGAGAAATGATCAATCAATGTTGACACCCTGATGAAGAAGAAGTTGGGAGAGGAAAGTAATTGGGGATGGAAAATGTGTACCTAGGGGAATAGAAGTAGACGCAACGATGAATTAGTGTGTGTTTTATAAGAGGTGGGTCCTCCAAAGAGGAATGGCAGACATCCAAAGGCCAGGATGGCATCAAATGACGTTCACATTTTTGGATTGAGAGGCGGAAGATTCCAATTCCAACTCCAATTCCAGCGCCAATTTAATTACCAGTACCTCAATCTTGACCGTATCATTTGATGACTACTTATTAGATCATCCAGTATCATGTAAATGGTAACACATACCTTTTGGTCTCGGTGCATGCTTCAATTGATCTCAGGAAGCCTACTGATACATCAGATACTTTTTGTTTCGGAAAGGCCTTTCCAAATCCTATTAGGAAATCAACAGCATGCACACGAAAGAAAAGGTCAAAAGATCAGGTGAATGCATGCCAGAGTAAGAGTGAATCATTATCATAAAGTACTAGTACTTCTGACAGCTTTGACTTTGTCTAAACAATTCTGACACCTATCCACTTGGGAGTACACAAATTTCCATGTTCCTATAATCTGACAAATTGGTAGTATGTTTCTGGAGTCATAAAAGTATGATTAAATCGTGCAGGAAAAAAGCATGGGGGGAGAAGAGGAGAGCCGCCGGGGGCCGGGCTCACCTCAATTTGACAAGACAACGAAAGTTGAAAGAGCTAGAGCCAATGAGATTATGCGGCGTGTTAGATGGTGGCTTGACAAATTCCAGGGCCTGTCGTTTTCACAAACCTCTCTTTCTCCACTTTGTTTATTCACTCTTATCCCCTCTCTCTCTCTCTCTCTCTCTCTCTCTCTATGGTACTAGTCATTGTTAATATAATTATTAGTAGTCGGATGTCAAGTATACTTTTGTCCTTCGAAATACAAGACTTTCCTAGCTAGGCTTGCCAAGTCTGGTAAAAAAAAGCACGTTAATGTGAGTTTAGTAGGTAACTTTTCCTTTCTTGGGAGCGTTCAACCAATCTAATTTGTTCCAAAGTCGAAGATAAGATAGCCCACGCAGGCTTGCTTTTGGGAAATAATCAAACTAAAATCATCAAGAAATGGGGGAACAAAAACGAAAAGAAAAGTCCAGAGAAAGGATCAACTTTCGAGTCAAATGCATCGTGTACTCCTTGCCTACAACCTTTAATAATAAAAAAATCGACAATGATATACAATTAACAAAGGTTACATGGTACTGAAAAATTAAAAAATTAAATGAAGGAGAAGAGAGAGACGGAGGCATATGATAATATTATATTCCTGCGGAAAGTGTCTCATTTTTCACCATCCTTTTATTAGAATTGTTTAACTATACATCAGACAAAGTCTATCTGATTCCTATGGTATGTGTGACTGTTGGTTTGAGTTGCGTGTGGTAAGGTCAGCCAACATGCAGAAAAGGGCAGATGAAATGAATCTGATCATTAATGTCTTGCAATGAATAAAGGCAAAGAAAGAGGGAACAGTATGTTTACATCATACGTACATTCATAGATAGACAAGCACACCTACAGCTGCATGATTCATACAATTTGACTCAAAATCTACCCATATTCCGGTAGCTGGCTAGCTTCGATAGGGTGGGAAACAATGGTTGCAGCAGCAGCGAGGACAGGCTTCTTTTCAAGGAAAGCATACTAATAAAAGACACTGAAGTTTCTCTTCCTCAGAAAAAGTCTGATTCTAAAACACTAGGGTTAACGACTGATGGTTGGTGATTTTCATGACTAATCATGCATGAAAAATTAAAGTTTCAAAGTTGATTTTGAGGAGGTGCTTCTTACAAATACTAATAGTCATGGTTGGTGGTTGGCTAACAATCATATGATGCTAACCACTTTGTTTTACAGAATATACACCCTCAACAGAAGTTCCACTAAAGGAGAATAAAATAAAAGTTTACAACGTGATGCTCGTGTATCCAGTGCTAGCGAATATCAATCCATGGGGTGATCATCAGCCTGCTTAAAAATCAAAAATTAAATTATAATAAAAACGAGCTCAGATGTGACCAATTTCATCCGAAGAATCAGACAATTGTGATAGACCCTACTATCACATTAGGCACCAGATTCGTCACAGCTCGAAAGTGCACCAGCCGGGAATCGAACCCGGGTCTGTACCGTGGCAGGGTACTATTCTACCACTAGACCACTGGTGCTTGCTGGTTGTCCTTGGGACTTTTTTATTTCACAAGCACCCAGCACAAAAAGTAATGGTATATACGCTGGCCATGCTTTAATCTATTAAATATCAGACACTGTTTCCTCTCATGCCCTATAAAACTCATCAATGCCATTAGCATACGTCATTTCCAATTTTCTACCTTTAAGAGCAGTAGTAGCTAAAATCTACATGGATGTATGCACAGGTACATATTGGCATATCAACATGGCTCTATTTTCACAATATCAAACAATGTCAATATTTTACATATTTAAGACTCAAATCTCTATAGCAGCTTCCAAGATTATACGACCAATACAGCTGCAGAATTCTATATTTCCCAAAAATTATCCAAACAAAATTTCCCATTGGACTTTACTACCTATGCCAAACCAAATCCCAGTGAACATTACTTCACTATGTACACCTTCAATGGAAGCCACCAACACGGAAGTAAACACACCGAATGCACAAGAACAAGATACAGTTTCGAATATCATGCTAACATCGAAAATAGGAAACAACCGAGGCAACAAGAGAAGGAAGTAATGGGGGAAAAAGGGTCTTCCTAAAGGTTTAGATGTTAGCATCTACTGCTAATGCTTACTGTCTTCTATTCTTCACATTTTCTGTTCTGATTATCCTTCAGAGGGACAGAGGTGGAAAATCATGTTCATTTTTCAGATGGTATGAGAGCCCTGCATCACTAGAAACCCAAACTGCAAAGATTTAGAGGGCAACCTTCAAAAACTTTGGAGAAGAAAGAGGGAAAGAGAACAAACACTGAATCGTCACCATATGGTAACATATATTCTTTTACGTAGCAACATTTTCTAATAGAAAATTGTATTACCTTTCTTGATTACTTTCAAGAACAGGCTTAGCACTTTGTGCTGCTGTTATCATAACACTTGGTGTGGAGCCACAAGTGCAAGGATCTGGCAATGCATTGCCTTCTGGCATGTTTGTGCTCTGTAATTCAAGGCTAGAAGACCCAGATTCAAATCTCTCAGGTGGGCAATTTAAACCATTGGCAGCACATAAACCCCAAACGGATGGGTAAGGTGGATGAGTACTGGGTGATCCAAACTTCACAGGGCCCAGAGATGGGTACTCCTCTGGTGAGAGTTCATGGCTACCTTCTTGAGACAATGCCATCTCTTGTTGAACAGTAGCAGAACCATTATTATTAGTATATCTCTGAAACTGACTGTAGGCTCTTGAAGCCTGAAAGATTCCTCTCCCAGATGAGTGCCTCTCCCGATTAGAACGATACTTCTGCAAAATTTTAAGCATCTGGAGTCAGATATAGCTGCTAAATGCAAAAATTAAACAAAGGTACATGAATACAGTTCTCAACTAAACATACAATGATGGGAATATATGTTCCTGTTCCTCGTTTCTTCTTATCCTCTGAATCCACAGCAGTACAAACTGCAACAGGAGGCTTCGAAAAACAAAATTGTGATCCCCAAATCCCATTTGAGTCCCTCTGAGAATAAAGATCCTGTTTTAAGCGTATGGATTGTTCGATAATTTCCCAATGATTTTCATTCTGTAAATGGGGGGACACAGGAGTAGATACAGAAAATAAATGGCAATATTGACCATATAACAAACTCCAAAACTGGCCATCATAATCCCCAGTAAGGTCTAACAATGATTTTAAAGATTCAGAATCCCCAAAAAAGCCAGCTATCTCTCTTTTACAAACTACATTGCTGGCAGCTAAAGTGTCACTCTTAGAATAAGGCTTTAGAGCAAAACTCATATCATCAGCAGCAATAGAATCTGTCAACGTACTTTTAAAAGAGTCACCACTTTCAACCATTCCAATTTGTCTACAAGTGCGAGGTTTTGTTGAACGTGAAGCACCAAGGTTGCAACTCAGAGGAAAAGAATCAGATGAATCATTTTTACCTTTCATTGCCAGTAATCCAGACAGTACAAACTCCTTAGCATCCCCAGGGTGACAATGTCCTGAAACAGCATTTCTGTTGACATTGGTTTTTCTTTCTGGCACTACCTGTGAGGTTAATACATCGAATGGGTATCCCAACTTGTATCTGGATCCAGAAGTAGCTATAGATCCTGACATCTTATTGTTACTAGTGCCAACATTGATTGGTTTTGCAAACAAATAGTTCCCTGAGCACATATTAGCACATGGTGATGACATTACATGGTCATAACCTCTAGCATCAGAAGTCAATGGAAGATTTTGCATGTCAGTCAAATGATTGCTTCCGTGCCTTTCCAAAGTGTTTGCAAAGAACTTAACAAGCTCATCCGCTATTCTTTCTCTTGGTAAAATAAGGATCTGCTCAAGTTTGTGAGCCCCATATTTGAAGGCACTGCGAATTCTATAGTAGTTACCTGCAACAAACTCAAGATTCTGATCACAAGAGCATGAGGAACAACAAAATGCATATGCCTAACCATAATTTTAAGGCATTAATAGAAGCCTATTTCACTACAACAAAACAGCCCAATACCTCTGTTAACACTACGCCCAAGGTTGTTGTTTTCTTTTAGTGGATCAATTATATTAAGATGCTTCAGAGGAAAATACCGCGAGTTTGTCTCAACCCCCTTCGATGGAACAGAAAACATGCTGATGCACTTTCTCAGAAATTCTTCACTCAAAAGTGGATTATTCCCCACATTTTCGGGAACCTCAGCTGCAAAGACAGGCAGATAAATGAATCAGTCAAGCAGCTACCAAGCTGTCCACCTCATAAAGACAGATGAGTATTTCTTACCCACTATATCAGGCAGGGAAGATTTGCAAACTGGTCCATTTAAGCTGATACAATAATTCTCCCAATCAAATTTGCTGAAGTAATCCAAAAATCTGTAGAGAACCTGTGTAAGATGCAATAACATTCGGTGGTTTAAAAATAATGATGCATTATATGCACAAATCAATATTAATTCCTAAAAGATACTTACTGCTATAGGGCCATTTAAAGAAGAGTGAAATAGATGAAATATATACAGGACCAGTGTTTCTAAAGCATATGTAGAAATCAAGCCATGATGGGCACCAAGTATACGACTTTCATAATAACACCAAGCTTTTATGAGGATAATGCTGCGCTTAAAGAGATGATCTTTACCAACAAGACGATCAATCTGCAAAATAAGCTATATGAGAAATACATACATATTCAAAATGTTTTACTCAGAACATAAATAATTTCTATAAGGGATCTAAAATGACTAAAAAACCATGTATGATCATGAATGTGTAAAATTGGCATGCCAAACCTGTTCCAGAAAACATAGTGTACAAAGCCCCCCCAACTGATTGAAGGAAATATCTACAACAATGTCTTGCAGAAGGCACTTCACAAGCTTAACCTGAAACCAGCAATTCAAAGAAAATATATGAAGAAATTTGCTTTCATCAGCAAAGGAAAACAAACGCATGCAACTACCATCCGACTTCTCAATTTAGAGAAAGATACACCATGAGACTATAGCACTCTAATTGAAATACTACAGTTAACAATTGCTCTAGCAAATGCTCATTTTAGTATGTACAGCTTCTACTAAATGGTTGTGAAGTAACAATCAATTCAAAATTGTTACCAAAAAAGGAAAAATGCATGTAAGAAAACAAAATTGCCTGGGCACAAATTCTTAAAAGTGAATGCAGATATCCTATAGACTTTGCTTAAGTTCAATACCACAGGTTGATTCATGCCTCTACAGAAGTCCAAAAGAAGTTAACTGGATCAGACTAGAGTTGCAAAATTAAGGCTTGAAGGTGGTATAAACCTCAGCATCAATGCAATGAACATCCTTAACTCTGTAGGGAGCTTTTTGATTGTGCTCTTCGCCCCTGAGAATAGCATGAACATCAGACACCAAAGTATCCTCAATAGCTGGACTGCTGAGCGTGGTTAAGTCAATATCTCCATCCGGTAAGTATGTCTTGAGCGGAACTGAGCCATACGGGAAGACCTGTAAAAAATTGAAGATTAAGAAGACTCCTCAAGTGTTCCACAAAAAGAAGTGCGAAAGACCAAGATTATATGAAACCTCAAAAAGTTACGAAGGAGTACATAGCACAACCACCTTGCCTTACATAAAACCAAGAAATGTAATAATTCCACAAAAGAAAAGAAAAGAACAGAACAACCTATATATAAAATAGATAATATATGTAGGAGTGAAGAAAGACCTGGTACCCAAGACCATCTTGAATAAGTCGTTGAACGTACTCTACAATCTCTTTCCGCTTTCTGTCAGCGTCCAAAGTTGGTTGTACACTCCAAACTATACGACGCGCGGTGTCCTCTGCGCAGTCCCAACTCTCTCTCGCAATCGAACAGGGCTGATCAGGATTCGACAACGACAAGGAAAACGGAGGCGAAGGGAAGGGTGAGGGGCATAGGCGATCCTCCCTTGAAATGTCACCGTTGGGATAACAAACGCGAAGATCACCCATTCTTTTCTTGATTAACCAAAGTGTTGGACAACAAGACAGCGGCAATGGATGCAAGACACGACGCCGTTGAGGAACTGGAGAATTAGCGGTGTCGAAAGATCATTTCTTTATTGTGTTGTGATGACTGATGGAAGAAGGCGCGAGAGAGAGAGAGGGAGAAGCAGAATAAAGAAAGGAAGTGAATGGAGGGGTAGGGGCACGTGAAGGGGAATTTTTGCTGTTACTTGTTAGCGCTTGCTCTTGATGATGGAAACGGAAACGGCAGAGTAATTGGGTTTTTCTGTTTTTGAAGAGATAAAAGAAAAATGATGAAGATCAAAACATAACCAATATGAACTGGCTTAGTATCTTTATTGACCCCCTGCCCTGCCCTGCCCTGCCCTGACAAGAATCAATCTCTCTCTCTCTCTCTCTCTTTGCGTCTTGTCTTGCGTTTTCCTTCGTCTTCGTGTTCCTCTCTCCCCAACTCACAAGTCACAAACACGTAGCCAAGACCGTGGCGCCACGCCACGCAACGCAAAGCCAGCGAGACACAACGGGACAATTTTTAATTAACCCAAGAAACGCTGGCCTAATGGGCCACTCTTAACTATTGCAGAAAAATACCTGAGCGGAGGTTGGGGCATCGCTAATATTGCTACGGCCTACAGCCCTTGGTTGCCTGTATAAGACATTGATGCTGACGTCTCTACTCTCAACTAGCAGTTCTTGTTTTAGTATTTTTCTTTATTTGACCGTCGTCCGTCTCCCTTGCTGTCTCTTTTCTTTTTTCCTCCTTTGGGAGTATGACAATTAATTGTTATCATCATTTATTGATGGTGTTCAACTGCTGGCAGATGACAGATGCCGTGGGAGGCAATTTATTTTCTTATTCGAGTAATGATTTGAACAACAAGCCTTCTAGTTGATGCTGCAAATGGATCAGACGAGTCAGCTACTGGAGGTGGAGGGGAAATTGTTTACATCAGTCCCATTTTTCCTTGCATGGGAAGTGGAGGAAAGAATACACCGTTTTTCTATGAATCGGTGGGCCATTCATCCCAAGAACCCAAGGCACCCAACGCTTCGGCATCAATTCACGAAATCGTAATGATGGTTTAGAGCTGCTGTGGCCACCACCAGAACACCCAGGCATCTATTCTGTGCCAGCACGTTAGCCGAGGAATATTTAAACAGAATGCAAAAGATTCATTGAAATGCATACTAGAAAATAACAGATTTACTGCATAAACTCAATGAGGGTCATCAGGTTTTCAGACTATGCTATCACCGCTTCTAGTTTGTTGATGCATATGACAGCACTAATCCACACAATACTAGAGTTAAAGGTCATATAGAGTTCAGAGAACATTGATAAACTGCAAAATGGGGGATGTGAATTGCAATCGCCCACAGATTGATGCCTCTACGCTCATGCCAGGATATGGTGGGTCTTCAAGTACGAGTAGCAGCAGGTGCTCCAGCAGTTCGTGCAACTTGACCAGAAGCACCGGCTTTTGGCAGATCCTCCTGAGACACATGAGAAGAATAAGGAACAGAAGAATCCACATACCAAATGTAAATAAATTGTCTAACCAATAAAGGAAAGGTAATGAATACCACATGAATCTAGTCGAAAAAGTCATTACTCAAAAATCTGAGCATGTATTCCACTCCTATCTATGCTTCACATTGCTTGACAAGGGTCAAAAAATTTTGCTTAATTCTCAAAGGAAACAGAATCATTGCCTAATTTTGTTAATTGTTTTAGTTTCCTTAAAACACATAAAAATCAAGACAGAAAGCTAAAGGGTGTAATCCCATCATCGCTCAGCAACTAAACTCAATTTCAACATACTCTACTCTATAGATACAACTCACTATCAATAAAACCATAAATGCTCATGCATATCAAAAACAGCTACATCAGGTTTTCAACCACCAAAGCAAACGCTTAAAAATGAAAAATGATGCAGTCAATGAGAAAAACACTTAAAACTCTGCTCATTTAACTAGCAAAACCTAAGAAAACAAAAAGCAATAAACAAAGAGCAAATGCAAGGTGCAGTGAAACAAAAATACCCGACGTTTAAAGCGCTGTGGTGGATCACGAATTCTCCTATTAGTGCGAGATCTGACCCTCACAACGTGAGAGTGGATTGCACATGAAACACAGTACTGCATATTTGCATAAAGCTTGGGGAGAGTGTAAGCTTCAGATAGACAAAGCAAAACAAATCCTCCGTTAATCACTAGTAACAAACGTCATGATCAACATTGACGTTAAGAAATTTTCTGAAAAAGAGAAGAGTTATTACTTTCATAAACACAAGCTTCCTGAACATCTCTAACCGCAGCTTGCTCAACAATGTTCCTCACCAAAAACCTCTTGATAGCCTTGTCCTTTGACACCAATCCCAAACAATATATTCAACAAAGCAAAAAGGGGTAGCTAGTTATTCATGTAAATATCTTAATATTGAAAAGCAAATGAAATAAAAAGTTACCGTTTTCAATTCATTTTCTCAATTCAGGAAGTAAAAAACATAAAAGTAAAGGATTGCTCAAAGGACGGTGAATATCTTTTCTTGTTTTGAGGTTCTAAGCACATTCAACCAAAAAATTGAAAATTTGTGCTTTGTCTTGACAATTTCTTCAGGAAGCAAAGAAACCAATAATATGAAACAGAGGGAAAGAAGAAAACATAAAGTGACAACTGAATTTAAGCTCCTTATTTTTGATCGGAAGCAGCAAAACTTGATGGTAAAGGACTAAGTTTGTGCACTGTTGACAATTCTGTTACTACGCAAGCATAAAACTGAAGACAGGTGAAAGTTGAAGCACCATCTACCAAGATAATGCTAGCTTCAACAGTTTCTAACTAGAAACGCCTACAATTCAAACTATTGCTACGAAAGTTTTTCCCTTTGTTTGCTTTTCCAAAAAAAAAATTAAAAGAATAAAAATTTAAAAACCTTGGGGCAGCATTTGCCGCAGTTAGAGCAGCGAATGAACTTCACATGGCCACGACCGTGCTTGTTTCTCCCTCCATTCCTACGCTTGAATGTCTGTCTCGAAAACACAACCATATCTCAAAATGCAGACATATACTAGTTTCTGAATATAAGTAAAACAACAGAAAACAGAAGCAGAGAGAGAAAGAGAGAGAGACATGTATCTCACCATCTTGACAGTTGAAGTGAGACCCCTGGGGCCTGGACTCGATGAATCTTGAGCGTGGCGCCTCCTCTGCCTCGCCTAGGGTTTTTGCCGCGGGATGACCCAGATTAAAACAGTCTTTGGTTATTCATATAATCTGTTGTCTTCCATTTAGGGTTACTCCCGGTCTCGGGCATTACCCGGGTCCGTTCCCCTGTTTATATCCGGTTCTTGTTAGGATGCAATAGCATTTAATTTTCGGATATTCGTATCTACGTAAACCGAGTATATAAGGTTTGGATATCCATTTGGACAGAGAATTTGTTATTCATTTTGAATTCGGATAAGGTACGAGTGTCTGGATACTGTATCCTATTTTAATAATCTTTAATTATTAATAAATTGTAATTTTACTAATAATTATTGATTTTATTAAGTTAATTTATTCTTATTTTTTAATAAAAGAACATTTAAGTTTAAATTTAAGACCTTGATCCAACCTACCATTATTCACTAATACGGTTGAGCTCATTTTAAGTAATTAATTACGATGAATCTTTTTTATATAAGTTTTGTTAACAAATGGCCTTAATTAAAAATATCATATTAAGTAATACTTTTATTCTTGAAATTTAATGTACTGAAAATCATACAGACATATATAAACAAATTATCAACTACAGCTTTAACATTTTTTTAAAATACATGTGCTTTATCACTTTTTTTTTTCTCTTAAGAATACACGTGATGTATAGTGTCATTATTTCATTACTTAAAATTTATGCACACTACTCAATTTTATTACTATTTTTTTAATATCTCATAAACCGTTTTTTTAATTGCTCTTCTATAACAAACATGTTCTCTCTTGATTAAATGTGTTTTCTAACTACTCCTATTAAGATGCTTTGGTGTAATATAAATATGAGTCTTGACGGTTGCAAAACAATCAAAAATCATTATAAACTCAGTAGAGATTATATTAAAAACTTTCTCGAGGTTCTTCAAATATTCTTTCAATTTAGTTATTTTTATTCGCCATAATCTGTCACTTGTTTATTTATTTTTATTTTTTATCATTTATCACCAAAACACTTACCCTTTAAGAACTACTACAATTTTTCTCTCTACCACTAATTGCAACGCATACTCTTTTCTTACCAAAAGAACCCACTACGCATGCACATCCAAAAAAGGATAGAAGAGAAAAAGGCACCTCCGCCATTGAATTTGATGGCACTTTGGAGCTCGACAACGGTGGTAGAGTCGGCCTTGGACATGGCATGGTGGAGCTGCTCCTGAGCTCGGTTGAAGTTAGTGAAGTACGTCTGGTGGTGCTTTTGGTGATGGAGCTCCATTATCTCTGCGCTGATGCCTGGCTCCAGTTCGTGATAGTCATAAGGGAGGTCAGGGAGCGTTAACGTCTCGAGTTGGCGGACGCGCAAATGCGCATGGTTTAACTTTACAACTCCTACTCCTGACCTTCGAATATTTCTGGTCAGTGCTTGGGTCGCAACTCTTACAGCCATCCATCATGATGATGTAAAATCTTCAATCTCAAAATACGATTTTGCGCTTGTTTTCAGTCCATACATAAATAGAGTCCTTCCAATGGACTATGCTGGCTCGCTGGATAGATTAGGATGCACCGATCACCGAGACCGACCACGCCGTTGTCTTCTGTTTTTGTTCTTCTAAAGTACCGAAATGCAATCCATACGGTCATATTTGCAATATGGCTATTTGCCCTGAATTTATTACTAGCAGTTGCCTAAATCAGTGAGCCCACAAATAATAATAACAATAATTCATTTGCCCTTTGGATTCTTCAAAAGCAGGGACGCCTTAATGAAATCAAGGTACATTCTGAATATCAATGAAAATACGCCTTAATTTCTTCAAAAATATAGAATATTTTTAACCAGAAACAACTGCTAGGAAAAATTGTTCGGCGTCTAGGACCATTATACATTTAACAAATCAAATTCTGGTATGCAATTCCATTCCCCACGCCTGAATCCTGAATTCCTGATTCCACTACCAATAACCAAAACTGGTATATCATTAGGCAAGTCCTTCCACTCTCCAAACTAATATTCTATAGAAGTTTTCATCTCCAAATTACCCCATCTGTTGCTGTGCGACACTTAACCCACCCTTACCAGCAACATCTTCATCGCTGGAACAGTTTTCATTACTACCTTTTCCATCTAGGACCAATGAATTTAACATTTCCAACATTTTATGCATGCAGGTCTTTGTTTGAACTCCATACAGGAGCTTTTGGACCGACACCATCACTCAAGATCCCACTTCCATTCTCCACGCTAATCAGAGGATCAGACTCACTTTCCTTTACCTGTATCCATTCAAGAAAGAGGAAGGTTAGCAAATCTTCCAAGATTATCATAAGAAAAAGGGTCACGTATAACAAATTTGGTACAACAGAACACAAACCACACACAGAGCAACACAAGCAACTACCTGCGGCGATTGTGCTGATGCTTCACTAGCCTTCTGCTGCTGGGTCTCAGTAGTACAATAATATGAATAAAGGACCATTCCAATTACAGCAATCAAGATCCCCAAAATGTTGCGCCAACTAAATGGATCACGAAGTAGAACATAACCAAAGGCCAAAACAAGGCATGTTTTCAGATGTCCTAGGACCTGATAGGTGACCGGGGATGTCTTTCCAATTACCAGAAATGTACTGAAGTTGACAGAGACAGATATCAGGCAGGACAGAACAATGAAGAACTGCAATAAAGATTACACATGGAAACAATCAGAAGAAAAGAAATTCAAGAAAATTATATTATCATATTTTCTCTCTTTTCTTTTCTTTTTAGCAATGATTCCATTCTTACCAGCACTTGAGGAGTATACTTGAAAGCAAAAACATTCTGGTTAGTCAAAAGCCCATCCAGAAATGGGCCAATGATGAACAAAGTTATCGCCTGATAAGGGCAAGACTGGTAGAGAAGTTGGGTGGAAGATACTTTGAACTTCTTCTGAATGGTGTTAGTCATCTGAGAGAAATGGGTTAAGAATTCATACAACCAAGTGAATTTCAATAAAGCAAGAAAAACCTCTTCCTACAGCACAAACTAACAATTCAATTGTTGTTCCTAAACATAGAAACAAATGACAGAAATAAACACGAAATGAGATAGCAAATATCACTCCAGCTAAGGATACAATTTGAGCTACGCATGTAGTGATAACTGCCAGAAGAGAAAGGACAGAACCCAGGAGATTGAGCTGAAGATCAGTCACAGTCGCAATTCCAACACCCAAAAGAAGAATGGCCAGTGAGAGCTGGATATTCCTACTGCAAAAGCATATAAATGTATCAAAATTCAGCCAAAACCAATAATTTACTACTACAAGATAACAGCAGTATAACTGCAAATAAAACCTAAAACCAAAAGCAAATCACAAAACCAAACACATGAAGATTTCTTCAACTGAGAGGACTTTAGAAATAGTAGAATCCAAGAAATAAATTTTGGATTGTAGCAGATGAATAATGTAACCCCGAACTAGAATTTTGAGTATCCATAGAGGTCCTTATCATCCTCGGTTGATAAGAGGAATTAGGATTTTATCCTACCCTTTAGCATATAGAATAAAACATTCACAATCAAGGCTTTCAATCTTTTTTGTGAGCTTGTCAGCACCAGAAAATGGCCCAAAGCCAATCAATGCAATCTCTAGCCCTCTAAAAAAAATCTATATCTAAGGTTTATCTCCAAAAAGCCACAGTTGCAAGAGGCCAAAATCATAACAACATGAAAGAACATCAGTCATACGAAGAATGAAGCATACTCATAACTGACCTGAATCTCTTCCTGAAGAAAAGGGTCTCCAAAAGAACAGTGCAGGGAATAATTGCCAGTTTTGTCATCTAAATATAAAACAACAGGACACAGAATTTCAGAAACTGATGCTCCTAATATGCTTGTTAAGAAAGCTAAACTTTGAACCGGAAATACATGGCACAACCAGATTTCATATCCCAAGATGCTGTAAGCACAATGCATCACTCTGTATGAATTATGATGCAATCAGGCAAAACTTGGACATGACTAATATACGATTTAGGATGATAAGGACTGGAAAATAGAACTTTACCTGGTAGAAACCAACAGAATTGAAACCCAAACTAAGATTCAAAAGCCCAATGGATATCCCATTTAATATACCAAATCCCATGACAGCTCTTGCATCAAAAGGCTTGTGCTCAAACAATTTCATCCATAAGGCCACATGAAGAGAACAAAATGTGACCAGGAGATGCCAGCTTGTCAAAGTTGTGGCTGCAGAACCCAGGCCATAAATTAGCGTAAAGGATTAAGTAATAGTACGCAAGCAAAGATGAGGAATTCTGATGGTGCTTTTTCAAATTAACCACATGCATCACATCTCCTAACTTTCTTTTCAAGGGATTGATATTTCCAGAGCACACAGTAAAGCCGTGTCTGCCATCTAATGTCCCATAGGCAGAGAGGTAGATCAATTCATCACTTCTGCATTAGCAAACAAGATAGCAATTGACAGTCTTTTCAACTTATAATTTTGGGACAACCACGTTTCGTGACAATTCCACTTAGAATATGTGATCACACAAGCATCTTAAATTTTCCAGTTCAAAACAAAAAAACCATCTCCCGTACAGTGATCGGATCGCATAGTTGATAATATAAATCAAACAAGAAGGAAAATAAAGAAAAACGAAAAGTTTCTTTGAAGGCATCCTAAATCCAAAACTCTAGAGCAAAGAAATCCGGAATAGCAAAGTCCCCAATTCTGCTGAGGGATCTGACGCAACAACGCAGCGCTAGCTAATGCATAACCAAAAATGAATCCAGCAAATTGCAGTGGAAGCAATCAGAG